ATTGTTGAAATTGAAATTGTTGAATATATTTACTTTCCATAAAAATATATAACATATGAACTGCCAAAGCTCATCGATAATCTTAATTTGAATTCCATTAGACCTTACATTTTGAAATCAACATTTAAAGAAAAAATAAAACCCCGGAATATAACCTATATCCTTCTTCTTCTCCTCATTTTACCATTTTCTACTCAGGTTTTACTTTTCATATATATATATGGGTGAATTACTCTAACCTCCCCTTAGGTTCTTTTTATTTATTTATTTAAAATAATAATTGATTGCGTTCAAAACCATCCGATAAACAAAAGTGGAACCTAGATCTAAGGACCCAAAGAATCCAAAAAATTAACTATGTCATCGGAAGAGGAGCAAGAACTCCTCTTCACGTAACTAAAGATAGAGCGAATAATATGAAGTTTCAGCGTCGACATGGACGACTCATTCCCTCGAACATTCTGCTATTCCTCTCCTTTCAAATGCACCACTAGACGCAATGCGGAATTATCCTCCAATAGTCGCGAACACTGCTTCTCACACGGCATCCCTTCCATGTGTTAATCAAACCCTTAGAAGATCGAGCCATTACCCAAAACTTACCGAATAAGCCAAATATAAGGTTCCAACAGTTATACGCCACTGGGCAATGCAGGAGGATATGATCCACCGACTCACCATCTCGCTTGCACAGGCAACACCAATTAACAATACAATTGCCTCTCTTTCTTAAATTGTCAATCGTCAAGATTTTGCCCCATACAACAGTCCACACAAAGAATGCCACTCTAGGTGGAGCAGTAGAACGCCATATAACTCTAATTCCCCCTGTCACAATTTATCCATGTGAAAGTATATTTTTGCCCTCACTAAATATCTTGTGAAAGGCTGATGTGTATGCTGATATCATCCCAAATATCAATTTACCTTTATTATAACCCTAAAGGTGTTTTAGTCTGTGTGTTTGCCTTTTTCGATCATATTCTCTCTCATTCACTCCATACCAGACACCCTAGCAATTATTGCATAGTCATGAACCCTAATTCCTCTCCCTAATTTCTCTCTCTTATATACTTGAAAGACTACCAAACTCCAACTCATCACTACAGTTTTCCCTCTCTATATGCATACACACCCTCTAACTTTGTAACGGAGGAGGTAGAGAGAGAAAATGACTGGTGCAATTTCGAACATAGAGATAAACGATCGTGCAAAATCGTGAAGCAAAGTTGTGCGAGATAGAGCAAAAGGAACAACGATTACAGCGAGAGACGTGAAGGAGATGAAGGCCGACAACGGTCATGCGATGTGGTTGCAGTTAATGCGAATAGATGTTAAAGAACTTGCGATTGATGTCTGCAATGAGGTCGCAATTCGACAGTGCTGCGATTGCAAAACCACTGTACCGTTGTCAACAGCAAAATAAAAATTGCGATTGATAAACTAGGGTTTGCAAAGAAGCCCGTATCAATCTGTGATGCGATGATGAATATCTGATTGGAAATTAGGAATTAAAACCCATTCAAGAAATCTTTGAAATCGTCTCTCTCATCTCTTCTCCTGCTACATCGCTATTACCAAATCTCACTGATACTATATCTCTGGGTATATTTATGAGTGACTGTTATCTTGAATATTGGTTGCGATATAAGAGGGGAAAAGAGACAGCAATAAAGACTGAGTACGAAGCTAAGGGTACCTTTGTCCATTGAAATTTGGTAATTTGGTCATTTAAGTCTTTTTGATTCAGTTAAGGGTAGTTTTGGCATTTCAAAAATATCCTACTGACGGATTTAACAGCCAACTAATATCAGGGTGGTCAGAGTGATTATCTCAAAACCTCAAGGGAGGTTGACAACATTTTGACAAATAGTTTCATCTATGGGTAATTTAGCCAAACCTCCGGGGAGGTCAGAGTAATTCACCCTATATATATAAATGTTTTAAAAGTTGATTTATTTTTGTATGTATAGGTTATCAAATTATTTTACCTTGGTTTTTTTTTTTTTTAGTATTCAAATATATAGATACCTTCTATTGTATAGGAAAATGTATCATGGTTTATAAAATTTTAAACATTATTTTCAAACCTCTAGTTCCCCTCCTCCCGATTAAAATTTCTAGGTCTGCCCCTCGTATGTTATAAATGTCATATATTGGGGCTGGGTTGTTTTATGTTGATCGGACCTATCCAATCGAGTTCATTTAACCCGGTTGGATCAAAATTAATGTGTTTTGCCTGACCAATATTTTTTTTCCTTAAGCTGTCTGACCAATTTTTACTCAACCCAGTATTTAGCCTGTTTATATATGAGTTCTGTTAGGGTTTTAACCTGTTTTGTCCTGTCCCTTTTGGACCAAATAAAACTCTCCATAATCTGCCTTTTGTCAGGCCTAGATGCCTTACATTTTGAGGTATTAATCTCAACATTGCGTCTCTTGGAATTTTGAATAATCTATGCTTCCCAATTCCTTTAATCAATGTCTCTCATGCCTTACATTTCATGGTATGAGTCTCAACATTGTGTCTCTTGGATACGCTTCCCAATTCCTTTTATCCAAGTCTCTGATTCTAAGGTTTGCAAATTTTTTTTTTTTTTTTTTTGATAAGTAAATAAGGTTTGCAATTATTATAATTGTTTCTACCTTTTTTTGTTATTTTGTCAATACAATATGCATGTTATTGTTAATCATACAAATCTAAATTGTGTAAATAGCAAATCGATTTAATTACCTTAGCAAATGTTGTTGTTTACTGGATAAATTAGTTGCCTATTTTAGTTATCTACTAGCAATATCTGTTATGATAAATACTTGAATATCTTGTCTGATCTCTAGCTATATATAGTAAAAAGTTGTGGTGAATATTGGTTATGAGAATAAGAAATTATTATTATTAGTTTTTTTAGGTAAGTTTAAGAGAATAAAAAATTACTATTTGTATGTTTATCAAGCATCGGAAGTTGTAGTGGGTGCTTTCTTGAAATCAATGTTTTGCATTCTTGTTAGCTTAAAAAAAATGTGGTTTATTTGTCGGAGATTGATGGCGTGTTCCTTGTCAAGTGAGCTACATGTCCTCTTTGTGCCTTGGCTTTACTACGTATTTGCATCCATTTAATGTTACATATTGTCTATGATCTTTGACTGCTTGCTTTCTTGTTAGCTTAAAAAAAAATGTGGTTTATTTGTCGGAGATTGATGGCGTGTTCCTTGTCAAGTGAGCTACATGTCCTCTTTGTGCCTTGGCTTTACTACGTATTTGCATCCATTTAATGTTACGTATTGTCTATGATCTTTGACTGCTTGCTTTCAAGGCAGGATAAAACTTCTCAAAAAGGGTACTTTCTTCTTCTTGTTGGTAGTTTCTTGTTTACTGCCTGCTATATGTGTAGGTTGCCTGAGCAAGAAATTTCTTTAAAATTAATTCGTGCAAAACTGTGAAAATGTGAAATGAAGGCATTAAATTATACTAAGTTCTATGTATCTTAAAAATGTTTCTGTGTTGTAGCATTGCTAGCTTTCTTGGGCCTTGAACACCTATAGTGGATGGAATAAGTTAACATTTTTCGTATTGATAAAATTTCTGTATTTTTTCTGTTCAACACAATATTGAACATGGAAACCTTTACAAACTTTTATCAGAAGGATTAATAACTATGTTATTGATGCCTCACAATAAAAGCTATGTAAACATTTTTGTGCAGTGTCACAAAATTAGATAATAATTTTTTGGACTTCATCTTTCCACCTTTTGAAGCTTCATGATAGGATATTAGAACCATTATATTGCCATCAAGGCCCACTGAGCCGGGTTACTTTTTCAAATTGGCAGTGATACTCTTGTCTTTGGAGACCTGTAAACACTGTTGCCTTATTTGCAATTTTGTAAGCTCCATAGCTCAACTCTTTTGTTTTCCTTTGTGTGGTCATGTTGGTGTGTTCATTAAAGTTTAGTTGTTAGATATTCGTTCTGATAGTTATATCTTATTCTGGTAAAAAATTGCAAATTCTGCAAATAAATTAAGAAACAATTGTAGTTGCTGCAAATGTTTTTTGTGCATTCTGATGTAGAGCCTTTGACAATGCTGGACGAATTATTGAACCTCTTCTTAATAAATATCATGTCATTATCTTAATGAAGCAGATTATCTCTAAAAGCATCTGATTACTTGCCTATGTAAGTTTATGGGAAACATTGTTCACGAGAAAATAATACTTTTACAAGTTACTGGTGTAGTACGGACAGGCAGGACACTTGTTCAAAACTGTTTCCTGAATTGCCCTAGTGGTTTTAAGATGTCTTCAGATTAGCATCTAGAACCTACCAATATGAAAAGCCAGCATCAAGATCTAGTTTTGTTATTTTTTCATTATTGACCATAGTTCAGTCTAAGGGATATTGACCCCACATAGTTTCATGAAATATGGATAATTTATACATTGGTGACTGTTTATGCTGAAATTAATTCTGGAACACACTTTTGGTATGCTTAATGTGCTGTATTAGTGAATATTATTTAAGGAGCTGGTGACATCCTTCGGAACATTCATATCCAATTTCCCTTTAAATAGATGTTCTGAAGATATGAATTCAAGTCTGTGTTACCACAGTTTTTAGAGTAAAAGACACTGTTTCTGTATAGCAGGGAGAGAAGATCCAATAAAAGTACTTATCAAAAAAAAAAAAGATCCAATAAAAGTACTTGTTTTCATGTTTCAATTCTTTTCAATTCTTTTACTGTGCAAGTTTATACTTGTCCTTCGTTGAGGAGTAGTAATCACTTGTTACTGATTAGTAACAGACATTGATCCCCCTTCACCCCCTCCCCTCTATTTAGATTTTCCTATAAACTCACCAGCCTTTGAAGCAGTACTTTACTGTAATGCTCCATTTACTGCTTCGTATCCTGCACTGCTATCTGGTCTAGTTGTATACCTATATCCTTTACAACTGTTTGACGTGTTATTTGCTTCTTGTGATCATGCCTGTAATTTTAAAGGAGACCTGGTGAGGAGAGTGATGCAGAGTCTTCAAGGGAGACTAGTAGTGGTGGCAGCAGTGACTGTGCTGATGGGTCGGGGAGTCAGAATATTCTTGTGAACATGAACTCCCAACGAATAGACACACTTTCATTGAGAGAGAAATCTGTCATGAATTCATCCAGTGACGAAGCTGAGATTTGCAATTCACCTGGGTCGCTGTTGTTTGAATATTTGGAACATGAACAACCACATAATCGCAAACCTCTAACTGACAAGGCAAGTTTACTTCTTGGAAATTAGTATGTTGAGATTGATGTTCATCCATTTCTTGTCCTGACATGGGAACTTGCGGTGCCTTCCCTCCACGCTGCCATAGGTTTCTGTTCTTGCATCTCAAAATCCAGAGCTCAGGGCATACAAGAGCTGTGATCTATTGCCTGATAGTTGGATTTCAGTGGCCTGGTATGCTTCTCCCATGCAAAACTACAATATACTTGTATGGTGGTTGAAATTTTATTTATTTATTATTCTCATTGCGATTTTCTTTTTTGATAATTAAAATTGCGTTCAGGTATCCAATATATAGAATACCTACGGGCCCGACATTACGGGATTTGGATGCATCTTTTTTAACCTTCCATTCCTTATCAACACACTCTAGAAGTAATCTCTCTCTCTCTCTCTAGCATATTATCTGTCACAGTTGCACCTTCTATCGAGTTATGAAATTTTTGTCATTTGATATGTTGTCATGTCTTCTGTGAATGGTACAGATAATGGTCAGCCATCGTTCCGTGGTGGGAGTGGTAGGAGGATCCATGATGTTGTTGATGCATCTTCAAAGATTTCTTTACCAGTGTTCGGCCTTGCTTCCTACAAGTTGAAGGGTTCAATTTTGACTCCGAGTGGACATTACGAGTGTCAGCAAGAAAAATCCTTATTGCAAGCTGCTGATGTTTGGCTCCAGCGTTTGCAGGTTGTTCTTCCTGATTACCAGTTTTTTTGTTCTCACTACCCACAATGGAGATGATGGGTCAGCAATGTTCCTTCATATGCCTATATTTCTCTTCCAATTGGGCAGAAGTTGAAGGTGTCAGTTTGGGAACAATGAATAGTGTTTAAAGACAAATTGCCTTAAAAACCCTCCTTTTCAATCAAACAGTTTGGTTGAACCTTGTGCAGTGGTGTTTAGGCCTTCTCATCCTTTTAAATATGTAAGCTTCTCTCAAGTACATTAGCATTTACAAAATTAGGGAAAAAGCTCATGGCTTCGGCAGGCCCAATGAGTTTGAGGGCGTTGATGATGCAGACAGACTTGATAAAGATGATTGACAGTTCATAGTTGGATTTTGGGGCTGCTACCATTGAGGAGGAATGGTCCAGGAACTGTAAGCAAGCACACTGGAATCCAGATGGCCTCTGGCTTTGTCTTGTTATTTAGGGGGAAGCTGAAGCTGTTGATGTAGTTGTAGAGTATCCAGTTCTGTCTAGTCACTGCTCAGAGAATCTCGACACTTTATGTGATAGTGATGAAAATTTGAAAACTTGTGTACTCTTACTCTGCACATATACACCTATACCGGTAGTTTGCAAAGACAAGTTTTTCTCTTCAAAAAATTTTATTTCTCTAATTTAATAGTTTGTTTTACATGTAATGTTTATTATGTTGCTTTTAGTGTTTAGTGCATGTTTTCTTTACTTCTTGTGTATCCATAAAGAGATTGTGGCGTTCTATTTGAGAATTTCTGGCATCCTAACAATGCCTTGATTCCTGATTCATCCCACCATTAAAAGACCATCTGGTCAAGTGAAGTGGATGGTAGATGATCATGTGCTGTATGTGACCACATTTGGATTGCAATTGTTTACTGTGATTTCAATTTGTTTGTATTTATGTGATTAATGTATACAGATCTCGGTGGGAAGCACTCGTCCTTGTGTGCTGGTGACTAGAGTGCACTTGGGTGAACTGCAGGCTGGTGAAAAACTTAGGAGTGTGGCTGAGCATGCTGCTTACTAATGTTTGTGTGGTTCTTGAACACAGTTGAAATATGAAAACAGCATGGCTATTCTGCCTATAAAGGGTGAGGAAACTCAGTGTGACACCGGATCAAGTGAGTTATTAGGTGGTGTAAATACTCAACTCATATATGCCTAAATCACTTTTCCATACGGATTCAACCCCTAAAATACCATAGGACTTGTAGTAGGCACTTGCTCTAATTGTGGACCTAGTTTACATATTAAAAATTTAACCATAGGAGAGATGGAAAAAAAAAAAAAAAAAAAACACAAATTCAATATTCTTGACTTTTCTCTTCAAAACCATTCACATTTTTTTTGTTCTTCCACAATTTATGTATCAGTTTCTTTTCTTTTTTCTCTTCGTTATGCAAATAGGTTGTACTAAAGATGGGGAAGTTAATGAAATTGGGTAAATTACACTGACCAGTCCTCTTGTTTGTCAAATTACATTGACCTTACTTGTCAAACTTGTTGGATTTGTAATTACATTTTTATCCTTGTGTGTGTGTGTGTGTGTATATTATGGAGTATATTTTATTGCAATAAACATGTCTTCAAAGGGTAGAATTGAAATTTGAATGTTGCAAATTTGCTACATACAAATTTTACGGGCGGTAAGTATAATTTGACAAAAAAGAGAAAGTAAGTGTGCATTGATAATTCAAGGGAGGTCATTGTAATTTACTCTATATGGTTTACAAACACAAGAAGATTGCTAAATACTTCGTATATGTTAAAAGATAGTACTATTTGCCGGTGTTAAAGATAGTAAAGAAAATCATATTCTAGAAATAATTTTTGTGAGGAATGGTTTTTTTTCTTTTCATTTTCTCTATTTTTATTTTTTCGTTTATTTTCGTATTCGGTCATGTGAGCCCGGGTTGGGTCAGTGTTCAGAAATTTTTCTATGCACTATTCCTTTATTTCATTTGGGACATTATCGTCGTTCCATCCACGTGTGTATTTATTTTTCATTTAGGGGCATTTGTGCATTTAGTAAGAGTGAGCTCCATCTTTTGACTTGTTGACCAAATCTTGTGGAGGAGAATGAAGCTAACAATTATATGATATATGTGTTTGTATTTAGAGAAAAAATCACCAAACCCCTCATTCTCTCTCTCTCTCTCCAATTTTTTCTTATTTTCTTCATCCTTCAACCACCATTATCAGTATTTGCCTATCCCTCTGATAAGAAGTCCTTATTTGCTCATTGGGTGGTTTTTGAACAAGAAAAGTATTATTTGCACACTTCTAAAATTACGAGAGAATTTTTTACACTTTACCAAATTTGACCAAACATACTATTTTTATGTCTTATATATTTTCATTTTAATTAATAATATAAAAGATTAAAAATAAATAAGAAAGAATAGAGTGTTGTGGAGATAGGGATCATTTATACAAATAGGTAGATTAGTAGGGGTCCATGGTTCAATTCAAGGGGCATAGTGAAATTAAAAAATAAAAAATAAAATAAAGAATAAGAAGAAGAAAAAGTGCAAAAGGGAAATTTAAACATTTTGAAAAGATAATTAAAATAAATTTAAAGAGTGAAAGAGGAAAAATAAAAAAATGTTTAAGAGAATTTTGGAAACTAATAGGGGGCATAATATACAAATTTCTATATATATACAGATATATGTAAAAAATAAAATAAAAAGCATACGTATTATATAGGGCGGGCCTATATACAAAGAGTTTGCAAATATATCGGTGGACACTTAGAAATAATAAATTTTAACACTTAATTGTAATGTATCTCATGCCTATATAAGTGTAACAAGACCCACTAAGTTAGTTTTAGTATAAGTTTGAAAAGAATAAAATGCATATATATATATATATGTATATATATATTTATATTGTGTTTCAAACCCACCTCTGCCACAAGAAATTATTTCAACACTATTCTTTATTCATCAATTACTCTCTCTAATATGGATAGCATTTTTAGCTAGTTAAGATTAGATTCAATAATATTGTGAAAAAGAGTAAAGAATAAAAAGAATCTACAATGAAAATGCAAGAATATTAAGAACTGTACACTTAATTCCTCATTTTTGTCTTTGTTTTTTTCTTTTTCCCCTGCATATCTAATTCGTGCATACACCTTAATTGTCACGTTGAAATGATCCTGAATGCTTCTATCTCAACAACGTTGGTAAAAATTATATTTCATCTAATTAGACAAAATGTTATTGTTGGCTAAAGATCATCTCTTCCAGTTAACTGTTTTTTGAAATAAAATTTAAAAGATGTTATAAGATAATTATTAATTATATACAGAACAAGTGATGCTAAATAAGGAGAAGCAAGAATATGATGAGACGTGAGCCTCATGTGAGACAGTTTTGGATTGTAGTTTGAGTTGGGTAAATTTTAAGATAATAAAGATTTATCCAATCATATTGAATTAATTGGAAAAGCTTTAAATATTGTGGCATTTGGCAACATGAGATCGATGTGGATCATTTTAGTTTAAATTTTAAAATAATTAACTTGGTAACATATTTGAGATTCTAATTTAAGAATATAAATTTGACGTAAATGTTTGTTTTTATTTATTCCGTGTAGGACGCCGAATGCTGAATGAATGAAAGAATTTGACTTAGACTCAATGAAGGGTGGGGAATGAACCTAGTTCAGTTTACCTTTGATATTAAGTCCACTACTGTCCTTCATATATGGACGAATAATACGCATTTCTACTGGTATAACCTCCTTAAAATGGTCAAATATACACACACACACACACACTAATACACATGATTCATCCGACGGTTGTGAAGCGAGAGTCCGTGCCACATTGGTACGACTGGTAACGACTCAGCGATGCGAGAAGAGTAAAACAGAGAGAGAGAAGTGATTGGTAGTGCCGAAGTCTCTGTTAAATTGGTGTAACCGTACCCATCTTTTTAGCTTCGCTGTTTTCAAAAACAAACCCACTGTATCCACTTCCAATTAAGCCTGTGTGTGTACTTACTGTGTGTGTGCATAAGGAGGAGGACTGGAGGAGGAGAGAATGAACAAGTTAATAGCCATGTTTCTCTCTCCTTCTTTGGAATCTTTCCATAAATGTTCGGCGGGGGTTTTTGGATTTCATTTGAATGATTTAAATTAAGATTAATTAGGAAGGACAAACAGTACGTACGGAGTTTGAGTTCGAGTTTGTTGAGATATGGAGGATGGATTCCAATAAAGGAAATAAGAGGAAGTACAAGTACTCCAACATGTGTATGTCCATAGCCAAAGCTACTAGTGCTAGTGATCATAGTGGTGGTAGTGCTGCTGCTAGTAATGGTGGTGCTGGTGTTTCCAAAGAATTCCCGGAGGGACTTAGGGTTCTTGCTGTTGATGATTCTTCTACTTGTCTCCAACTACTTGAAAGAATGCTTCAGGCTTGCGGTTATGAAGGTTTCTCACTTTACTTACTCTCTATATCCTTTCCTTTTCATTTACTACATATCATCATCATCATCATCATCCTCTCTTATATATATATATATATATACACATTCCACATATATATAATATGCACACACAGAATCTGTGACCACTTAATGTTAATTTGAACAACAAAGGATTCCTTTTAGTTGGGTGCTTCTCTAGATTATTTCTTTTTTCACTACAAAATATTGAATTTATACACAACATTAATGAAATATAATTTAATGAAGAACCCACTGTACAATTTGTTTCTCCCTAATTTAATAGAAACCCAACTAATTCAGCAAGCTAGCTATATCCTCTCTATTTTTCTGTTTTTAATTATTATTGTTTGGGACTTGGGGTATTAATTAATTTGGAATGTAGTACTGAAAACTCATGATGTTATGTTTTTCCTGATTTAAAAGATCTAGGTACTAACTAGTATTGAATTGTGGGTTTATACTCCTGTTTTTTATTGATTGATGATTCCCGCTAAAGAGTGGTTTTAATTTGGTTGTTTACAGTGACCAAATGTAGGCGTGCAAAGGATGCCTTGTGTATCCTTAGAGAGAACAAAAATAAGATTGATTTAGTTATCAGTGCTGTACACATCCCTGACATGGATGGATTTAGGCTCCTTGAGATTATTAGGTCAGAGATGGACTTGCCTGTTGTCAGTAAGTGTCAAATATATATATATATATATATATATATGTTTCTTCCGCCCTTAATTTTCTTATTCTATTTCATTCAAGTACTGCTGCTCTTTGTTTAGCTGTGTTCATATAAAGCATATTTGATTCTGTTATATATATATATATATATCTCTTCGATCCAGTGGTATCATCAGACGAGAAAAAAGATGTTGTTATGGAGAATATCCTTAATGGGGCATGTGATTATCTTGTGAAGCCTGTTCGGATGGAGGCTATTAAGTTCATATGGCAGCATGTGGTACGCAAGCGAAGAAATAGTTTGAAAGCTTCGCTGCAGCAGTTGCAATCAAAGAATGGGGAATTAGATGGTCACAAACAATCCAATGACGAAGACAATACGTCCTCTGGGGACAAAGAAAATTGTGGTAGCTCAAATATTAGAAAGTATGAGGAAGAGGAAGGGAAGGACAGGGATGATGCTGTCTCACTCAAGAAGCCGCGAATGGTTTGGACAACTGAACTCCATCAACAATTTATGGCTGCTGTAAATCAAATTGGCCTCAAAAGTATGCAACCATCATTTTTTTTTTTTTTTTCGTCTCTCTATTCCCTATTCATCTTTAATGGTCACTTGTTCTTTTAATATCGCATAAGTATTGAAGTTGAAATGTGCTGGTTTATTGGGTACACATTGGTTTTCAATACCAAAAGGCTATAAATGCACAAACAATATATTCGTTTTGTATAATTGCATTACACTCACACATGCCTTTTGTAGTGACCAAACTTCACTTCATTGGTAAAATTTGATTTTTTATTGATTCATACACATTAATTCGATTAATTGTGCTCTGTTCAATGTTGTTTATATGTTTCTACAGTGTCTTATTGTTTTTTTTACTAAGGCCATAGGTTTGTATTAATGCAGATGCTGTTCCAAAGAAAATTTTGGAGCTTATGAATGTTTCCAGTCTTACCAGAGAAAATGTTGCCAGCCACCTTCAGGTAATGCATGCAATTTCCGGTGAGAAGAATGTATCCAGTAAGACCTAATTATAAAGTAATTAGTGTGTTATAAAGAGAAGTCATAGTATAAAATTTGATATTGACATTGAAAAATGCCACTTTTATGATCCAGAAATATCGCATATATCTCCAAAGGCAGAATAGCAATTTGCAACACTCCCATCCCCACGAACTGAATCTCAAACTTACTTCTTCACTGGATAGTCATGCCACTTCAAATAAACTCCACCGGCACAGTTTGACTGTTCAACAAGCAGGAGTTGAAAGCTCAAATGCAATGTTTAGTAGTGGCATGCCTCTGGTTGATCAAAGAAACATTTGTAACTATGGAATCCCAGAATCAAGATTCGGAATAGAGCAGCAACGGAAAAATTCCAATTTGCAAGTGAATTTCCCACACGAAGCTTCAACTTTGATTGATTCAGAGCAGCTAAAGCCTTCAAATCAATTTGGAAATACGGATATGAGAATGAAAGATGGAGCTCCATACTCTCTAAATTTGCCGACTCTCAGAATTAGTCCCCTAGGGGATACTACTCCTTTAACGGTGCAAATGATTGGCGATGGGACAATTGACTATGCTCTACCCATTTCTTCTATGACAAATGATTTTCCAAAGGGCCATGTTATTAAATTGCCTGAGCATGATTTCTGTGTAGACACTACTGCAAATGTATCTTTTGTGGGCAACAAGAACTTAGAATACACTTCATTTTCAAGCTACGAGCCTACGCTTTTCATTGAACGTTTTGACCAACATGATCTTACTGTTAGACCATTTGATGAGGTGAGTTTACTATGACTACTATATAACATTATTTATATTTTTGGTGTTTTTTTTTTTAATTTATTATTATTTATAATTATTTGGTTTTGTTGCAGCCATGGGTTGGATATGTTGAAGCCAAATCTAACTTCAATGGCTATCTCACGGACAATAATTCTGCCTAGGGGAAGCCTTTTCTTCCTCAACATCTTCTTCTTCTGTACGTAATTTCTTTAATAATTAATAAATTCTTGTTTTTCTCTTCATCAATTGGACATAGATGACCTTCTGACATTTTCATTAATTTGTGAATAATTAGTTTTGTTGGATCACTTGCTCATTTAAAAGACAGACTTTCAGTTCAAGTGAGTGGTTCAAAAGTTATTTCAATGTTTGATTATGTGTTCATCATGTTATGTTTAGAGATGGATTTGGGTTATTAAATATTCAGATTTTAGCTGAATAATGTACATACGTGATGGACGTACTAATGACTCAACTCTGTGACATAATAAATCAGAACATTAGAATGCCAATTCAAATTATGCCTCTCCTCATTGCTGCATACATAATTCAGAAGGCTTTATTTTTATTTGTGAATTATATATGAAACTGATCTTGTTTGAGAGCAAGAAAGAGACTCAATTTGTGCATTTCATCTCATTATTTACTAGATGTTCTGTTTTATCTTTCCATTGCTCACCTCACTTTATCCGGGTAACAAATCAATTTTGAGGATACAACTTGCTGATTTTCCTCAGATTCTGAAGATGCAATATGGATTTTAATTTTCAATTAAATTACATACTTGCTTGTCACAAGTGGCAACCTGCCAACAACACAGTTTATACCTCGTAAACAAATCAAATCATAAATTTTTTAGGAGGAGGACTCAAGTCACCTGCTTAGAGAATTGAACGCTCTATTAATTAGGCTATTCAATGCCCAATTTCAAAGAATTAAAACAATTGTTTTAGTGGAGAGAGAGAGGGACCCTCTATTATTAATCCAAAAAAAAAAAAAAAAAAACACACTTTATGAGGTATGAATTAGGAAATGTTCATCAAAAGAATGTTGGACCAATGTTTATTGTCCCTTGCAACTCAACAGAGTTGTTAATCTCGACCAATTGTCCTCACCAACCCCATTGAATCTGCTAAGAAAGCTGTGCCTCACTGCTCTGGGGTATCACATTTGGGAAGCAAGAAATGCTCGTATCTTTCGCGGTGCAAAGTTATCCCAAAATTCAATCCGATTCAGGGTTTCTAATAGTATCACCTCAATCCTCAAATTGGGGGTTTTTAGGAGTTCCATTGCTGCTCATCACATCCTCAAGGATTGGGATCTCCCTCCTCCCTCATGCTGTCGTCCTCCGCCGCGGCAGCGGGACTGAGGATTCGAAGCCAAGGGCTTGGATTGCCGTCATAGGCTTGGCCACCGGAAATGTACCAAAAATCCACCAATAATGGCACCATTACCGTTATTGTTGGACTTCCGTTTGACTTAGGACATGGGCCTTAGGCCACTACAATGTTGTTACATTTTATTTGGGCTTTATCTGTTTCCCAACTCGCTTGGGTTTGTTTGGGCCAAAGGCCTTCTCTGTACATTGCTCTAATATATATATTAGCATCAGATTTTAAAAAAAAATCTCAACAGAGTTGTTTTCTCAATTACTTGGAATCAATTACATTTAATTCTACCTTATCATTTTTTAGCATTATTGTGAAAAATAAAGGGATAAAAAAAGCTTGCCTAAAACAATCTTAACATACCAATTGGTTGGTTTGTTTCCTCAAAACGTTAAGAGTTTGATAATAAAATAAAAAAGATTGTTCAAAGATTGTTCAAATTTAAAATAGTAGATGGAGGTTTTGGACCTTATCCGATCTTCTAAATAAGCATAAACAAACAAGCCCCATCCTTATCACTCTCGCTGGGCTTATCACACATTATTAAACTTCAGCTCTGACCAACACTACTCTAATCTTTGTTTTTTTTGGTAAGTACTCTTATCTTGGGTTTAAACTTGTAACAAATACAGAAGTATGTTAGGGTCATGTTCGCACGGTTATGGCATCGTTTGCATCGTAATGTAACAAATTCAGATAAATATTGATATAAACTGGTCAATTTATATAGATATGTAACGGTATTAGACCCTTAAAAAAAATGTTACAAACTGGATGATACGTCGCGTATCGACTGATATAAGTATCTATATATGCATAAAAGGGTGAGATGCAACAGACATTCATCACATCCACATCCACTCAATTTTGGGCCAACCAAATAAATGTTTTTATTTATTTAATTTTTTTCTTACAATGACGAAAAAACACACACACTCTCACATTCACTTTTTATCAAATACTTAAATTCGAATTCTTCCATACCAGTTTGAGAATGGGAAGTTATCTACTTATTAATGAGAAAGTCCTCTATGATCCAATTACAAATGCACTCACACCCTTTAATTATAAAATTAAATAAATAATAAATAAATAAAATGAACCCAAACAAAGGAATGAATAAGTGATATATACCATTGGGCTAGACTTGAATATGTTTTTTTCTTTCTTTTCTTCTCCCTTAAACAATACTTGAATTTATGACATTGCAGATTATGAAATCAAGTGTTAGATCTAGCTTGGATTCCTTAGCATTTCCAAATTTTAATTCAATCATATAAACGATACGAGAATTAATTGATTTGATTTTCAAAAATATAATAATAATATTGGTTATCAAAGCAATATACATACAATTGTTAATGACTAATCTAAGAAATTTATACAATATGTAAAAGCTCGGCATCGAACTAAAAAAAGCACTTTAGATCATTCGACCGTTAAATTAAAAATCGAATTGCTATGCTTTTTACCTCGTTTTTTTTTTTTTTTTTACCAGGCTTTTTGACTGTAGTAACCCCTTCATTGACTTTTTTTTATTTATAAAAAAATCTCACTTCTTTCGCAATGTCGTTGCTTACTCATCTTTAAAATATGTGTAAATTGATATTTGGTAGAGATTTCAAAAGTATTAATAATATATATAGTATTATCTTTAACATACTCAAGTTGAATTTACCTTTTAAAAAAAAAATAAATAAATAAATAATAAAAATAAGACACAAACAGACCGTTCGAGTGTAAATCTGGCCGTTGGATACCTCCCTCCGTCATACGGCAGTGATTAGTCGACCGTTGCAATTAAATTCTTTCTTCAAAAGCCACCTGGAATTCCCAATCCACTCAAAAATTTCAAATTCATTACGTTGCTCACACCTGGTCGCCTCTTTCCATAAACCCTAGAAAGATCGATCTTCTTTTGTTCATTATAATATTCTCGAATCGGCTTGTGTTCTGATCTATCGATCCCTGTAGTTCCTCTGTAACCTTAGTTGCTTTCGGTTTCAGAGGAGAAAAAAGAAATGGTGAAAATGGCTTCGTCGTCACCGTCTTCATCTCCGGTGACCATAACAGTCTCTTCTTCAGGAGCTTGCATTGGCTTGACTAGTCCGGTGCCTCGCCATTCCATATCGAACAATCCGAACTCCCCCCTCAGCGGCAGAGGTTACAGGGGTTCCTCCGGTGGCGGTAACCGCCGAGCTTCAGGTGGCGGAAGCTATCTCTCTATGTCCAAAGATACCTCTGAGGAGTTCGTGGCCTATACCGTTCATATCCCTGCAACACCTGATCACCAGATCGTGTCGAATGCTCAGAGCAGCCCTCCTGAAGAGATCAAGAAAACAGGAAACCCCATGGAGGGTTACATCAAGGATACAATTTACACTGGGGGATTCAATTCGGTGACTCGGGCTCACGTCGTTGTGAATCCTGAGGAAGAGCCTGCGGTGGTGAAATCAGAAATGTTGTGTGGAATGAAGGGTTGTGATGAGAAAGCAGTGGGTAGTGCTTCAAAGGCTCAGTGTGAATGTGGGTTCAAAATTTGCAAAGATTGTTACCTGGACTGCATTGGAAATGGTGGTGGGCATTGTCCTGGTTGCAAGGAATCCTGTAAAGATGCTAGCGATGATGACAACGACGACGACGATGATGAAGAACCTAACTCTGAGGAAGAGGACCTTCCATTTCCACTGCCCACAAAGGGAAGGGTTGGACTTGAGAAGAATTTTTCACTGGTGCAATCTTTCAAGGCCCCGACCCAGGACTTTGATCATGCTCGATGGCTATTCGAGACGAAGGGCACGTACGGGTATGGGAATGCGGTGTGGCCAAAAAATGGATATGAATTTGGGCGAGGGATTGATGGATCTGAAAATCCTCCAGATTTCAATGAAAGAAGAAACAGACCTTTAACCAGGAAGGTTGGGGTTTCCACTGCAGTTATCAGTCCATACAGGTAACAATCAAACCTGTATTTCTGTTTCTTTAGTTCATCGGTTCAGATCAATTTTAGAATTTTACTTTTTAATTAACATGAGCAGATTAATATTACTACAAGTGAACAATATACGTGAATAATGTATTGGTGTTTGACTATTAAGAACCAACATTATTTGTAGTTCTAGGGATGATTAAAGGTGATTCATCTTGCTGAGCTTGGTTTGTGGATGGCTAATGAATATTGAAATTAATATATGATTTTTTGCGATGGAAATTTTATCTTAAATTGGTCCAGTGGACATTTGTTTTTATTTTTCTAGTTGATTAATGCACTAGTTTATCACGATAGATATGCAGATTACTTATAATGATTCATACTCTGGACCTATTTTCAAAAATGGTTGTTTGAATTCTAAATTGGTGTTGGTTGGTATGTAGATTGCTTATGGCTGTTCGTCTTGCTGCACTCTGTTGCTTCCTGACATGGAGGATTTCACATCCTAATCATGATGCAATGTGGTTATGGTTGATGTCTGTAATTTGCGAGTTCTGGTTTGCACTATCTTGGGTTCTAGATCAGCTCCCTAAGTTCTGTCCAGTAAACAGAGTCACTGACCTTTCTGTTCTAAAAGAGCGCTTCGAGTCATCAAACCTCAACCTTGGCAATCCCAAAAGACTATCTGACCTTCCAGGGATTGATGTGTTTGTTTCAACAGCTGATGCAGACAAAGAACCCCCTCTAGTCACTGCAAACACAATTCTTTCAATTCTTGCTGTTGATTATCCTGTGGAGAAGCTGGCATGTTATCTTTCAGATGATGGAGGATCACTGGTGACATTTGAAGCCCTTGCTGAAGCGGCAAGCTTTGCAAGGACATGGGTACCTTTCTGTCGGAAACATGGGATAGAACCAAGAAATCCGGAAGCCTACTTTGGGCAGAAGCGTGATCCCCTCAAGAACAAAGTAAAGCTTGATTTTGTTAGGGACAGGAGAAGAGTGAAGAGAGAATATGATGAGTTTAAGGTGAGGATAAATGCCTTACCGGACTCAATAAGGCGAAGATCAGACGCTTATAATGCCCAAGCAGAGGTACGAGCAAAGAAGAAGGAGATGGAAATGGGAGAAATTCCTTTCGAATCCAATAAGGTCCCCAAGGCCACTTGGATGTCAGATGGTACTCATTGGCATGGAGCTTGGACATCAGCAGAGGAAGGTCATTCTAAAGGGAATCATGAGGGTATTATTCAGGTAATTATTCATCCTTGATTTTGCATTACACTCACAATTTGAATTCGGTGTTTTTGGGAAGTACTAATATCCTAGTTTTTATCTGCAGCTTATGTTAGTTCCACCAAATCCAGAACCACTTTTTGGGGCTGAGGCTGATGGGGAGAACTTGATTGACACAACAGATGTTGATAGAAGATTGCCAATGCTTGTTTATGCATCTCGTGAGAAGCGACCAGGGTTTGATCACAACAAGAAAGCTGGAGCCATGAATGCGCTAGTCCGAACCAGTGCAATTATGTCAAATGGCTCGTTTATTCTTAATCTTGATTGTGACCACTACATCTATAATTCTATGGCTCTGAGGGAAGGAATGTGCTTTATGCTTGACAGGGGCGGTGATAAAATCTGCTATGTTCAGTTCCCACAAAGGTTTGAGGGAATTGATCCTAATGATCGGTATGCTAACCACAATACAGTGTTTTTTGATGTAAGCATGAGAGCTCTTGATGGGTTACAAGGTCCAATGTATGTTGGGACAGGCTGCATTTTCCGGAGAATTGCTATTTATGGGTTTAGTCCACCTAGAGCAACAGAACACCATGGTTGGCTTGGTAGAAGAAAAATCAAGTTGTCTTTGAGAAAGCGCAAGGTGGCAAAAAATGAGGATGATGATGAAATGATCTTACCAATTAATGAGGATCGCAATGATGAGGATGAAATCACCAAGTCCTTGATTCCAAAAAGATTTGGAAATTCTATTTATCTAATGGACTCGATTGCAGTTGCTGAATTTGGGGGCAGGCTGCTGCATGAGTTGCGAGGCAAAGATAGCCAGGGCAGGCCAGCTGGTTCTCTTGCAGTGCAACGAGAGCCTTTAGATGCAGCAGCTCTTGCAGAGGCAATCAGTGTTATATCTTGCTTTTATGAAGATAAAACTGAGTGGGGCAAAAGGGTGGGATGGATATATGGTTCAGTTACTGAGGACGTTGTGACAGGGTACCGAATGCACAATAGAGGATGGAGATCAGTGTACTGTGTCACCAAACGGGATGCCTTCAGAGGGACGGCTCCAATCAATTTAACAGATAGGCTCAACCAAGTCCTTCGATGGGCAACAGGTTCTGTTGAGATCTTCTTTTCCCGGAACAATGCGCTCTTTGCAAGTCCGCGATTGAAGTTTTTGCAGAGGGTTGCTTATTTTAATGTTGGATTGTACCCTTTTACCTCCATCTTTCTCCTGGTTTATTGCTTTTTGCCTGCACTTTCGCTCTTCTCTGGGCATTTCATAGTCCAATCCCTCAATGTGACTTTTCTAGTGTTCTTGTTGGCGATTACACTGACCCTGTGCATGCTTGCACTCCTTGAAATTAGATGGTCAGGAATCACTCTTCATGATTGGTGGCGTAACGAACAGTTTTGGTTGATTGGTGGAACTAGCGCCCATCTTGCAGCAGTGTTCCAAGGACTTCTGAAGGTTATAGCAGGAATTGATATCTCATTCACATTGACCTCAAAATCTTCTGCACCTGATGATGGAGACGATGAGTTTGCAGAGCTGTATGAGATCAGGTGGTCCATTCTATTGATCCCACCAATTACAATAATTTTGGTTAACATGACAGCGATTGCAGTGGGGGTATTTAGGACAATGTACAGCCCCTTCCCACAGTGGAGCAAGCTCCTTGGAGGTGTGTTCTTCAGTTTCTGGGTTCTGTCTCATCTCTACCCTTTTGCAAAAGGGTTGATGGGGAGGAGGGGTAAGATTCCCACCATAGTCTTCCTATGGTCTACGTTAATCTGCATTGTTATCTCGTTGCTTTGGCTGTACATATACCCTCCTTCTGGAGGGCAGGATTTCATGAGATTTCAGTTCCCTTGATGTTCTTATCTGGTACTTGCTACTAAGGGGGAAGGCTCTACTTACAGCTGAAGCCAACAAAGCATGAAGTTCATCGACTTCATCTACTTTTACGTAATTTTAATGCTTTCATTCATTTCGAATGTAACATGGTTTGCACTTAATAGTCTTCCTACATTGATTTGTGCATTGTTTATCTCCATTGCTTTCGTTGTACATACACCCTACTTGCTTATGAGAAAGGCAGGTTTAGATGAGTTCATTTTGCTTGAGGGTTTGATTTCATCTAGTTTATCATTTTATTACTGCTTTCGTTGATTTTGGAGGTTACTCTATTTGCATTGCACCTAGTTGCTTCCTTCCTATACTTCTCTTGTAGTGGTTCAGATTTAAGAGTTCCCTATGTTATAGATCAGTTGTCAAACCATGGAAGCGAACCTACCATGTTTTATGATAAAACTATGTTCAACTAACTCAGTATTAGTATTATGCTAGTTCATCTGCGAAATGTAATTAGTATTAGGGGATGGATCAGTGGGAGTAAACTCTCCCTCTATATAGATTTATGACCTGAATATGATCTTGACAATTACAGAATTCCTTTTAGTATTCAGTGGTAGTGTTTATAAGCAAAAGACACAGAAATTTTGGCATTGTTTTACACCTATTAAAATATTCTATTACTTATTTATTCATATCAAAGCATTAACGGAAGCTAATAAATGTTTTCTACACACATTTGAAGTATCAGAATTTTCAACTTAACTACTCCCGGGAAATAGCTACCTCCCACTCTGCAATGGTTTGCTACTGCAGCATTATGTTTGAGCTTGTTTTTAAGGGCGCCTTAATAAAGGGAAGGAAAATGATACTTAGACCGATGTAAAGGAGGGATGAGCTTTGAAGAGTTTTACTACTCTTTGTGTATTAATTCTAATCTGAAAAATTGGTATAATGCATGGCCTTACAAACTCAAAACCATGGGCACATATCAACCAGAATTGTATGAAGGAACTGTTAGTTGCCTTCTTAATAAAACCATGGGCAAAATAAGTTTGTGATTTTTAGATTACTCTCATAATATGTACAAAGATGAATGTGTGTATTTAGAGAAGAAATAACAAGAAACAAATTGTTGTGTGGGCCATGGATTGTGGACGGTACCCGCGAACTAAGATCTCGACGCAATGGCTGTTTCTAGCTGTAAAGGGTTCCCAAGGCATCGTTTCTTTTGGGACTATACATATACATACCCCCATGTGTCTATGTCTTTTTCTTCTTACCTTTTTTTTTGTTGCTTTCTTTCACATGTCACACTAAAGACATTTTTAGATATATATCCTTCAACACCGATAGCAGATAGGGAGCCAAAATTATCACAATTTTTTGGTGACCACAAACAAAATCTTCTCTCTCGCCATGAAATTGATCTGCTTCATTTCTGCTACCATGTCTTCAAACTCAAGACCCACACTTGCACTGAGATGTCACTGTCAGTAAACCCATTCACTCCAACAAAACAACTGAGTTTTCTAAAAACATATAACTAGCCCATTTAATCCCATCATCATTAAAAAAAAAACACACACATATTGATCTGATTATTGGTAAATTGATCCCGCGGGTAATATATATTGAATTGGCAATCTCACATGGCTTGAGAATTCATAATTGATTTTATTACTATGATTTAGTTAGATTTAATTATATATATATTTAAATCAGATGACAGGGAATTGGTGAAAATAGTATAACTTTTTACTATTTATTTAGTGGTGAAAAGCTATCTGAGTTTGCGCATTGTGTTAAAGTATTTTCAACGCCTTACAAATGGGGCTTCAAAGATTCTGGCGTTATATCCACTCCATCCCATGAAATGAATTTCTTTATCTATCTTGTGGAGTGCGTCGATGCATAATTTATATCAGTGAAAGTAACCTGCAAATGTGCATGAACAACCTACCCCTCTCTCTCTGTTTGTGTTTTCTAGAACCGTCTAATACATTTCCAAATCTAAAATAAAGAAATTAGAAGCATATAATATGATTAGTTTAATTCTGAAACAAATCTGTCAAAGTCAGAAGGAGTGATTACTTCAGCCTAATTGAGTAAGGAGGGTATTGTCAGTTGCCAAGTCTCAATCACTTTTTAAATAAAAAGCTAACCGCCAACAACGTCGAACCAACGAAAACCCCATAAGCCCTCCCAGAACAAGTCAGAAGAATGTACTACATTAAACCAACCCCCCCATAGATAAAACACTATTAGAGATAATCAATCCTAATCATGGTGCTAATCCACCATACACAACTCTTGATTCCCCAAGTAAACTCACCACGTGTGATGCCAGGGCGACAGGAATCGATGCCCCCATCCCCTACATTGGACACTTTCTACGCAACAATGACACCTAGGTGGGTCCCTCATTTTGATGCTCTTCTTTCTTTCTCCCTCTAAATTTTTTTTTTTAATTTTTTTAATACTCACACACACATGCTTTCACTGAAATTCAAGCCTTTGACCTTTTTTCAAAAAGTAAAAATATGACATCGCTAAATCAAGACATGTTGATAAATACAATATTCTTTACTACTTGTACCACTCATTTAAAACAAAATACTAATAATTAGTAAAATTGATGGTATAGGTATAATAAAGAGTTGCCACCTAAATTGGAAAGGGACATAATGGGGAGGTAGTTCACACGACTTCCATTTGCTGCCACTAAAGCACACACCACCTAAAACAAGTCCGTGGACTTGGTCACAACTTTCTTGGATTATTATTATTGCCACTCCCTTTTTTTTTCCAACAAAAGCAAGACCACAGCAAACTAATAATCAACTAAATCCATCAATAGTAACACTAAATGCCCACTATCCAACAATTGTTCCTATAGTTGAATCCTATTCAATTATCCAAATAGTAAATTATAAATTAATTAAATTTATATTCGACTACATAAAATTGAAATTAATAAAATTAAAGAAAAATTAGTTCAAAATAATAATAAAAAATTAAACTATTTTTTTTTTAACCAATTTAATTCCAAAGCTCATAATATATGATTAGTAAAATTGGCATCACAAATGAACTCCAATTGACATTAAAAATGCATAACAATATTTTTCTAAACGAGTCGATATAAGCATTTCCACTACCATAACGGAGTATTAATTATGATGATGTCAAGGGAGTAAGGGCAGAAATATGAATGCCAGTAATTTGTTTATGTGTGGCAGCTTGCGGTAATTTAAAGAGTTTTAGCAAGTGCAATCTCGTCATTTCAATACAATGCTTCTGCTACCATTCCAGTCCCGTGTGTGTGGATCGCTCCATTCATGTTGTTGACAGAGTACAGTTGCCCTAAATTGCAAGAATACCTATAATGGTAGACCTACCAGGCACAGAGACACACCCTCAACAGTAACAACAAAATGACAAATTATTGAATTGAATATCTTTTTTTTTCTTTTTCTTTTTCTTCTTTTTATTTTGGAAGGCACAGTAATAGAATAGAATACAAATCGCCTGGGATGAGGATGATGATAATAAGTTAAATAAAAGAAGAAATAAAAATCAAAATCAAGAAAACACAAAGAAACAAAAGGAAAATAAAAATGAGAGATTAAAAATATCAAAAAGTAGTAACTGGAGGGATTTTTTACCACCGGCGGCGAGCGAGCCCCGGTCCACTTTCATGTCGAGTGTCCGTACAAGTCGAATGGTTCCCATAGAGCGTCGAGTGGGCACCGTTGCTTCGAATCAATCCTGAGCCATGGCTTGCCACTGCCGCTCCAATGGAGGAGGCTCACCGCACCGGGATGGAGATTCCGGCAGCTGCCTCTCACGTTATCCCCTCCCAATCCGTGTTGGTTCCAACGGTGCTCAATCGGCGCCACGTGTCCCGCGAAGACCAGAAGAAAAGGCGGCAGAGACCCGAGCTCGTAGATCCGCCCACGCTTCTGAATCTCCATCCATTCCTCAATCCGTTTCGTATAACCGAACCGCCTCCAGTTCACCAGATCTATTACCATGACGCCGGTGTTGAAATAACACGGCCTCCGGCCGACGAAAGTGCCGGAAAACCTCTTGTCGGACCAAAAACTCGCCGTGAAATATTTTTTGAAGTTAGCGTGGCAGTATTCCGGCGCTCCGATGGTCTTATTTTCCAAAGTGGTGGTCCAGAGCTTCGAAATATCATCGACCACTACGAGATCGGAGTCCAAGTATATCACTCTGGCAACGCAGGGCTCCAGCAAATCGGCTAAGTAATTCCTGGCGTAATTCAGCGGTTGCTCAAGCGCTTGCCTCACGGATGTGGAGATCAGGTTGCGTACAATCTCCGGATCGAAATAATAGACCTTGAACTTCAAATGAGGGAAAGTGGATCGGACTAGGGTTTCCAGATTGACATCGGAGACAAGGAAGTGAAAGAAGATGCTCTCGGGACACTTTGAATGCTGAAGAATCGAATGTACGGCTGCGATTGAGCCACGAAGGTAGTCAACATCCAGAGTAATCGCAACGTGAACGAGGGAGGGATGGCAGACACCTGTTTTCCCCAATGTTGAACTGCATTCTTCGGCATTGCGAAATGTGGATGCTTTCCGGAACGATAACCGATTGGGCGAATCGACGGCCGGAATCTGCGCTGGAAAGCGAAGGTAACCGTCGAGGTTAGTGGATCTAATGGCTTCTGCCGGTGGAAATGATTGAAGAGACGGAGAGAGAACGATCATGACCATTGCTGCGGAGAAAAACCCTGAGAACCTCATTATCCAGAGCATATTGACAGGGTAAAAGCCTCTTCTCTTCTTCTTCTTCGATTTGAAATCAAATCGATCCGCTAAACGAGAAGAGATTGAAGATATTAGGAACGCTAGGGTTCCTTTGAGGTCCGCCAGAGTTGGAAACACGGAGATAAAAAAGAGAGGGAGAGAGAGAGAGAGATTTTTCGAATCAAATTGTGACTTGTTGTGTTTTTTCTCTCCCCCTCTCTCTAATCGGATGCCGTGGGAACGAAGCGAACTTCTATGAGACGGAAAGTAGAGAGAAGAGAATCCATAGATGAAACCAGGGCGAAATAAATGGCGCCTGGCGCTACCAGACGTGTGCTGCAGTCCTGCTTCTCTCTCTCTCTCTCTCCCCCCGGAGAAGGTGAAGCAGCAGATATACACAGGTAGAGTATAGATAGGAAGAGAGAGAGAGAGGGGGGGGGGGCTCTGCTGCCTTTCTTTTTGTTTTTCCCAGCTTTTGCCTTTTCCACCATAGAAATCCACGGCCATTCATCATAATAATAACAATAATTTTTTATTTTTAAAAATTACACTTGGTAACAAAAAAAAAATTAAAATAAAAAAGTTTACTATTATTAATTTATATGTGTGTTAGTACATATTACGATACATATAAATCGCCTCCGAGAGCATTGCAGAAGGGGCATAGAGGACCAGCTGTCGTCTTCTATCACAATGACGATTGCGTCCATAGTCCATACAAAACGCACATCCTCAATGTAGTACACACATGGACTGTCGCACACATCACTCTCTTCTTTTATAGAAAAAAAATAATAATAGTAATAATTATTATTATTACAATTAATTAATTAATTAAATTAGTTAACTATAATTCAATAATTAACTACTGTATTTTATTTACGAAAATCACAATTCACTATATCCTATTTCATAGGAAAGCATTCCCATCCTCTTCCAACATATAAATTATTATGTCCTCACTTACATATTTGTAAGTGATTTCTTGTTTGGCATCTCCTAATTTTTTTTACAATATCTCAGGTATTTCAATCTAATACTAAAAGAATGATATATATATATATATATATATATATATATATATATATATTTTGAAAAGAAAAGAGAGATAATTAAGTTTGAGACGGATTATTATTCTTTGCATATATATATAAATATATATATATATTCGTATCACAATCCAAACTGAATAAAATTGTATGATTTAGTTTAGTTTTAACTTTTAAGAAATCAAAATTTGAATTTGATTTAAAAAATAATGGAATCACTACTATGGTTTATAACTTGGGGGTTTAACAAATGGAAGCAACAGGAACATAAGTATTTGATTGGTTGAACATTAATTCCATAAACCTCCCCACACTAAATAAAGGGTCTGTTTAGTATGAGGCTATTAGCTAGGTTCTGTACTTGTATGTTTTTAGAGGAAGGCTCTTTATTTTCACTTAGACCTAGTTATAAATATATACATATACAATTGGTTTAAACATTTATTTGTTTTCAATAGTGGAGTTTAAACATTTATAAATATATACATATACAATTGGTTTAAACATTTATTGGTTTTCAATAGTGATTCACTAACAACGAGGGACGAGGGACAATTTCTAATTATCAGACGAGTCAATGTGCTCATTCTTATCCCCAAGCTTCCTTAGAAGACTTTGTGATTGACATTAACAATTTTCCTCTTTAACCAATCATTAAGCTTGTAACTTGTAGTTAGGCACTTTGCAAATCAAAGAAGTTGTAATTGATTCTTATTGTATTACAAGTTAGTTAAGAAAAATAATTTATATTTTTTTTTCTTTGTTAGGCTAGAATTACCTATATGTAAATCAACCCCTTATATTATTAAACTAAATTTTTTTTAATTTCAATTTCAATTTCAATTTTAATTTCAATTTCAATTTCAATTTTAATTTCAATTCGTCAAACGTAGCATTGGGTTTGGTTTTGAACCAAACATTCAGTAATTAAGAATCAATCCATACCATCCACAACTAACTATTTATAATTTGTGATTATCATGGAGCAAACAACAAATTACAGAAACCAAACTCTTGTCATGTAATTAAATAACTAAGAAAACACACGAAATTATAGCACACATAAACCTATATATTATGCTCCATTTTCTCAGTTACATTTTTAGGTAGTCCATTAATGATGTCGCCATATAAATTAGAATTGGTGACAATATATAATAAGGTAATTAAATCTTGATTGCAAATGTAGATAAATGTCATCCTTTAAATACATTTGACTTTGTTATTAAAGACACGGCACGCATGCATTAAATCTAGTGTTAAAAATGTTTGCAATAGTTGTAACCTTATTTATTTTCCTGCTAAGTAGGCTGTAAGACTCAGTATGTCTCTCAAGTAGTTTAGAAGATTTCCGTTCATTTATATGAGTTTGCCTTAAATATGCCAATATGTGGAATACTACTTTTTTACACAACTGCCATAAAAAGCATGCCTAGTGAGATTAAGTACTTTCGATAAGTATACCTTAATCAAAGGTTCTTGATAATTTCATGTTGGAAAAAAAAAAAAAAGCCACTTAATTACATGTTATCTCAGCCGCTGTAAATTTACTTTTTTCAAATGGTTGATCGGAAGTTCGAGTCTCGGTGTAGGTTTGAATGTGTGAATTTGCTTAAAATATTGGCATTATATTCCTGTATTTGTACTTAGTTTTTTTAATTAAAAAAAAAAAAAAATTACACAATTATACATGAAAGAGTGAGTGGAATCTAACTAATGTTTGAGACAATTGTGAAGTTTGGGAGTTTTGAAATGATGTGGCAACAAAGTGGACTTCAATATCATTGTCCACTTTTTGTGAAGCTTGCATCTTTTTGGGGAAAAAAAAGCCCCGGTTACACTTAATACGTTTGATTTTATGAGGAAAATGTATAGCTAGTACATTGAAGTTATGATGATCATTATTTGATTTGTAAAGTTTTGTTTTGTTTTTTTTTTCTTTTCTTTTCTCTTTTGGGTAAATAGTGGATGTAACTTTTCATATATACAAAAAATTAAATCACTTCTTGTGTTTTTTTTTTTTTTTTTCAAATGTAAGTTTCTAGATAATTGCATGCATAGTGATATATATATATCTCAATAATGTTATTGTTGTTGTTAATATTATTATTGTTATTATTTGATAAATTACAGCTACATCTCATAAGTTTTATCCTATTGATAGATACATGCAAGTTAGTTTTTTTATTTTTTTTTTAAATGACACCCTATCAGTTTTTACATATAAAAATACTATAAAATGTCTAAATTACCTGTATCTTTTTAAAGCTTTTTAATAAAAGAATAATAGATAAACTAATAGACCATTTTGGCCCTAATATTTAGAGGGAAAAGGATAATGCTATCTAATTTTAGGGTGATGGTCTAATTGGTGTATATATGCTTTGCTAGCTAGTTAATACTACGAAAAAAATATTCAAAATAAAATCATTGAATCTGCAATATATATATATACAGACACACAAACATATATAGATATAATATCATTATAAAAGATTTTGACACTAGTTAAGATTTAATTAATATATGCAAGCATGCTTGTTATAATATTTACGTTAATATTAGTTAAATAATGCTGAGACAAATAATACCATTTTAACAAGTTCAAGTATTATATATATATATATATATATCCTTAAATAAGCATCCTGTCACTAAATATTTTAAAATTCAATATATAACAGTTGCACAATGAGCATCTCTAATGGGCTCTTAAACTCAAAATATAGCATGTGGATGAAAATAAGGTACTCCAATAGCCTTTCAAAAGACCTCTCATATTTTGAGATTTTCAAATGTATTCTCAAATATAGAAGATCTCAAATAACCTCTCAAACTCAAAATATAGCAAGTGGATGAAAATAGGCATTCCAATGGGCTGTCAAAAAACTTCTCATATTTTGAAATTGTCAAAAGTTACTAAAATGAAAATAAAGTACTCCAATGTGCTCTCAAAATATGGAATGATTGTTATGTCAAAATATAGCAATTTGGATTAAATGAACCATTAAAGCAAAATTGTCAAAATATAGCATTTTGACATTGTAACTCCTCTCAAAATATAGATTTGATATGAAAATATATTATTTTGCATTGCAGATACTCTAAGTACTAAAACTGTTATTTTTCAATTCTTTTTAATTAATAAGTTTTTTTTTTTTTTTTTTTTTGCTATATATTAAGTTATTTCTTATTTCCAATCATGTCATTGTGTTTATTATGCTACCAATTAGAATAATTAATCATATTATTCGACGATAAAATATTAATGAGGTTGGAATCCGATAAAATATTAGAAATAAATAGAAAACATATAAGTAAGAAATTTAATACATATATAATTATCTTTTTTAGTTATGACTTTGTAAAAAATGAAAGAAACTAAGTTCAATCTTTATAATGGGATTAAACTAATTTGTAAATGCGTCAATTTAGTATTTATCCTAAAATACTAAAATGGTATGTAATACTCCGTACACTACTATATATGTTTTATTTATATATATGTTGTATATGTGTGTGTATATATATATATAATTTTTTGTTTTACATGAAAGGGGAAATATCCAATAGGGAAGAACATCAGAAGTTCTTGAGGTTTTTTTTGACCAATCCTAACAAAAAACAAAGGACGCGTGGAAAATAGTTTAGGTTATTGTGGTCATGTCATTTTAGATAGATAGAGACAGCAGGTGTACACTGTACACTCCTGTGCTCTGATTTTTGCTTTGCACAACATGATGCAGCCGTGAGTATTGACATGACCATACTATGATATACGTAGTAATATTACAGTATTACTATGCTTTGTAAAATGTGTCCCTCGTTTTGTACGTTTACCAGTCCGTACATTTTACGCTTGTCCCACTAGCCTGACCTCCACAATTTCTATTGTACTAATTTTTTTTGTTACTCTTTTTTCGAGAAAGTATATTTATTACTAGTAGATTTTTCTCTCTACGGTTTTCATACGTAGTATTATTCTGACTTTATTTGTGGAGTATTAGTGAGTAAAGGTATGATATTGAATATTTAAAGGATATTTTATCAGGAATAATGCTTAGTTACGCACCGGTGAATAATTTCACCTACTAACCCTTTATGTGTTCTAATAACAAAATAACGCATCCGTTTTAATAACAAAATAACCCACACGATTCGCTGCTTTTTCGAATTAATCATTAAATAAACGTACAGGACTTTTTTATTATATAAAAACAAGCGTGTTATTTTGTTATTAAAATACATAGATAGTAAATAAAGTGAAGAAAATTATCCTTTTATCAGTTCTTAATGACCTAAGAGTATAACAAATTTGTAAATTGTTTATTTGGGAAGCATGGAATTCATGTTTGAAATCGTAATTTAAATTAATGTCAGTATTAGTGTAATAAATATTTTAGTATTTTATTACCAAACCACTTGCATAATATGGCTATCAAATTGTAGACGTTGCAAGGGCGTATAGTAATTTAGCAGTGGGCAGTCTTTCTTTATAATAAATTGACCATCTAATTCTTAGTGGCAACACAAGTTTCAAAATTCACCGTTACAACTGATCTCTTTCATTTGTAGCCGTTGGACGCATTTATCACTATCTTTAGGAGATGATTTTGACGCAGTCCTGTTTCTATATATATATATATTTTGTTCAACTTACCAAAAAAAACTTTGCTTAAAATTATAACCAAAAAATAAAAAATTATCAAAAAAAACAGAGTTACAGTGTTCATTATTTACACCACTTGAAAAGAACAATACTTAGTCCTCTCGTTAGTGAAAATTTTTAACATATTCATCTTTGAAGTGGATCAATAATAAATAAACATGTTATTTTTAATTATTAAATCAAAAGTAATGAATACATAATATCATATTGAAAGTATGAAATATGCTGTACGATTATATTATTGGTTCCTAATTAATTAAAGAAACGTTAATGAATGCATATAGGCTGTAACTTATCCATATATATCTGTATCTCCCATTCTCCATTGCTACACACTCGAAAAAGTAAATATATAATAATTGACTTTTTTTAAAAGAAATTCAATTATTAGACTATGATACTCCAAAAATTAAATAAACCGACAAATAATATATATATATCTTTTGTTCCTTAATCAAACTTTTTTAGGCTTGTGATGCAATTAATCTATATTAAGAAATGCCTATTCTTAAAGCAATTCTTAAAAAGCATCACCAGTTTGACAAACAATTTACTTAACACTTCTTGTAAATGAATAGACTTTATTTCACTTTCAAGACTTCATTCATTAGACTAAATTAATCCAAATGGTCCCACCATTAGTATTATTGATTCAATGATATCACCACCCAGGCACACCCACCACAAGTAAGCTCACCTATTTTAGATTGGTTTTTCAGCCTATATGGGATACAATCAGTTCGTAATTTGCTATTATTACACATCTTTATGAACTAGTTCGTTTCTTTAATTTATATAGATATTTGCTCAACCATTATTGCGATCCGTGACTACAAATCATAATTACAAATTATAAGAAAGTACATAGCTTTTGCCTGAAAGCTTTTATGAATCTATTTGATTCTATTTCTGAAAATAATGTTTCATAAAAAAAATAAAATAAAAAACTTCCTTTTGTCTTCTGAAAATTTTTTTCTTCTCTCAATTTAATAAAAAATAATTCGTTTTGATTATTTGGCTTCTGTCTGCTTGCTTAGGTCCAAAGAATGAAACCACCCATTTGATTGGTGTTCTCTTTTTCTTTTTGTTCGTATCTTCTTTTTAACCAAGCCATTTGATTGGTGTTATCTTTTTATTTACCGGCTTATGCTTTTGTGACTAATTCAACTGGGCCCTACTATGAAAATACTTGTTTATCACAGGAAGCAAAAGAGAAACGGTAACCACATCAACTCTTTTTTTGTTAGCGTATTTTTTTATTTGAAATATCAACTAACAAGTAAGTTTTGTATGGTTAAATCATCAAGGGAGTTAATATTAGCGTTGTACGGTTCTACCTATATATTTTGGTGATTCATTTTTTTTTTTTTTATATAAATAAAATTATCTAATGTTTTTATATTACACATTAATTGATTCTTATATTTTTTATATCATAATTACCCTTATTTGATAAGAATAGAACTCTTGTAAAATCCGTCCATTATTCTTTCTAACTCACACATGTTTTTTTTGAAAAATTCTCTAACTCACACATTCTTGTATCTTTTTTGGACTTCCGTTAAATTTATCAATTGTTCTCTCTGAAAACACATCCCTTTATTTAATCTTCTTTGGACTCATGCGCATTTCATGACTTAAAACACCTTCATTATCTTATAGTACGGGACTCTATATGAATTTAATCAAACTCACTTCAGTTCCAAACAAAAACAAATTGGCAACAATGTTAGGACTCCATATGAATCTAATTAGAGACCCACTTCAGTTCCAACCAAAAACAAATTAGTAAAAATGTGATTGAAATTGATTCAACTCAAAACAACCACAAAACAAACTCAAATTATGTACCTACAAAATCAAGTATTGTGTGATGGAAGTACTTTTTTGTAATTTTATTTTGGGAAAATAGAAGGGTGAAAGTATTGTGTGATGGAAGGACTTTTTTTTACTTTTATTTTGGGAAAATAGAAGGGTGGAAGTATTGTGTGATGGAAGGACTTTTTGTAATTTACTTTAGGAAAATAAAAGATGGGAGCTAAAAGAGTGGAGCGCTAGAGGATGTTGGTGTAGGCCCAATAAATAAATGAATAAATAAGTGTGATATTTAAAAAAGAAAGTGCAAATTAAAGAATCAGTACATACCATTGGATGAAAAAGAAAAAAGAAAAGAAAAAAAAAGAAAGAAGAAATTTTATTTATTTATAATACTAATAATTATTTTTGTAATTCATTCAAAAGGCGAGTCATTACAGTTCCATAATGCGTTGAAATCCACGCACCTTGTTTTGGGGTTGAACAAAGCAAACCAACTTTTGTCCATTGCACTTCCCTGTTAACTTTCCCTCTTGGGCTTGGGACCCAGAGTCAGAACAAAACGATCTTACCAAACACATTGGGCCATTGTGGGCTGCATAGTTTCAAGTCCAGGCTTTTCAGCATTGCAGTTGGTCCATTGGTCTAGTATGCTTTCTAAAACAGAATACACATTACACACACACACGTGATAGGAGCACTAGTAGTGAAAGTGCTTTAAAATCTAATTTGCACCGAATTAAACTTCAAAGTTTCATTCCAGTGAAAAGTGGTTGGTCACTGAGTCAAACTGAACAACACTACACATGAAAACCAACAACAACAAATTTTTTTGGGGGTAAAGAAAAAAACACAAAAGTTCATAATACAGTCTTAGTATGACTAAGAAAACAAAACACAAGAAGAGACTTAAAAATTGTAGCATTTAAATGTTTTTCTTCTTGACAAACTACTACTAGCATTGGTTCTCATCGTCTCGAAGCCCTCTTTTTGTTCAAACCTTCTGGTGTCTTAACTTGACTCAATCGCTTCATCTTCCCATTGGTCACCACTTTTTTAGAGCTTTTGTCAGCCATTGATTTCTTCTTCTTCAAAGCCTCTGGAGTCTTGACCTCACTTAACCTCTTTCTCTTCTCGCCCTTCTTAGGACTCACGTTGCTCTTCGCCTTCACGCCCTTCTTGAGATCGCTCTTCTTTTGCGATCCTTTGATAGTATCAGACACCATTTTCACCTTCTCTGAAGCAGAGACCTTGTAAGAGTTGTTGATTTTCACTAATTTCTCAGATTTCACCAACTTCTTCAACTGAGCTGACAATATCTTCCTGAAATTTGTTGGAAGCCCCTTATGGTGTTTCTCCTCCATGAATTTGGCTATCGCCGGTTGGCTCGAACCCGTCCGATCCTTCAGCGAAGTGATCGCTTTTGTTATCATCTGTAGACAACATATAAGTGAAATCAAATTCTTGATATACATATATATACATAGAGAGAGAGGGAGAGAGAGAGAGAGAAAGAACCTGCAAGTAGGGCGGATGGAGGGTTGAAGGAGGAGGACTAACAGTCTTCTTTCTTGCAGGAGCCATGGCTTCTTTCATCAACAATTGGGAGAATTTTGGATAAAGATTGAGAGGGAATGTGGGTAGTCTGTTTATAAAGAGGGCTGGAGTTGATGTGCTCAAATTTTCAATTTCAAATTTCGTTTTTGGCGGAATTTGTAACGATTAGGTGTAGCTGTTTGATTGGCGAACTATTGAGGATTTGGATCGGTACGTTTTTGTGATCCTCTCGTGCGTGATTCAAATAATCATGTCACTGATGTACAACGTTGAAAGGCATGGTTGATTTGTGATTAAGATGCTGATGATATGATCGTGGGTTCGTGGACTGAGATGAAAGGGGAGAAGATTCTAGTAGAAAGCGGGGGACATAAAGTAGACTAGGGTTGCACAGAGTTCAGTATGTATTTTGATTTGAATTCTAACCATTGAAAAAATAACCAAATTAATTTATATTATAAAATAATTACATTTTATGTGCACATAACAATCTTTTACTCTAATATTAGTAGCATATATATTTTCTAGGCATTTTTGAAAGAAAAACATAACAAAACGGATATTATAACACTAATTTATGTCAAATTTTTTTTATTGAGAGGGTGTTTTTACACAATGTGAAAAGAATAAAAATATTACACACTTTTTAAAATAGAATAAAAAAGAATAAGGAACTTATTTCTTCTAGAAATTATTATCCTAAGAGCATCCGGGGCGGCACTCTCTTTAGAGTATATTTGTGTCAGTTAAGGGAGAGAAGTGGACGGTATGGTGAGAGAAGTGGAGTATTTGTTTCGTGGAGAACACTTTATTTTTTGTTTCCTTTGTTTAATCAATCTGACTGAAGGGAAAAAAGCAAAAGGCAAATATGGATGAGATAAATTAATAAAATAATAAATAGAGAATGAGATAATTGGGTTCCACACGATGACACATATGGATTAAAAAAAATAGAGTACCACATTATTACTTTTTAGTTTACGTGACGCTTTACTTTTTAAAAAGTAAATAGATAATTTGTGTTGCCCACACCGGATGCTCTAAGCCTACTTTTCTAATCCAGATAATGCTTCCCCTAGAAAAGCCAAGGACACGGCCCTTCTACTCAGAGGCAGGTACATACACGAAAAAGTTTTTAGAGATCGAGATTGATTTTTCATCCAAAACGAATATATATATATATGTAAAAGAGAAGAAAATAGTAGTGGTTAACCTCTTCCATTAAATCCGCAACTGTGTTAAGCTGTTGTTGAATAAAAAAAGGGTACTATCTTGAAGACTAGGAGCTGGACTTGCATCACTCCCCTATAATTGCAGTGGAGTGAGAAAGGTGACATTCGATGCAAATAAAATACGTAACATCGTTTGGTTTGCTTTGATTTCAACAGAACCGTCTACACGTGCACTTGCGTCTTCTCCGGCATGAAAGCATTCGATGCATCATGCACACGTAGGATCCGTCTCCCTCCGGTTATTGGTTTTGCTTTTGCACACATGCATTCCGGGCAATGGCATTGTGCTGTTGCTGAGGCTACCACCAAATATCACTTTCTGGTACTATTTTAGTGTGTGTTGTGGTGTGGGTGGAAACAACTGTGATATTAAAATTTTATACTCTGTCTTAAAAAGAATGTCTCTTTTAGAGAAGGGTAATTTATGAGTCACAATTTTTCAAAAGAAATAATTATTTTGAAATGAAGAGAATATTAATTATTAATTGGGGCAAGTTTAAATAAACTATTTTTTAAAATTCGTCTCTAACTCTATTTTGATGATACCATATTCATTCCAAGTGCAGGTTAAGTTAGCATAATCAAGGTAGTACCAATTTGGGTTGGATTCTTTTGTTTGTAGAATTATTAGTTCAAGCTCTCTCAAGTATCTTGAGCTAGCTGATTTGGCTTATAATATGAGCTGGCTTGATTAAGCACATGAACTCAGTTCATGAAACATATTACATTTAATTTTTTATTATTATTTTTTTAAATTCACACATTTAATAAACAAACTAAAAATTGAGTTAAAGTTCAATCCATGCACATAATAAACAATCGCATGTAACACTAGACTACAAATTTTAGTGGTCATGAAATTAATGAAAATGAATTCAACCTTTAACAAATTAAATATTTATATTCAGCCAGAAGTGATAAAATAATTATTTTTTTTTTGCTTTTCATTTATAAATAAATAAAGTAAGATAGATATATATATATATATATATTTTTTAGAAGTAAGAGAGATATTGAAGTTGCTGAGTAACCCCCAAGAAAAATATATTATTTATAGTTGTCCATCTTACGCATATGATAATGGTTGCGTGAAAGACAAAGAACATGAATAGTGGCGGCCATCAATATATATGCATTCATCATCTCCAACTCTCAGATCACTTTCCATCTTTCCTCTCTGAAACAACGATAGAATGAAGATTCCCCAACCCATTCCACTCTTATCTCTGATTCTAATTCTACACTTCAATGTCTCGTCGCCAATGTCCACCATCACTGCAATGTCCAAAGATCAGATAGATTGCACGTTTTGCTCCGCCTGCGATAATCCATGCCAACCAATACCGTCGCCGCCTCCACCATCTCCTCCCCCGCCAGCATCGGACTCCAACTGCCCGCCGCCGCCATCTCCTCCGCCACCGCCCTCGTCGGATTCTAACTGTCCACCACCGCCGAGTTCCGGCAATGACTACAACTCGCCTTCCCCACCACTGCCGCCGTCAGTTCCCACATTTCAATATTACTCGCCACCGCCACCAGTGGGTGGCGGTGGCGGTGCCTTTTATCCACCGCCGAACTACTACAACTATCCCACTCAGCCACCCCCAAACCCAATACTTCCCTATTTCCCATATTACTATTACAATCCTCCGCAGCCTTCTTCGGTATCCACATTGAAAAACCACCCAATTATTCCATGCGTTCTTCTTTTTCTTACATTCCTCTTTTTTATCTAAAGAAAGAGAGAGAGAAAAAAAAAAAAATAGAAATAATACAGATTCTCATGAATAACATTGCCATTGATGCTGTGTCTTTAGGGGTACTTGCCTGGTTCTTATCGAAGCCAACCCAAAGGAGAAAGAAGCATTTGTTCGAGAATAAGGAAAGCTAGCGTGATTAATTGAAGAATTCGCGTCTCACCTATACTCCACTTTTAATTATGTAATACTAATCAGGTAATTTTTTTGTTTCAGTTGCTTGAAAAATAAAGTACTGATCTATTAGTGATTTTTGTAAAACTGTATGTTTTTATATTGCATGTAATTGTTGTTGGTAGATTCATTTTTGTTGTTGTAATTAGTTGAACTAAGTAGTGGAGTAAAATAGTAGTATTTGAATAATTTTCAATTTAATGGCTTGAATGAATTTGCATGTATTAATTACAAGTACTGTCAAATGATCCTTGCTCAATTCAAGAGATATATATATATATATGCATCTTATCAACTGATTGACAAGATGATTATGGTAAAATATTTTGGTATTTTCCTTAATTTCTTCTTCTTCTTGAGTGACTTGTATTTTGTGGGCGACAAACTGACAAGTAGAGTGCGGTGGAGAGGATATGGATGGATATGCAAGGAGTTATTTTGTGAGCCTAAAAAAAGACACTAGGTGTCACTCAAATATTTTATTTATAAGCAGTCATTTTGTAATATTATCAAACAGTACACTAGCAGGTAGGTGTAATTGAAATAAAAATGTTGAAATTATAGAGATACAGGAGAAGCTAGTAGTGAATTTTATTTGGAAATGAGTTGGATAGGATAGGGTGAGTGAATGAATATTGGGGTATAAAGAGGGCGGTGGAAGGCTCCTAAAAGAAAGAGGAGGATCGATCGGAGGCAACTGGAGTCCACTAACAAACATGTGGTTTTTGGTTGGAAGTAGAAGCTGCCAATTGCTTCTTTAATGGCTGGCGTAGAGATTCGTTTTCCATTTTAAAATATGCCCACTGCACATGCAATTCTTTCTTTTGTGTTTGTGTGTGTGTATATATATATATATATATATATAAACCTGCATACCTTATCGAGATTGTGGATGAGATAAAAGAAGAAGAAATTAAATGAATGGGATTGAGATGAGTTATGGGAAGTATGAACCGCCCTTGGGCTTGGCACAGGCAGTAGTAGTATATGTCAGTCATTTAGCACAGCGGTCCCCCTCCAACTCCAACTCATGTTCATGGTATTGCCACCTAAAATTAGCACAGCCTACATCAATTTATAAAGTTAAACTGAAATTCTAAACAGTTATTTCCTCTATTCAGAAATTTTGAGGTCAGACAATAAATCATCAACAAGAAGGAAGAGTACCCTAAGTAAAACTGCACAATAAGTCAAGGTGACAATGACCATTTAAACGCATGTATTTTCAAAGAAACAGTTAATTACTTTGATATATGCCTAGCAAGTGAAGGTGGTCATCAATATATATATATAAAACTGCACAATAAGTCAATGTGACAATGACCATTTAAACGCATGTATTTTCAAAGAAACAGTTAATTACTTTGATATATGCCTAGCAAGTAAAGGTGGTCATCAATATATATATGATTGGTGGTACCAAAATGCACAATCTTTCTAAAACATACAATCCACAAATATCTTCTTCATTTTTTCTCTTCCATCTTACTGATTTAAGTATCGGAGTGCATTTAATCACTATCAAACTGGTGTTGAGATAAATTTCAGTTTGAAGACATTGAGTGACCAAAACAAAATTATGTGAGGTAATGGATTTTTAATGAACAAAATTATCAGTTAGATTCCATATATATATGGTCTGTAGCTACATTAGAGAGGAGTGGGACATCAAAAGTCTAGATGATTAGCAAATCCCAATCTCCTCATACAATCTGAAAATGAAACATTAGAGAGTAGTGGCAAATAATCACTAATGTACACTATTACAAATACCACGTATTATTAATCTCCACAAATATCAGCTTTGCAATTTGAATTTATCCCTTTGGCCGCCCAGTTTGGAGAAAACTTGAGCAAGAAAAGCAAAGAAAACACCAATGGAACACATAAGCCATGACAACAATAGCATTGTCCAGTCCTGGTAGTTTCTCTTAGGAAGTTGGCCCCTGTCTGAGATGAGCAATGCCCTGTAAACTGCTTCAGTCAGGGCGTAAGCTGTAACGGGATCAAACTCATCCGCAACAAATCCATACTCCGTCACACAAACAATGTCATACACTCCCGTGGTTTCCGATACACCTACGTGTTCACAAATTTTCAGCCTGCTATCGATTCTGTCTTCGGTTGATAACTTGTCACCGTGTGTCAATATCAAGATAGGGTTCTCATCTGCAGGCACAATGACCAATCACACACGTGCATAATTCAACCAGATAAGAGTTCATTCCCCACAACTTAATAATATGGTTTCATTTTGTTTTCATCTCATTTGATATATCGATTCAAAACGTTCAGTTGCGCTGATCAAGGCACAAAATATGAATAATGAGAACATTTCCTTCTTAATTATGTTAGAAAAAGGCCAAGCAATACACCACAAACCCCTCAGAAAAAGAAAAAAAAGAATTACAAACAAAATTTTAGAGGAGGGATGAATCTTTCAGATTAGGGCATTTTAGACTTAGACATGGAAGATCAGCAGTAGCATCCATTGAGGATAAGAGAAAATTCAGCTAAGATATTGCCAGAGATAAGACAATGCCTACAAGAACAAGATTAGGGGATGTGCCTGTTCTTGTGGCAAACTCATATAAATAGTGTAAGACGTAAATTAGACCGTGAATTATATTATAAAAATTATTGCAAACATATTATGAAGTATCGAGTATAGCTCAGGAAAGGGACTTGTAACCTTTACTCTGCAGAAAAACATATTGATGAGGTATTTTCAAAATTCAAACTTGTAGATAAAAATTATTCGATGACCATCTTGTGTCATTATAGGACCACAGGTGAGCTGGAGAGATGATTTTCATCAAGTAGGACATATGTTAAAACAACGTCACACAGTTGTGGTCAGACATCTTCAAACCAGGAAGTAAGTGGTTTAAGAATTCAATTAGATAAGAAGAATGCAAGAAAAGTCACATCATGCCCCTAACCGAATGCACTAATCAACAATGATCATTGTGCATTAATGGGGTTTAAGATGCAGGGTCCACACCAATACAATATGTACAGTACATAATAATAATAGGGTTCAAGATGCAGAGATCCTAATATGGCAAACATACATTTTATCATGGGAGAGTACTACTAAAGAAGATTGTGTGTTGAAAACTTAATAATAGTGGCAAAGAAACATTTGATTATAGATGTACCAACTGAGTAGGTGTTAGTAATATGCTGTACTAATAATAGCAAATAAACAATTAATCATGGGTTTACTAATGGTCTAATTAATACAGGGTGTTATATGTTTTTTGGGTCATGTGTGAACTAAATGCAGTATGAGCTAGGAGGAGGACTCATCAAAGATTGGAAATAAACATACTGGATATCCTTAGCGATGGTGAGCAGAAGAGGTGTCCAACGGCCTCCAACGGCTTCTTATCACCGGCTTTGAAAGCTTTATAGATCTCTGCAACATTAGCCACCACCATAACAGAGTTCACTCTCCGGTTTGTGAACTTTGAATAACATCTCAGCAGAGGAATCTCAACATTGTCCCCTGACCTCAAGCAGAGCTGGTTATGGTGAACTCCCTCACTCATCCACTCCGACAATTCTTCGAGACACTCGCTCACCCGATCATAATCAAAGCCCCTCGTGTCATATATGCAGAACCCACTACGCATTGACCTCAATACATTGTGTTCCTCCATAAACAAAGTCGTATAATTAGAAGCACTACCTACAGAGAAATAGAGAAATCATAAACGTCAGTTATTATAGTACATAATGCCCACCATTTCCATAACATGTAGTATAGTGTGTGCATACACACACAGACAGAGAGGGGGAATTCAAAGCTAAACACAACATATAGAAATCGGTTTAATAATTACCTGAAGAGGTTTGGGCGAATGGTATGAGTCCAGAGCGTCCCAAAACGCTGTACATAAGGTTGACAAGTGAGCTCTTGCCAGAATTATGGAAACCAACCAAGAGAATGGTGTTCACAGGAGAAATGTCCATCTCTTCCTTCTTGATACCTCCAGTGGGTACCCAGAGATCCCCGGAACGATACGAGAAGAGTTTGTGTCTGAGTTCGTCGAGACCTTCCGGGGCAATTAAGGCCAATCTCTCCAGTTCTCTTAGAACTTTGAGTCTTGGTGTGATCTTGGACAGGTTCTTTGGCATCTCCAACTTCAACACTGCGCATTCCTCAAATTTGGCCGCCGACCTCCACCAACAATACGGCGGTGAGTCGGAGTCCTCTTCGTCATTATTGAGACACAGCTTGTCTTTGTCTTTCATCTCTTAATTTCTTCAATGTTTTCAAATTTTAGTTTTTAGTTCTTGAAGATGGCCACCGACCAATTGTGTTAATTAATGAACAGTTTGTTTCTTATTTACTGTTGGAGGAAAGAATGAGTGGGGAAGATGGGGACAAAAGTGTACAAGTTGTGCATGTGAATTAGGCTTCATCTTTCTGCAAGCCTGTTCAAAAGACAAGGCTGACTCGCGGAGGAAGGTTCGGAGCACTTTCTTCCACTACTGATTTTTTTTTTTTTTTTATATCTCAAGTTTCTTTGGGGAGTTTGGGGATATTCTTTCACTAACGTTCATATTCATTTTCACCAAGTTTACCATCTAAAATGTCAATAAATAAAATAATAAGAAGAAGAAATTACTGATTCACTCATTAGCACGTGTTATTATTTAATTAGATTAAATGGTTGGTTTGATTAAAATAACATCCACCGATTACTTTCATCACAACAGAAATTAATTTGTTTTTACTTTTGGAAAAAAATAAATTGATTTGTTCTTAACACCAAATGCCAAGATGTTACAACTTCACTTATTGAAACTAACTACAGACCTTTTCATGGGGCACTTAATTCAATCGGGTCATCTTCTAGTAATGACACCTCAGATTAATGGATTATGCTGCTTGAACCAGATAAAAATTTTGTTGGGAGAGATCAAAAAGTTAAATAATATAAGACCCCGCATTATACAGCAACATGGATTTTGATCCCAGAAGCCGCCTCAAGAAAATAACTTATGAATGACGCTAATACGGTCTCGGATCTGTTTCCACTTAAATTACCACGTATGTATTGCATTGAGTCTGTTGACTGCATTCAGTGCCCAGCCAGGCAACAATTAAAACCAGATTTCACTTTTAAAGTCTAATCATATTAGCCATCACTACTCACCGAGGGCGGACAACACGCACACACACCATGTAAACCGTGCATTTGAAGCCACGAACTAACAAAAGAACTCAGAAATTATATTTTAGAATATATTAAGCCATATTATCAGTTCCTAAAGACCTGTGGTTTGGCATGTCTTCTCCTTTCAAATCTAAGCTTCTGCAAGTATATTGTGTGAATTCCTCACTAGGAGTAAGAAAAAAACCCACAACATCAAAAGGAAATTGAAGATGCCATTGGGAAAATGGGAAAGGAGAAACAGGAGAGAGAAACTTTGAAAATCTCTCCAAATTCTCTCCTCCCTCTTTTCTCTTCCTAATTCTCTCCTCCTCTCTCAATAAACCACACACTTATGGAATGAACCAACCAATAATATACTTCATTCTGCCACAAGGTCTTTCGTCAATAACAATACATAACAAACACGAATCCTCTTGCATCTCTCATGGAGAGAATGGCTTTCTCACGCACACATAAAAAATAGAAGACAATGACGATAATAACTTGACAGCAAGAACAAAAAGAAAAAAATAAATAAAATGACTCAGGACTCTACATTGTACAAGCAGTTCCTCTGTTATGGTAACGGATCCTCCAACAGTGCATAACATCTAACCTGGTTCATGGTATCTTTACACAACCCACTATTATCTGTTCAGTCCACCGTAAGGAGCGTTCTGTTGATATACCATACCTGAATCTGGACCAAACAGGACCTGAAGACAACGAGAGAATGCCCTACCCACCAATCCCAACAAATTTTCCACCAGCCCAAACCTTATGACTTCGTCCAACACCATCAGACTGTCCTGCAAATTTTCAACACAAATAATGAGTGCCCTGAACCTCCTGAAGCTTTTAATTTTCACCCTCAGATTAAAGTTCAGACAAAATCATTCTGACAACACTGTCAAAGTTACAAAGCCAAATGGTGTCAAATGCCAATGTAAATTTACTGAACTATCTTCAATTTAACAGCAATAGCACATTAAAATGACTAAATTACCTTGTCATCATACTGCTTGATGTTTTGACCAATTTTAAACCGATTAGGCAATCATGCAATACATTATGTGGAAAATACATTATATATATTAAATCAATTTTTATATATTCACATGACTTCAATGTATGTTGCAGGTATATTAAATCAATTTTTATATATTCACATGACTTCACAACAAAGGTTTACTTTTGATAATTGAGGTGGTTTAATTTGAAGGTGATAGCAAAAAAACAAAGGGGGAAAGGTTGGGTTTGTGCTAGCCGTCCGACGCTGACAACAAAGACGATTTAATTTCTGTAGCTCTCGCAAACTAGCTCTGAAAGCCATGGTTTCCATAATACAAATTCACAAAGCTTATCATTAACCCACACCATTATACCAATATTTACCTCTATCAGAAACTCACTCAATTGAAAACACCCGACCTTCATTATTTTCCGCAAACACCATGTTCTAAAAAATTTTGTCACATAAATAAATTTAGAATTATCAATCACATGGAAATGTAAAACCAGAAAAATCAAACACATGAGACTCTGAAAATCTTTTCCTCAATTGTATAATTTCTCTATCTCTTTCTAAACCATTAATCTGGCAATCAATGGTTGAGAGTGAGAGAACCGGGGTGTGTGTGTGTGTGGAGATGAGAGAAGGGTGGGGGTGCCGGGTGGAGAGAGACAAAGAAGTGGTGATTGAGAGGCCGCGAAGGGAGAGGGAAAGGGCTTATGTAGGTGTGTATAGGTGTGTTGTGTGTACATGTATATAAAGTAATATGATAAGGTTAAATTGGTCATTAGCAATAAATTGGTCATTATGTGTGTTGTGCATATGTGTATATAAAGTAATATGATAAGGTTAAATTGGTCATTAGCAATAAATCAGTAACTTGTGAAGTTACGTTTTGGCATTGTAGCAAAAGGCTCTAATGGTCCTAACAGAAGACTACCAGATTGGACCTACTTGTGCTTTTGGCCAAACTTCCATACTATAGTTTTAATCAAAACTTTAATTTCAGAGTGAAAACTGAAAACTTGAGTCGTAGGACTAGGATCAACGAAGCTAAGTATGAAACTTGAGTCAAGTTTTTAAAACTGCCCAACAAGACAATCCCTACCAATCATAAATCACTTAGATTCATTAACATAAAGGTGAAGCTGACTTAATCGCAGTGTGTGCTCGAGTATGTATGCTGTTATATAAGCCCTGATTGATGGGCAAACCTCTACAAGAATGCACCCCCCAAATGCAAAGGGCCTGAAATTACTGATAATGTGCATTTGCAGATAACATATATCTGTCCCAGTAAAGCCATCCAGATTTACCCAATTAACCCAACCCCTTGAGCAAGAGGCAAAAACAAGAAGATAAAAAGTAACATCCCTCGGATGAAGAACAACAAGGGCATGTTGCATGAGCCACCATTACCTCAGAATTAAAGCAAGGGAAGTAGTGCATACCTTCAACTAAAGTTGAATCCACCAGATGGAACGGGAACTTCATTTCCTCCAAAGTGAAATCCAGATTGAGAAGCATCACCAGGAGGCAATTGTTCGTCGTCCTCCTCCAACCAATACGTCTCAAGAATCTTCACTGCCTTCTCATATATTTCATTGTTGTCATGACTCTGAAGATTTTCAATCTTCTCTAATCCCTCAGCTTCATCGATCAACTGGGCATACAAGTTCACATCACCAGTGTTGCCAATATTCTTCTCAACTTCCCCAACCTTCAGAATGTTCTCGAGCCCTTCCAAGCATACCGTGACAATTCTTGGGTCCGGACAAACTAGGAGATCACACAATGGCTTTATACACCCCTGTCCCACCAAAAACCTAACAAAAAATAACAAAATCAAATCTCTAAATCCAAAATGTAAAACAAAACTATAAAAATCTTTTTAATAAGAAACAATACTTGATTTGTTCATTAGTTCCACCAGAAGTAGCATTTGATATTGCCCAAGCAGCCTCTTTCTTGATCTCAAACTCGGCATTTTGAAGCAGCTGGACAAGTGGTGCAATTATACCAGCCTCGATTACAGCCTGAACATTTTAGAAGTACAAGATTTAGCACCAGCCCTCTCAAACAAATACACATAATGATTAAACAAAGTAAAAACAAAACTATAAAAATCTTTTTAATAAGAAAATAACAAAATCAAATCTCTAAATCCAAAATGTAAAACAAAACTATAAAAATCTTTTTAATAAGAAACAATACTTGATTTGTTCATACCAGCCTCAATTACAGCCTGAACATTTTAGAAGTACAAGATTTAGCACCAGCCCTCTCAAACAAAAACACATAATGATTAAACAAAGTAAAAACTTTATCCATGAATCCCCCCTGGCCCTTTCAAATTAGATCTCCTAAAGATATTCCTTTATGGGAGTCTCAAGATATTATTTATCAAAAGATGTAAAATATTAATTATAATAAAACCAGAGAATTTTTTTTTTTTTTTTTTTGATAAGTAAAACCAGAGACATTTTTAAACATGAGTTTCAGTGCTGCAGGTGTGTTCACCTGTATCTGATCCCTATCGGTTCTTAAAAGGAACAAAACTACGATATTAATTATCAAGAGATGCAACACAAGGATATAAAAAAGAAAACCATGAATTCTATACAATTTAGAACATGGGTCCTCTGCAGCAATTTACGTGAGTACTTTTACCACATGTTTGCTCACCTGTATCTGATCCCTATTTCCAGCTGTGATGTTTGAGATGGTCCAGCAAGCTTCCTTCTTGATGCTCTTCTTGTAATTGTGTGTCAACAGGTTTAGAAGGCAAGGAAGAGCTTGATGCTCTATGATAACCTGAGAGGAAGAAAGAAGGAAAGCATCAAGTTACCGGTCCATGAAAGATGCATAGCATGTGAAACATTATGAAAATAGCAGATAAACTTTAAGGACTGACATCACAACATAAAACACTAGAAATCAACCAAGGGGTGGAAAATTAAACCCAATCAAGAAACGGAAAAAACATAAGAAATTTCATGTGAAACCTTATGAAAATGGCAGATCAACTATAAGTACTGGCATCACAACATAAAACACAAGAAATCAACCAAGGGCTGGAAAATTAAAGCCAATCAAGAAGCAGAAGAAACATAAGAAATTTCAGCAAGGAACCGGACGGTATTCCCAGCATCCACACAGACAAGAATCCAGAATAAATCAGAAGAAGCAGTAATATAGTTTATTCGAGAATGAATAATGTCGTACATTTTTAACTTAAAAAGTAAACGCAATGCATCAATAAGTTAATCGAAAAGAAAACTATTTATCCTTTTTCGTCCCATAGGCAATTGGACTTATGCTTTCTGAGATTTTTTTTTTCTTGGCAATTGGAATTACGTTTTCTGAGATTTTTTTTTTCTTGGGAAAGCTCATAAGCTGAAACAACAAAATGAAGAGAATACAAAACTGGTTGATGAAAAGGTCTTAACATTGATGTTTAGAACTAATCCCTTCATATCAGTTTGATACAACTTGTTAGGAATTAATCCGCCCAAGATCACACACCCCACAACTATGCAATGGCAACAAAGAGAAAATAAGATGGAAATAACAAACTTAACAAATAACAAGTTTTACGCACCGATGTAGAACCAATCACTAGAAAAGAGACGATTACAACACCCAAGGGGTATTCCACACCCACTAATGCTGCGTTTGGTATGCAGGAATAGAATTGAATGCAAATGGGAATGGAATGGAATGGTCATTCTCATTCTATTGTTTGGTTGCAAATATGAAATGATGTAAGAATAGAATGACCTTCAAAATAACCCTCTCGGTGACAAACAAGTTAAACTAAAATAATATTGTTCTAAAAAAAATTAAAGGAAATGGTGGCGGTGCTGGGGTGGAGGTGAAAGGTGGCAATGGTGGTGTTGGAAGGCGGCGGCCATGGTGGTGAAAGGCGGAAGTGGTGTAGGTGGTAGTGCCAGGCAATGGCAGTGGTGGTGACAGCAACGGCAGTGGTAGCAGTGGTGGAAGGAAATGGAGGTGGCGATGGTGGTGGAAGTTAGGGGCAGTGGCAATGGTGGTGGTGGAAGGCGGTAGTGATGTAGGTGGTGGTGGAGGAAGGCAGTGGTGAAAGGTGGTGTCGGTGACGAGGGTGGGGATGAAGGTGGAAGACGACGACGAAAGGCAGTGGCAGGTGGAAGACGATGGAGATGGCGGCGGTGGTGATGGAGGCAGTGTGGCGGTGGCGGTGTAAAGCAACGATAGTGGTGGAGGTGGTAATGATGGTGGTGGAGGTGGCAGTGATGGTGCTAACGAGGAAAGTCATTCGATAGGTTTAGTTGTGGTATGAATTTTCATTCCTTGGAATAGATTTTTATTCCAAAGGAAGCAGCATAAAGAAAACTCTCTTCTTAAAGAATACACACTTGCTCTTGGCCCTCAATCTTTTCTCTGTCTGTTATTCACACTTTTTTTCGGTTCTTTACCAGTCTATGCCACCTTGCCAAAAGCACATTTAATGTGCCAACGAACAGCTTTCTTCACCCCTACTTTTCCTTAACCTCAACTTTTCTTAATCTTTACTTTGGTCAACCATTTCGGCCCTTTCTATTTGCTGGCACATCTAGGAGCCAGCAAATCCACAACTTTTGACACCCATTTCTTCTCTACTACTTTTCCTTTCAACTTAAGTTTCCTTCGTTCAATGGATCTAGTCCATCACTTGCATGTATACTATTACATTTCATATGGTCTTCTGTTCACTAACATATCACAAATTACTAACTTTGACAGCACTTGAGTAAAACATGCAATCACCAACACACACATCACTCATATCTAATCAATTTGAGCCAATTAATTTTCGCCAATTTCTAACAATTGACAATTTATACTTGAATCCATTAGAACACTCCTGAAGCCCATCCAATATCAATAAAACCTTCCACCTCTAATTTGAGATATTTGGCATGCAAAATTGAAACAAAAATGACAGAACTTATTTTCTACAAGAAAACAGGCCTTAAACCCCCAATCAACGACCATGCATAGCTCCAGTGTTATTAAAGGATCAAGGCACACCAAGGCGCTATAGAGGTCCTTTGGAACCTAGGTGCACGTTGAGGCGCGCGCCTAAGTGAAGTGAGGTGCACAATTGAAATTTTAAACTACCATAAAAGCATTCATATCTCGTAAGTCAAATCAATATTCTAAAAATTAATATCAAATATAAAAATGTAAATTCATCAACCATATAAGCATTTAAGAAACATAAAACAGAGCACAAATTTGTTTTCTTAAAAGGCAAAACAGAATTTGTTTTTTTGAAAGGGCAAAACAGAGCACAAAAAGAAGTAAATCTATTACAAAAACAAAAAATTGTTAACAAGAAAATGAAAAAAAAAAAAAAAGAGGAGCAGAGACAAAAGAAGCAAATGAAGAGAGAGAAGTAAATGAGAAGAGAGAGTGTGTTAAAGAAGGAAAAGGACAAAAAACACAGAGCCCGAAAAAAAAAAGTACAAAGAGGAGAGAACTCGACAAAGAGAAAGAAGTAAACGAAGATGAGAATAGAGGAGTAAAGGAGAAGAGAGAGAAGAAGAGGAAAAAACTGACATGGCTTCGTCATTCGTTTCTACAACTAGGGCTTGGTCGTTGGTCGCACATTCTTTTGAACAAAAGTTCATTCTCTCATACGAGGCTTTCTTTTTGGCATTGAGAAATAGAATAATCATTTTTATAAATAAAAAATTTATAAAAAAGAAAAAAGAAAAAAAGTGAGGCACTCTTGACAAGGCGCAACCAAGGCACGCACCTAGTAAACATCAGTGCGCCTGGGATGACAACATGCGCTATGCCTGCGCCTCGAGCCTAGGCACGCCTAGGCGCACGCCTTTAACAACACTGCATAGCTCCACGATAGGAATGAAGCGTCGCTTCAATCCCCAATTTCATGAAATGGTCCTATTTGGTAATATTTGAGGGAAAAGTAATTTTCAACCTCAAGGCATCATAAATAAGGAGTCCATGGAAAATTTTTATAAGCTTTTGAAAAGAATGCATTTCGTCGCATTACGTTTTTTCAGCTAAGAAAAAGGACCATTTAAAAGAGGGCTAAGATATCATTACTTAGGTTGCCAAACAACCCCCAACTTAATAACATGTTTGAAATAACCACGAAAATGTCCCAAACATGTAAAAGCTCTTGGTAAAAGAACCATGGCTCCGATTTTGAGCATGAAAAGGTATCTGATTGAAAAGAGATGGTTGCAAAAGTGCCCTCAATCAAAAATCATATTTAAACCCCCAACAAAACATGGTTTAAAAATCCCATTCAAAGTCCCAAACACATCCCCCGAAGATCCCCTCCCGAAATTCCCTAAATGGACCAACTTGGGGCTGTGCAGGTCACTTGAAGGGGCTATAGTGCTCCAAACACTTTCAGACTTTTATCATAGATACTTCTATACGTCTAGGTACCTCCCTCTGAAATTTCGTGATTTTTGAACGAGCAGATATTTCTCCAAAAATTGGACAGTGCCTACTGTCCGTCCTTTTATCGCTGCTGGAAAACAAATCTTAAATAATTTATTTGACCAACTTCTTGACACCGAAAAATTAAAAAAAAAATTCCAGCTTTACACTTCCATGAGTCTACTTTCTGAAAACTAAAGCCTCGAAATTTTATCCATTCTATAAATTTTTCAAAGGACCAAAGTTTACCGGAAGATGTATTACTTTCAACACATGAAGCATTTTTTATGTAATAAATTGATTTGTTTGGGAAGGTTTATTATTTTCAACACAAGCAACGTAAGCATTCTTTATGTAATAAACTGATTTGATTGGGAAGGTTTATTTTCAACACATGCGCAACCATTCTTTATGCAATAAGCTGATTTGATTGGGAAAAATTCTGCTTCCGAAAGTGGCTCGATCATGTTACACTCTTGAGTCTAGTTTCTAAAGAATTTTGGTTTGCCTCATTTTAATTAAAAATGAATTTTCTACAAATTTTTTAGTAATTGTTGCGCAGATTTCTATTTAAATGGGGACCAACCACCCCATTTTCTGTTTTGCTTTGAGAATGTTGTAATGGGAGTTTGAGTTGAAGGTTGGTCTAGGTGTATTGTGACGATGACAAATGACGCCACTCATTTCACACTACAGATACATGGCAACATATATATCTGATTTTTCAGCATAATGTACTTCATTTCAAAAATTCACAAAAAATTCAATTCTCAACCAATCTGCATGAAACCAAAATCCAATTGGAAGCTTAAAGACCAAAGTAATACCATCAATTTACTTTAATAAAACCCCCTTACCTGTTAAATCCCTTAACCGTTAAATCAATTTTGATGCAAAGATCGGAAATATACTAACCATAAAACAGATTTTTCAGCAAGTTACCTCCAACATAGAAAATTCAATTCTTAACCAAATTGCATGAAACCAAAGACATTAAAAACTTAAAGACTATATTTTAACATCAACAAATCAATATAACAATTTTTGATAGAAATATTCGGCCTAAAAAACAGATTTTCCAGCAAGTTATCTCCCAACTTCAAAAAATTCAATTGAAAGCTTAAAGACCATATTTTAACATCAACAAATCAATATAACTATTTCTTTTATCAACGAAATCAAATTTTGAAGAAACATATTGAAATTTTCTGCTCATAAACAATTTTGTGAGCATATATATCTCTCTCCTTTTAGCAATCTTAAGCATGCTAAACATCAAATAAACACATAGAAATACTTTATAATCATAGATCAAAAAAGTTAATACACCCCTACATCAACAAATCAATATAACAATTTTTTTTATCAATGAAGTCAAATTTTGAAGAAACATATTGAAATTTTCTGCTCTTAAACAATCTTGACAGCATATATATCTCTCTCCTTTTAGCAATCTTAAGCATGCTAAACATCAAATAAACACATAGAAATACTTGATAGTCATAGATCAAGAAAGTTAATATACCCCTACCTCAAGAGAAGGCAAAACTAAGAAAATTCCACCGAACCAAAGTGCTCCAAACGCGGATTTTAAACCATATAATTGAAGAGTAGAACAAGTTGCCCTTCTATGGCTTCCCCTCCAAATCCAAGCCTAGAGCCACCCAAATTTTGAAATTCTCCGATGATGAAGATGAGGGGGGAGAATCTAATTTTTTTGGTTTCACTCAAATTTCACTCCAACTAGATCAAAACAAAGGAGGGAGGTTGAGATCTAAGAGGGTTTCTTGGTACTAGAGAAAGATTGGATTTTTGTGGCCCAAATTGTCTCTTCCCTCTTTTATAGTTCCACCTAATATCTCCTAATAAAAACTTGGTTTTGGAAAGTGGGAATAAGCTTCTGGGAAAGATTTTCTCTCATTTTCATTCTCATGTCTTTTAAAACTCGAACCGGGGCTAGCCAAGGGGACCTTCAGGTAATATTTTCAAAATGAATTCTAAGCTTCACCAAATGATCCCATATGTATAAGATGACCTAAATGGACTTCATTTGAGTTGTTAAGGGTAATTTACTCCCTTTTCTTGTCTTTTTACATGTGTGCACATACGAAATGTGGGATGGAGATGCGATATTCGGTAATTTCCAAGTGTTTAGAGGCAAAGGGGAGATAAAAGGAAAATGTCGGGCTAAGTGTGTAATTAAGAGATAGTATATGTGACTATAAAAGAAAGGAGACTATTTGGGCCACAAAGATCTGAACTTTCACTAATCTCTCTCTATGGACCAAGAAACCCTCTTAGATTTCAACCTTCCCCCTTGGTTTTGATCTAGTTAGAGTGACATTTGACTGAAAGCAAAGAAGAGAGATTCGACCCCCTTATCTTCATCTTCATTTCTATGGTTCCACTTTTCGAATCGGAGAATTTCAGAATTTGGGTGGCGTTAGACTTGGAGTTGGAGGAAGCCATAGAAGGGCAGCTTGTTCTCCTTTTCATTCTCTTCAATCCTACGGTTTAAAATCCGGTTTTGGAGCACTTTGGTCCAGCAAAAATTCCTTAGTTTTGCTTCTCTTGATGTAAGGGTGTATTAACTTCCTGATCTATGATTCTTAAGTATTTCTGTGTGTTTATTTGGCATAAAATTTCAGTTATGTATTCTTCAAAATCCGACTTGATTAATTAAAGAAATTGTTATATTGATTTGTTGATGTTAAAATATGGTCTTAAGATTTCAATTGGCTTTGGTTTCATGCAATTTGGTTAAGCATTGAATTTTCTATAATTTTTTTCAAGTTGAAGTAACTTGCTGAAAATTTTTAGAGCAAATTTTTTTCGAACTTTTGCTTCCAAAGAATCCAAACTGATTTAATCAGTAAAGTATTCGATTAAAGTAAATTGATATTATCAAAATATAGTCTTTAAAATTTCAATTGGCTTTGGTTTCATGCAATTTGGTTGAGAATTGAATATCTACGAATTTTCGAAGTTGGACGAAACTTGCTTAAAAATCTATTTTCTAGGCAGAATTTTTCCCATCTTTTGCATCAAAACTGATTTAGCCAATAAGGGGTTTTAAAAAAGTAAATTGATGGTATCAAAGTATGGTCTTCCAATTGGCTTTTTGAGAATTGAAATTTTTATAAATTTTTTAAACAAAGTACATTATGTTGAAAAACAAGATAGATATATACAGACCTATAAATGGATTGGATTTTGATCTAAATCCAATCCAATAAATAGGATATGGATTGGAACATTCAATCTAAAAACGATCCGAATCCGATGATCCGTTAAGCTAAACAACCCGGATATGAATTATGGTCGATCCGATCCGATAATAATTCGATTTAATATAATATAATATATAATATAGTAGAAATATATTATATAATAATACAAAATATTTACATATTATTAATTTTTTTTTTTTCATTTCTTAGTTCTTTGTTCTCTCTATTTTGTTTCTTTAGTTTTTTTTAACTTAATAAAAAGTCAAATACCCACTTTTCTACTATTTCTTTTGTTTATATTTTATTTTCTTCTCTAGTTTCTCTCTTTTTTTTCCAAATGATTGTGTAATCTCTCTTGATATTAAATTTTTTCCAACAAAAAATAATAATTTACATATTTCGGATCGGGTTATCGGATATCCGGTTATCAACAAAATTGGATATGGATTTAATCATAAATAATATGTCGGATTATCGGATCGAATCGTATATAACTCTTATCGGATTCAGATTTGGTACGAATCCAATCTGTTTACCGGCCTAGATATATATATGCTGCCATGTATATGTAGTTGAGAAATGAGTGGATTTCTTAGGTTTATTTGATATGTGAGATGATACATTGATACATGAGAGCGATGGAAGTGAAAACACCTAAGTCAATAAAAATGTTTATTGATGAGCAATCTATGAAGCACAGACACGCTTAGGTAGGCTGCCGCACCAGTGTCGGACACGTGTCCAACACGAACACGCATGTCCAAGCTTCGGACACGTGTGCGACACTCTTTACAAGTGTCTTGAATTTTTTTTTTCTTTTTATTCAGATCAGACATGCCGGAGGACACTGCGACACGTCGAAGGATACGCCGGAAGACACGTCTGAGGACACGGCCGTTCGAAAAATAAGAGAAGATGAAGAGTATATATATATACATGTGTATGTGTGTGTCTACGTGTATGCCTATTTGTGTATATTCTTTCTAAGTGAGATACATATATGTGTGTTTGCATACTTGTTTGTGTATATCTATGAAGCGATCCTTCGATGATGAAGAGCAATCTATGAAGCACAGACACGCTTAGGTAGGCTGCCGTACTAGTGTCGGACACGTGTCCAATACAAACACGCATGTCCAAGCTTCGGACACGTGTGCGACACTCTTTACAATTGTCCTGAATTTTTTCTTTTTATTCAGATCGGACATGCCGGGGGACACTACGACACGTCGAAGGATACGCCGAAAGACACGTCTGAGGACACGGCCGTTCGAAAAATAAGAGAAGATGAAGAGTATATATATATACACGTGTGTGTGTCTGCGTGTATGCCTATTTGTGTATATTCTTTCTAAGTCAGATACATATATATGTGTGTGCATACTTGTTTGTGTATACCTATGAAGCGATCCACGTGTGCGACACTCTTTACAAGTGTCCTAATTTTTTTTTCTTTTTATTCAGATCGGACATGCCGGAGGACACTGCGACACGTCAAAGGATATGCCGGAAGACACGTCTAAGGACACGGCCGTTCGAAAAATAAGAGAAGATGAAGAGTATATATATATACACGTGTGTGTGTCTACGTGTATGCCTATTTGTGTATATTCTTTCTAAGTGAGATACATATATATGTGTGTGCATACTTGTTTGTGTATACCTATGAAGCGATCCCTCGATGATGAAGAGGATTGGAGAGCATTGCGTAGAAGAAAAAGGGAACGAAAAGCGCAAATGGAGGGGAGAGAGTGTTAGTCTGAATGGGAAGAGATAAGATTGTGTAATCTTATCTTTTTCACTCTGTTTGGTTACAAAAATAATTATACTATTCTTGGATACACTCTGTTTGGTTACAAAGATAATTATACTATTCTTAGATACAAAGATAATTATTCTATTCTTGGATACAAAGATATACTAGATATTTCTTATTTGTATTTCAAAAAGATTTAGGCATATTGTTGGCCTTGGTTTATTTGGTGTGCCTAATTTAAATGGGTTATGTGTATTAATAAAAAAAAAAATTGAGGAAAAAAAAAAAAAAATTCATATATAATAAAATATATATTATTATTTTATTCGCATATCCCGTGTCCGTGTCCTATTTTTTTTAAATTTGCCGTATCGTACCCGAGTCCGTGCTTCATTGTGAGCAACACACACCAATAACTATAGTAATTTGAGATGGTGTTACACAAGGACTACAAGGCCACAAAGAAAATGAGTCGAAAGAGTGAGAAAAAGCATGAGTACTGGTAATTCAAAGAATGCTTTGCCTAGAATGACAAAACTTTCTTGAATGCCCGTGTTGCAATGTACGTCGAATGCCCGTGTTGCTATGTACCGACTCCAACCACATTCCTTTAGCCTAAAAATTGAAACCAGAACTAAGCCCAACAGTACCAGAATGACAATGTCAAAATCTGAAGTTAGAAATAGGATCCTACATCCAAGCAAATCAATGAACTAAAGCATGCCGAGTTAATCAATGGTCAAACATGCCACGTTGAAGTGTAAAAAGTACATTTAGGCAAATCAATGCAACCAATAAGAGCTGCATTAAAGCATGTTAAACAATAGAAATCATTAAAAGAGTGCGTGAAAAATCATTGTCACTATTCAAATTACAAGGGCACTCTTAACAAAATGCAACTAGAATTGCATAACAATAAAACCTGTTTTCTACTGATAAGAAAATAATAAATAAACAAAGAACAACGGAAAACATCACTAAACTAACAAAATGTACAAAAAAACAATAGTTTTATTAAAGATATTTACTAAGGTATTATGTTGAATACCTGAGTTTGGATATCATCACCAGTAACAATATTACCAACTGTGCGCAAGGCAGGAATCAGAACTGATGGCGATGTATGACTAAAACCAAAAGATATATATTCAGGTCTACCATAAAGAAAACGAGGAAAAGATCTCCACAACCACAAAACAAAAGGTAAGACCAAAAAAAATATTCAATGTAAAATTAAAACTCACAGTAAAAGCTCAACAAGACGGGGGCAAACACCAGCCTCTATAACAGCTTGGATTTTGTCATTGGTACCATCAGAAAGATATGATAGGGCCCAGCATGCATCAGTAAGGACTTCTTCATCATTTGAATGTATAAGACTTGCAAGAGCTGGAAGGGCAGGCTTTGTCTGCCCAATGCAATCAAAATCATCTGAGTTTGCAAATAACACAAGGGGAAACATAATACAAGAAATGCATCAGACACCAACAGGGCCTCTGTCAAGGGTCTCTAACCTGCTCGAATTGTGGCTGCGGCTTGCCCCTACAGAAGTTCGACAATGTCCAAGTTGCGTTTCTCAACATAGAAAGCTTTGCATGCTCATTAAATTGTGCAAGCAATGGCATCAAAGCCCCGTGATTAAGGACAAGATCGCGACATTTGGGTGAGTCACCAGCAATATTTCCTAATGCCCAAACAGCCTATACAGTTCAAGAAATGAGTAAAATTGATGCTAAAAGTTCTTCAATTTATAAAGAATGCTTGTTAAACGTTGGGAAATAAGATCAAGTAACTTGCCTCCTTTTACAATATCTTACCTGTTCACGGACATCATCACTTGGAGAACCAAGAAGTCTCACAAAAATAGGAACAGCATTATGATCAATCACAACCTTTGTGTTTTCAGATGTTCCAGAAGCAATGTTTGTGAGCGCCCAGGCTGCCTCAAACTACACAAAACTCAGAAAGATAGCAAAGAAAATACATGAATAACAAACATAACAATAAATATATTTATAAGACTTGCATAACAAAACGAAACTATGCAAACCTGAAGTTGGGGATAGTCATCCCTGGCAAGAAACTGGACAAAGCGAGGAACAACACCAGATTGTATCACTTCTTCAATGGGAGGATTGCGTTCTGTTGAAAGAATAATGAAAGAAAACAAAAGCAACTAAATACACACAAACATTAATGGAGAAATAATAAACCAAATAAATATCAAATAAAAAGAAAACCTATTGAAAGCAGTTTTCGGAATTGTGTGGTAGCTTCCAATTGCAAGTTGCCATCATCTGACCAAACGCCGGCCACCATAGCCGGAAGACTTTCTAACTGCAATCAAATTAACGGCACACTGAGAAAACAGTAAAATTCACCACCAAAGCAGTTTATTAGATTACAAACTAATAAGTTGTTCTAAGGATTGATATCCATCATCCCCTCATTCAAAATTTATCCCATGACCTCTAAAAGTTTAGAACACCAAATCTCTTTAGAACTTCATTATTTCATTGTCTAGTATAACAAACCACACAACCAATCTTAGGTACGATCTAGTAATAAAGCATAATGAAATAACAACCGACTCAAAGTCATAATCAGAGTAAACTAAAATCTTTACATCAAAATTACTGATAGATATTAAAGCAATTCTATCGGATTCAAAACCCAAAACCTAGGGTTTAAGGATAGCTAGAAAGAGACCTTCTTATCGAGTTGAGTGACGTTGACGGTAGTTGGGAATTGTTGGGCTTGAAGTCCCTCGCGTCTCTTCTTGAGCAAGCTTTCTTCTCTTCTGTTCTTTCGGATCTCAACCATGTTGTCTTCTCTCCTTCTCCGACCTTCCTCCGCATCGACGGCGACCTTATATCGGCTCCGACGAACCTCGGTTCTAGCGCTTGGTCTCAGAGACATGGTTGCTCGATCGAAGGAAACCCTGAATCGCTATGTACGAAGAATCGATGCGTGTATATAAGTGCGTGTGTAAATAGTAGATGAAACCTAGAAATAGGTTTTTAGAGAGAGAGAGGGGGGGGTGTTCACAAGAAGTGAGGGCAGAAGGAAGAGAAGTTCGGATTGCTTTTCGAATGGGTCAGGATGGACGACCATTATAGCGGTTTCAACCACCATTTGATCTGGAAAACGGCCTGGCTTTACAATTATTAACGGAAATACCATCGAGTTTGAATATTAGAGAGTTGAGAGAGTAATGGATCTGAGATGAGCCGTGATAAATTACTTCAAAAATATTGTGATATAGCATCTCCACCGTTGGTTTTGGAAACTGTAGACCTAGGGATTGACTGATTGCCAACGGCTATTTATATGTGCCTTTCATCACCGTACGATGCGATGAAGACTTCCGGGAAACCGGTGGTCGGTGAACCCTTTTACAGATATATACAAGTAATAATCTGGGTCCACCATTTAACGTACGGGTTTAAAATTGGTTTCGACCCACGATTATTTGGGCCATCCTCTATATTGGTTTCGTCCAATAGGTGATTGTTTTGTTTTCATTTAAGGTTAGTTTGGTTAGGAAGCAAATAGTTGGAAAGGAAAAGAAAAAATATATATATTTAAAAAAATTATGCGTTTGGTTAGATGGAAAGTATCCATTTGGCTAGAGAAAAATTTTTATATGCAAAAATGTTATTTTGTTAGTTTGGATAAGATGGAAATAAAAAGAAAATGATTTTATTACCAAAACTATCCCTAGGAATTTTAATAATTTAAAAAAAAAAAAAATCTGTTTGTTGAATCACCTTTATACCTAATTGTTTATATCAATTTTTAACCAAAAAAATAAAAAGAAAGTAAAATAATATATTATTAAAAATAATAATATAATTATTTCTATTAATACTAAATTGTATCTTTAACATACACAAGAAAAATCCAAATCAATCAAACTAAGAATCCCAATGGCCTGTAACACTGACAATAACCCTAAATTTCCAATTAAAATAAAAAACATGTATGCATACCACTCGATCTCAATCGTTATTATAATAAAAAATTAATTTTATATGCATATATAGAAATATAAATAATTAAATTAGCATTACACTAACTTATAGAAGGAAATCTACGTCTGGGTGAAGTTTGTGAAGAAACTAAAGAGTGGAGAAAAACAATGAAAAAGTGAGGGTGGGGAGAAACAACTGCCAAGAGCACAAGAGGAAATTAAAATACAAAGTTGCTAAGTTTTGCGAGAAAGTAAATTTTCGCGTGTTTTGTACATAAAAATATTTAAAGAAAATTCATAACATGCAAGAATCCTATTTTTTCAAAAGTTTTCACTTTCCATCTTTCTAAATGCATAAAAATTTTAAATTTTAAATTTTTTCCTTTTATTTTCCTTTTTAGCTAATTCTTGCTAACCAAATGAACCATAAAAAAAATTCAGTATAAAAGACGCGAAAATTTATTTTCTCGCAAAACTTAACCACTTTATATCTTAGTTTCCTCTTGTGCTCTTGTCAATTGTTTCTTTCCCCTCTACTTCAGTTTCTCCATGTTTATCTCCTTGATTTTCTCCACTCTTCAGTTTGTCACAATCTTCACACAGATATAGATTTCCTTTTGTAAATTAATATAATCCTAATTTAATTATTATATTTTTATATATGCATATAAAATTAATTTTTTATTATTATTATTTTGGGTTCTATAATTAATAGTGATTGAGATCTAGTAGTATACATACATGTTTTTTTTTACAGATGGTGTGATAGGCGATTGGGATTCTTAGTGTGATTGGAAACTTACGATCTCTAGATTTTGGTTTTACAATTGTTGCGTTTACAATTTAGATATTAATAGAAATAATTATTTTATTATTTTTAATAATATATTATTTTACTTTCCTTTTATTTTATTTTGTTAAAAATGGATATAAATAATTAGGTATAAAGTGGTTCTTCAAACACAAATTTATTTTATTTTAAAATATTTAAATTCCTAAGGGTAGTTTTGGTAATAGAATTATTTTCTTTTCATTTTCATCCTATCAAAACTAACAAAGTAATATTTTCTCATAATTTTCTTGAAAAATTTTCTTCCTAACCGCACGTTAGAAACTTTATTTTCTTTTCCCTTACTTCATTTTCTTTCACTTTCTATAATAAATTTATATCTAACCAAACGAATCCTTAGACTTCGTTAGGATAAACAATAAAGAAAAGAGAAAAAAAATAATAACATTAGTTACAAGAGAAAAAAAAAAAAAATGAAAGGAAAAGAAAAGCCGTAATCACTAACCTTCCATTTAATCACCTCTTAGCCCTTTTTGATGTATTTGTTTGTATTTTTTACTCAAAGTAAACAATAAATTAGGTTTTTTTTTCACCTCTAATTTAACAAACTAATTGTCTTATACATTATCATTAATTTAACAAACAAGTATAGTTAAATAAATTAATTAATAAATAAATTTAAGAAATAAGTATCTATTAATACTAAAATTATCGCTTTGTTTCTGTAATAAATACAGCACTACAATATAAAAGGAAAGGAACCAAAAATTAAAAAACACACCACTGCCACCAATGGCAACCACACCAACCACCATCCATCAACCCAAATGAACCATTTATTCAAACCCCAAACCATCACCAGTAATCGCAACTATCATTCCCAAACCCACACTAAACAACCCATCAAACCCATTTCGGCAACTCAATCACAAAACCCATACCAATCTACCCACATAACCCATCAACCCAAGCCACAGCCATCGTCACAAAGCCAAACCCCTAGCCAACATCAAGCCATAACAGCTTTGTTGTCAGTCCCTTTCGTCTCATCATTGTCTTGATGGCCGGAAGCTTCTCTGATTGTCATCATCGAAGAGTCTCTCGGTTGTTGCCATCGTCCTAGCTTCCTCTGGTTGCCGGTAGTGGATCGTGAACTAGTAGAAGCATAAATATTTTGTATTTTGCATAACATGGGACACAAATGTCATAAGAATTTATTTTTCTAGGTGTTGAGTATAGTTTCCGAATTATAAATAGGACGAATTGCCAAAAAAAAAACAATTATTAGCGGGTTGACTATAAGATGATTTTAAGGGATATCCATTTAAGTCATTTTGTGAAGCAATATTTTGGACTAAATATATGAATGAGCCTGTATATTTCTTTCCACTAAATTTCCCATTACTGCAAAATATATGAAACCCATTAAAAATTCTTAAACCATGAATCATTATTATCAAAATCACTCTACAAACGCACATACATAAAGATGATAGAAACACCGTTGAGCCCCGAGCAACAATGACCAGTTCAGATGATACTATGAGCAACGATGCACCACCTTAACAGCAACCCGTTCCAGTGAGTTCAAATGTCTTGCATGAGTTTTCACCGGTGACTGAATTGAGAAGCTCAAACTCAACGATGACATAGTTCACACCGGTGAGCCCCCAAGCAACAACGGATAGTTCTAGTATCCCAATGCAAAACTCCACGTTCATGTTGTTGGGGAAAATGAAGTTTTTAAAACTTTATCACTGATTTTCAAATAAAGATCCATTTAATTTATGCATAGAAAACTTACGTCAAGGTTTGACTAACTTTAAATCCTCTCCTTTAAAGTGAATGTTCTCACTTATTTATTACATTAAGGTTTGACTAACTTTAAATCTCCCCTCTTACATGGATCTCCAACTTATTGGTAATAATGTTGCCTTTAAAAATCACCCATAAATCTTATAAATATAATTTAATAATTCATGCGAGTTAATTCAAAAATTAAAAATTAAATAAATACTTTTATCATGATTAGAGATATCTCTATTCATTTTATCAAACAGGAAAGATGCCATTGTCCCAAAAAAAAAATAAATAAATAAAAATGATATACTTGAGCTGTGAATTGATGTCTTTTACCCAAACTTTGTGTCGGTGCAATTCACCTTTTTCTCAATTTGTAAAGTGAGACAGAGTGACAGACCATGGAGCTAATGAAAATACGAAATGGAGTCAATCCTGTCCGATTCAGCACTTGTATTTGTGGAGAAATTGGGTCCCACTCCCAAAGCACTACAATGAAACAGGAGCTGATAAAAAAACGGTGTAACCCAATTGTGGAGGCAATAAAATGATGGAGGAGAAGCTGTCGAAAACAGCAAAGAGTTTAACTCCCTCTCCCATTCAGCAACTCTCCTTTCTTGCCCAAAGATGCAACGCCATCAACCTCGCTGAAGGCTTTCCTGATTTCCCCGCCCACAACCTCCTCAAATACGCCGCCGTTTCTGCCATCAATTCCGACTTCAATCAGTACAGGTACAGCTCCATCTCCATCTCCATCAAACACACCGTACTGAATAACCTTAGATACTTAATTTACTCCATCCATTACTACGTCTTCAGTTCACATAATACACAAACCCATCTTAGGTTATATATATATATATATATATATATATATATATATATATAAAACTCCAGTTAGCAACTTAGCATTAATTTGCCACTTATATAAAGAAATGTTAAGAATTAGGATGATTAATACGTTCAGAATTAGGATAATTAATACGTTCTTTCGTTGCTTTGGCCATATACATGTAAAGTTGGGTTGAGCAGAGGGTTTTGGTTTCTTTTAATAATGATATTTTTTAACATTCTATTTTGAAATTTTATCATCCTCACATCTTTCTGTGGAATCAAATGGAATTTTCTAAAACTTTAGATTTAACACTACTATTATGGTATTTTTAAGCACAAGGAAATTGGAGTTGTATATCATCAATCGTTGGTTTTACTCTTTTCCAAAACTAATGTAATGGCTTTTTTTTTTAGCAGTTGATATTTTGAGATGCCAATTCGTACACTGATTAAGATGGTTGTGCTTGTGGCACTTTTTTGTTTTTGATATGGAATGCAATACAATGCATTCACAATATGCAAGTTTTGGCTAGAGCCATTTATACTCTCCTATTGTTTAATTTGGTTGAATCATTCATGCTATTTCAAGGCATGTGCAAGGAATCTGCGATGGCGTGGCAAAGATAATGAAACATATGCATGGCTTAGATGTTGATCCTCAAACTGATTTAGCAATCTGCTGTGGCCAGTCTGAGGCATTTGCTGCAACAGTGTTTGCGAGTATAATTATTATTATTGTTCAATAGCTCATTACATTAGAATATCACATTCTTCTCAGTTGTTAGGCATCTTTTTTTCTGACTATGCATATTTGTCCCGTTGGACAGTAATTAATCAGGGCGATGAAGTTATTCTCTTTGACCCTTCGTATGAAACATACGAAGCTTGTATTACTATCGCTGGAGGAGTTCCGGTGAGCTTTTCTACATGTATGTATAATACTTTTAAAACAGTCTTGGTGAATTTTCTTGCCAAGGTGTGTCATATTTGAATTGACATTTCCATCTACTGTATTCTCTCTCACTTACTTGTTCTCTCTCTAAGTCAGGTATATGTGCCGCTTGACCCTCCTCAATGGAGTTTGGATCCAGACAAATTCATGAAGTCTTTTACTTGCAAAACGAAAGCTATAGTATTGAACAGGTTTGAAAATTCATTTAAGGTTTGAAATTAAAATTTGGAGACATTTCTTATGGTGCATACCTCTATTGATATTTTTTGAAATTAAAAGTTGTAATGTTCTCATTGATATGGTTTCAGCAAGAACAGACATCAATTGTAAATGATGCTTAAAAACCATGGTCTTAAGTTAAGGCTGTGTAAACAATATTGTCATTGTTTTCTGCCAGAACACTATTTTTGCTCCGACGTCTGTATGAGGACTCACTAATCACTATATTAAAGTTTTGAGTAGATGGAGATAAAGGTAGATTGCAAATGGGTTTTTAATCCACTCAGGCTTGATTACCTCTTCTAAAAAGTTCCATCAATGTGAAACTCAAATGTGCCACTAGGGGGTTATGGGTTGGAAGAGTGAGGGTAGGGGAGGGAAGGACAGGCAAAATAAAAGGATATTGAATTTAGTCCAGAAATTTTTTGGTTCAAAAACATCACGTTGGTTTGATTCTCAGTCGCCAGACTCGTTATCAGCAGGAGATGAGGGATTGCAGACTAACAAGTTTGCGGTACTGGATAGTTGAGTTCCTTATTGAGCGGTTCGTGCAAGACTCTTAGTTGCACGCAAGTCATTTTAATTCTTTAGCATATAGAGGACTTAATTCTTTGTAAAATTACTAGTCCTAAATGAATTTTCTGAAAAGCTTCTGGTACAGAATTATGATTAAGATCCCACATTTTACAAGACAAAGTAACATCTTTCTTCACCATCAATAAAATTCCTGCTTGTGGTTCAATTATCTAATCAAAAACTGTATTGCACCTTGTGATGCAATTATCTAATCTAAAGCTCTCTCTCTCTCTCTGTTAAGTTAATATTTGTCTGAAGGAAATTAGGCTTTTGGGTAAACTGGCTCAATCATTTCATTTTAGATATAATTGGCAGCTTGCATATCAGCTATGTCAAGACTCTATTTGTGCTCCAGGTTCCTTGAATGCCAGTTGACCATTTTGCAAATTATGAAAATTATGAAGAAAGACATGTAGATTACTAACCTATTCGTGAGATGATAATATTTTCTTATATCAGAGTTAAAAATGTTGTGATATATACTGGCACAGTCCTCACAATCCAACTGGAAAAGTTTTTACAAAGGATGAGCTCGAGATCATCGCTGGAGCTTGCTGCACCAGGGATTGCCTAGCTATAACAGATGAAGTATGTGAATCATTTTGCTATTCTTGTTTGATATAATCATGATTAATTTAGTTATTCAATGTATGGGTTGGGATCTCTCAGTTAGTTTCGTGTTCCTAAAACACTTTGTGGCATGATTAATTTAGTTATCCAGTGTATGTGTATCAAAAAAAAAAAATTCCTGGCAGAAGGTTAAGAGTGATGGAGGATGAGAGTGACATGCTTTCAAACAAAATGGAAAAATATTGCAATTAATTCTGAAAATAGCTAGAATAGTATGTATCATAATTTTTTGGCCTCTCAGAAGATCATGCAGCTATTTGGTGCTAATTCCGTAACTAAACTTATGACAACTATCACTGCAATAGTAAAGTGAAATCTACCTGTAGCGATAAATTTCAGACTAAAACTGCTAATATACAAGAGAAAAGTGAATGAGAAGGAAGTTGATTAATCCTTTTCTCCCATTTCTATTAATGTATTTTTAGTTTTTTTGAATTGTTATTTTGCGTTTCTTGGATGTGTTTTCAGGTCTACGAGCATATAACATTTGACGAGGAAATACATGTATCCCTTGCTTCACTTCCAGGGATGCAAAAGCGGACCATCATTACATCTTCCCTGTCTAAAACTTACAGTGTAACAGGCATGCCTTGATATTCTACCTTATGAAGTTGTACTTCAAATATGCTGTTGTTATAGGATCTCATTTTCTTTTAATATATTGTTGACGATTCTCTCCCATGCTTTCTTTATATTAGTAATAACTGCTTATGCTTGGCATTGTTATGTCTGCAGTGTTTTATTGAGTGTGTTATATATCAGGTTGGAGGGTTGGATGGGCAATTGCTCCAGCTTGTATTGCATCTGCAATTAGAAATATCCATATTAGATTAACAGATTCTGCTCCAGCACCTTTCCAGGAAGCTGCCTTGACTGCATTGAGAAGCCCTGTGGAATACTATGAACTGTTGAGAAGAGTACGATCTATAAAGCAATTTTTATCTGCTTTTGCAAATTGGATTGCCCTTGTAGCTTCCTCATAATTTGAATGTAGCCTCATACTTATGCCAGTTATTTTTCTCTGTCAATACTAATATTTGTGTCGGCTTTTAGGATTATGAATCCAAAAGAGATTATGCATTCAAGATGCTTGCTGAAGTTGGCTTCCTGGTTGAGCTCAAGCCTCGGGGTTCTTTTTTTCTATTTACAGAGCTTCCTAAGAATTGTCTCCTGTCTGATGTACGTGTCTTCTCTGCTTACTTCGTCAGTCTAATCATGTCAAGTATTTAAAATGGCATTTCAAAGCAAGATTTTAATATCATTTTCTTCATAATTTTTGGTCAATTAATCAAATCATTATGATTTCTTTTTCTATTCATGTTACCTATTGAAAATCATGAAATTCCTCCAATCATGCTCATTGAGTAGAATTAGAATGGTAAATTGAATTTCCAAATTTTTTGGCATATTGTAAGCAAGAATTAATTTTTCTTTGAAGAAGCTCCTCTGAATGAGATTGAACTACTTCATATTCTACTTGTTTCCTGAAGGCAGATGATTCTCTCTCTCATGAATCATGGAAATTATTTTAGTTCTTGGAAATTTGCTCCTAGCCTCCTACTGTGGTCCTTTACGCATATGTTTTTATTTTTTCTTTATTACATATGTTATTTCAATTATTAGATATGAAAATGCATATCTTGATTTGCGTGTATGTTTCAATTTTCTCATGATTATATAATTGAATATATATTATCAATTTATAGATGTGGCATATGTATGTAGTTCATTTGATATATTTATCAAGTTATTGAAAAGAATAGTTTTTCTTTTCCTGCTCATTTAGAAAGAATAGTTGAAGTTTGAGTTAGGATAGTGAAAGAGCAAGCTTTGTTTACGATGAAAATTATGTTGTTCTCCTTCATTTTTTATTTTTTTTTTACACGTTTTGTATTTGCAGATGGATGGGTGTTCAACCTTGCAAAGCAGCTGAATTTTATAACTATATTTATAATTCTTTTTTGGGGTTGTATTTAAACAGATTTTAACTGAAGTTCTGAAGAAATTATGTGTAATTAAGCTGAGATAATGAAAATTATTTTTAAAAGAAATGCCCATTATTCGGATCAACTGAAACCAAATTTCCAGATTTGGTCAAATTCCTGCTGAATTTTCCGAATTTGATTTTAAGTGAATCTCTGAATCTGCATTTGGAAACTAGCCCTTGCATCATCAATACTCTTGCTATCTTAAAATGCCATTACCCAGTACTCAAAATCCTCCTTCTTCTTCCTTTTTTATTTATTTTTTATTTATTTCTTTTTTTATACCTCAACATGGCAACCAACATGGAGTTCACTAAAGAAATGGGTCCTGCTTCTCTGTTAAGGCACCCCCATAAGCTATTTTATTCTTTTATGAATACTGCATACTCGAGAAAACTCGATTAACTTAGAATGCCATTACCCAGTACTCAAAATCCTCCTTCAGCACAACCATTTGATGGCATATGGTGCTTCTTGCATTCTCATTTGTCACTCTTGTTTTTGAATGCCAAATTGGAGTTCATTGACTTTGTTCAAGGAACTTCGTTTATATTTATGTTTATTTCAGTTTTTGATATTTGAACAAGCCATCTTATTTGTACTGTGCATAGTGTGAGTAGTTTGTCTATAATGTTGTTGATTCATTTGTTCTTGGAAGTTTTTCCCGGTTATGTATTTTTGGTGGAATGAATGAGATGTAATGCTTTTCAGGTAGAATTTGTTGAGGAACTAATTAAACAGGCAGGGGTGGTGGCTGTACCAGGATGTGGATTTTTTCATAGAAACTTGTATTCGAAGAAATTGTCTCCGGCTGATTATAACCATCAGAAGAGATATATCAGGTTTGCTTTCTGCAAAAGTGATGCTACTTTGGCTGCTGCTGCACAAAGAATTGGTGAGCTTGTGGATGCTGAGGGGCGTCTCAAACTATTTTAATTTTGCAGAACTGGTAGCAATATCTATCAATTGTATAAAAGTCATATGGAGGCAAATGAGGTTTGATAAAATACTATTTACCTTCCTGAACTTGACTACTTATTATATAGCAGAAGTACGCGACATTTCAAAATTTTAATGAACATTGGTGACAATTTGATTAAGTTGTTTTTAATGGTGTCATGCATATTTTAGTCTCGAGATTTTGATAAGAAGAAGAAATAAATGCTGTAAACTGAAACCTAAACTTATTGCTTCTTTTGACATGTTTTGTGTAATCTATATGCCAGCAGCCGAGGCAAGCTTTCTAATATATTGGGTTGTTCTTGAGTTTGGTTTCATTTCGAAGTAGTAATATTATCTTCTTTATTTGTACTCTCTTTTCTTCATCTCAGTTTCTTGGGCAGCCAAACAGAGTCTTAAATCAGTGTCTTCTTTGTTCGGACTTGTTTAAGGGTTGTCACTTCTGAGTCCTGAGTGTTCGTTCTTTTATTTGTTCGTTCCTTTTTATCTTTATAATATGTTGCATTCTTCTTATTCCCTTATTTCATTTAAATATTTACAGCTTATGATAATTAATGTTGCTGAGGTGCTTTAGTCAATAAACACCCCACTTAATTTTCTGTTTTCGTGCAATGAAATGGTATCATTTGAAAAACTTAGGCAATATGTGGAATGAACAAAAATGGCTTACCCTATCCTTTTAGCCAGTTGTGGTCAGTAATCATGATTTTTTTGGTCGTGCTGAAAAATATATAATAAGGTTTGTTTGTTGCTTTCCCGCCTTACAAGGAGTGAGAGACAACTGAGCGATAAATCCAAAACAGATAATGTCAAAAGATTTCATTTTATTGATTAATCTTTGATATTTTCTAGTATTTGTAGTCAATGACAGATGTTGCATTAAATTTTATATAAAACAAAATTTCGTAAAGGGCCACATAATGTCACAACAAGCCCCGTGCAATATGAAATGTGTTGTATTATGCTTTTACAAGTTGGTTATTATCTTGCTACCTTTTAACCAAAAAAAAAAAGAAGTCGGTTATTATCTAAGTGGACTAAAAATGTGAATCAAAGTTTGTTTAAACGTTTTTAGTATTAGTCTAATGGTATAATTTCGAACTCAAAAACAAGTATGTTAATACTTTCTTGTTAATATATATATATATATATATAATCATTTAAATTTTTCTTAAAAAATAACAATAATAATAACCCGACTGATTGGAAAAAAATCAAAAACTATAAAACAACATGAAAGTCTCTCTCAATGACTGGAGACAGTCATGAGGACCAGACAAACCAAACTAGATCACTAGATTTGCAGCCCATTTACTCAAAAGGTGAGCAACATGGTTACAGTTCCTAGGAACCCAAAACAAGCTTGAGCAGCAACTAAGAACTTCCACATGTTCAAGACTGAAGTTGTTGATAAAATTCTTGGTAAGCCTACAAGTTCTAATGTATTCTCCTGGAATTCATTCACGAGGTTGATTCTCTGAGCCATTTTTATTTTTATTTTTATTTTTTATCCTTTTATTTAATGCTAAAAATAAACATAAAAATGACTCAAACCTTCTATACTTGGTGTGTAAATTACTATGGGTTGGAGACCTGAAAAGAGAATAGTTGGATGTCCAGTCATTCCCTGGTCTAAAGGTGATAAGGAGACAGACAAAAGTAAGGGTTATCTCAACATCAAGCCATTCCTTGAATAGGAGTAAAAAGCAACACTTGCCTGTGATGTTCTCTTCTGTTCACACTTAGCAACAAAAATCGAATTTCAGTCCAAAACCTCAAGTCGGTTCTCACTGTTCGTATATTACATAACTAATGTTCTTGAATGTTTGGTTTGAACGTTTACCAAGAATACCAGAAATCAGGTCCGGTCTGAGATTAGGCAATGGTTCAATCCGCATAACCCATGCACAACTTAAACTGATATGCATATATGCCGTGCTTATGTGGGCCTATATGTAAGTGCACGTAACATGCACCTTTGTGTGTGTTACGTGTGTATATACTATATATATGCACCGCACGTATAATATAGACAGGAAAAAGTTTCAAAATCATAGGCGAGCTGCTTCACTCTGTGCATATTCGCATTTGTGTACAGTTTCTTGTTATCCAATATGTATATAGAACTCCTTGGTTGGTAAAAGAGTTCAAGAAGGGACCCCCTTCCGGCAAACATAGCTTTGCTTCAAAAATCCTCTTGCATTAGCTTTTTATTCCACCACCATAGGATGACGTAGACTCCCAATAATTCATGTCCAACAATACTACCCTTTGCACAACCATATAAATCAACCCCACTTGTCATATCTTCTTCACATCCTGCATTCTCACTCCCACCTGCATAAGTCGCAATTATTTCCCCACCAGTAAACAATAAATGGCTACCGAGAAAGCAAATTCTCAAATCTCAGGTACCATCACTGACAGCAGCCAAGACCGTTCCGCTGAAACATCGGCAAACAGCAGAGGCACTGTCGAATCCCACCTGGGGAAAGCACTTGCGTACAGAGCACTTTTTGGTTCAAGCCGATGTCGTGGAGGATGTAGGAGGGTCAGGACTAGTGACATAAGAACGTTACCAGGTAGGCTAAGCAAAGTTTCCTTGGCCGAGGAAACTGAAAATTAGAGGAATGCCATCCTTCAATTCCTCAATACTTTGAGATCTTGTGAGTTTAAGGAACCTTCAATTGCTGTAAGACAATTTTTTTATGTAACAGACTAGAGTTCCAACATTAATTTTTCTGACATTCTGTTCGAATGCAACATACTGTAGAACCCCACGACCTTGGTTGTCAATACAAGCGGAAAGGTCATATCAAAGTCCCAAATAAGTTGAGAAATGCTGACAAGAAAGATACTGCAACGAATACATAATCATAATAACATTGCTTATTGACCTGTTGATATGCTATGCCTATTTTAATATGATAAGTGAATACGTGCTTTTGTTTTTGCCATCTTGCATCCCTATCAACAGGCATGTACAATAGGAGGACACTGTCACAGGAGTTGTCATTCTAAAGAAAAACGAAAAATATTGCTTTAAGATGAAGAAGTTGCAGATTGGATGCACATATTCAAGAACATGTATGCTAAAAGAACAATTCATGAAACGTGAAGGTGCAAGAGATTTAAAATAGATCAGTGATCTCAACAAATTACAAGGTTCAGACTCAGAAACATACAAATCATCCGATATCGAAGGTAATGTGCATGTGAGTAGCAAGAAGAGCAACAACTGAACAGTTTAATAGTAGTTAGCCACTCAACTTCATATCATTATCGAGTGCTTATTCAGAAGTGGTGATAAGAGAGCCTGATTTGGACTCTCTGAACCACTCACAAGCCCCCCGGGCCCCACCACAACTGGTGGGGCCCACAAAGGGTTTGCAAGCGTGGAGAGTCCAACTTCAGAAATTGACCAGGGGTACAGGATTCTAGATCAGCTTTCCAAGTACTCAGCTCCCTCCCCCTCTCCCCCTCCTCTCTCCCCGAACTCACCTACAACCTCTAACTTCATAATCAAATGCATAAGCTAAGTACCTTCTACAAAACTCGCAAATTCTGGAGCTCTGAGAATTATCACACCTACGCAAGAACAGCTACAAAACCTATATGTCAAACAAAGAAAACCTAGTTCCTTTCCAAGTTTCCAACATTTTCCTTCAAATTTTGAAATAAACCTAAACTTAATAAAGATAAACATCATAAAACTACATTCTAAACACATGAGGCATTATCACCACCTATGCGTAGGCTAAAAAAGCTATATGTCTAATACATAAAATTATTGACCCTACATCCCATCATAAATGAGTATCATTTGTCACAGGAAACAAGCTAAGATACACCAAAAGCATCATAATAACAAACCAAAACATACTCCTTTATTTACACAACATCCACCATATCCTAAATGACTAATAGAGCAAAAATATCTACCCTAAACCTGTCATAAATGAGTATCATTTGTCACAGGAAACAAGCTATGTCTAATAGAGCAAAAATATCTGCCCTAAACCTGTCATAAATGAGTATCATTTGTCACAGGAAACAAGCTAAGATTTACCAAAAGCATCATAATCAAAAACCAAAACATACTCCTTTATTTACACACAACATCCATGATAACCTAAATGTCTAATAGAGCAAAAATATCTACCCTAAACCTGTCATAAATGAGTAAGCATTTGTCACAACAAACAAGCTAAGACGTAAAGAAAGCATTGTTCAAAACCAAAACAATGATATATTGATTTTTCATTTTTACACCTGGGTTATAGAGAACCAAAACCCTTAAATGACAAAATACTTAGTTAAAAATTTGACTACGCACAAATTTAAGTAACACACACAAAATGCTCCCTACTAGAAAGGTCGTAACAAAAATGAGCAAAACCAGGAGAAAGAAAACAAATGCATTGTAAAGTTTACCATCCTGCAATTCCACGACAAGAAAACTTGGAAGAATCCATAGAGAATAACTAACCACCATTCCACCTGTCCGATATCAATTAAAAAATTGTTAGTTGTCTTTGCAACACTATCACTACTTAAGATGTTATGAAATTAAACATCATGAGAAATGCAAATACCTTGTAAAATTCAAGAGCTGAATTTGTATGTTCCTGAGCTCAGACCAAACAAATCTTATAAACAACTACAACAACTATGTCAACAGGTTTAAACAAAACCATTAAAGAATCTCGTAATGTTAGTCACTACCACTGGAAATCTACATGGTTATTACAGAGAAGTCACAATTAGTTGAAAGAGATTGCAAAGAGAATGCGGCAATTAAATAGGAAGACAGGAGAAACAAATATAAAGGATATTATAGTGAAAACATTATAAACCACCAAAAAAAAATGCAGAATGCAGTAATTAAGTTTCTGGTCCAGACATATTAGGTCACTGAACAAATATGTATAATGGGCCTCATCATAACTCTGTGGCTCAATGTTCAGCCCACATCACGTTAACAGCACACAACTATTAACTTCATCTCCCATTTTAGCTGCCATATTTGAAACTAGTTTCACAAACATAAAACTGACTGCTTTAACCTATCAACTTCTTCCATACATATAGTTGATTAAACAAACTAATGGTCACTTGAATTCAACAAACTCAAGTCACTAGCCAGACTGCAATCTGTAAAACAAAAATAGCCCATAATGAACCAAAAACTGGAGCTTGCAACCATAACTATAATGTGCATCAACAATTTCTAGCTAGTTCAAATAAGTAATCAACTAAAATTTTGCTTTTCTTTTCTTTTTTGATTAAAGATATGGTTCGCCTAGTTCATAATTACAAAATGAACTGCAAGGGATTTTTTTCCTTTCCCCTCAATCCTGAAATTCAGTTCCACTGTCCTGAATGGCAGACAAACTACTATATATAGTAATTTTTGCTCAGGCTTTTAGATATATTCTGCAAATGAGAAGAGGTGGAAAAAAATTCTAGGATTGCACCAGGACAAAAAATTTGTGATGAGTGTATGGACATGGACTGCCATATCGCTATTGCTTTACACATTAGCCATTTCCAGCACTTACCTACAAAAACCCTAGCCCATCTCCATTTAAATCATCACCCCCCATCATTGGACAATCAGTTTCATCATGTCCAAACTGCCCACAGCAAGGGACAGAGCAACGCCTTCGTTTCCTATAGATATCCAACCCGTCTCTTGATCTTCTCTCTTTCAGCTTTCCCAAAGTTAAAGACTCGTGAGGATTTCCAGCAGTAAAACTTTGAACAATACCATCAGAATCTTCAACTTCTGGAAGAATCAACGAGTCAGAGGGGCTCTTATAAGCAATATCATTAACGCCGTGCGATGGCCCAGGAAATTCCTTGATACGAGACAAGACCAAGGCAATTTGGTCACAAGCAACATCAAGTCGTTCCTCTGTCTCAACTGATTCTGTAATTAGTGCTGAAACCATGGATTGGAGTAACTGGATTTTCCCTGCATTCTCCCCTGGAGTAGAAACCAGGACCGGCTTTGTAAGTGATGAGGTGGCATCACGCCAACGGATAGGTAGATATTGATCTGGAATATGAAAACAGTTGTTTGCTGATAATACACGAAGAACATGTCTACAGAGGATGCCTGAAAACTCAAACTGATGGCAGCTACAGCTAATGAACTCATCATGTGGGACCCAAATCACTTTGGATCCTCCATCTATCTCGGTATGGTGTCTCACGACGAAGTAACTCTCATCTATGGCTAGCGAAGCATACTGTGGTGCTAAAACAAGTTCTTCTTGAAGTTTGCAAAAGGCATATGGTGTCAGAACTGTAGCAGCATGTGACTCAATTGGTGAACCTGTTTTAAGAGAGACTTTATGGACCTTCCGTTGCATCTTTTGTTTTGCTTCTGCTTGTTCCTTAACATCCACAACCACAGCCAGCTGAAAATAGGAGCATGCAACAATGTAAACTGACAAAGTGCATCAAGAATCAAAGAGAAAAACCGACAGTTGAATACCTGCTCTACAAAATTATCTAATACAGTTTGAGTACTCAAAAACCGTTGGATGTAAGCATTTATTGACTCTGACTGAAATGTACTCGTCATTCCTGCAAAGAAGTAGCATCTCAGAAAAGGTAATGCCCAAAATGTACGCAAGGCATACAAGCTGACAATGTGCTTGTTTCCATGCAGCCCATATGCATCGACCATCTCCCTCCATCCTACTTCAAAATCCTCCACCGAGTGCAAAAAATAAAGCCGATGGAACTCGGTCTTCCATCTATCATATTGTGATCCAAGCAGTACCGAAAACCAATCCGAAAATTTTGATATGATATGCCAAATGCAGAAGGCATGCTTGGTCCTTGGCAATTCAACAGCAAGTGCTTCTTTAAGCCACATGTTTTGGTCAGTTAAAATTGTTTCTGGAGCTTTTCCATTCATGAAGTTTAAAAAAGTCTGCCATATGCAAAAAAGAAGAACAAAGTTGTGAGGGAAAAAAAGTTGTATATATGTATTTGGGTAAGAATGCGTTGAATAAATACCACACAGGGAAGATGCGGGGATGTTCCATTAAGATTAACTAATTGCTCAGATGTGTGTGTATAATGTTGTGTTCATCGTATATAGGAGGTTTAGCAACTTCCACACAGGTCAAAAATAAGAATATGCAAATATCACTTTCCAATTAAAGAGAGAAACATGATTTATGTTTGCATTTACACCAAAATAATAATAATAATAATAAATCTTGGCAAATGTAAAAAATAAGCAGGTTTATTTGTAACATAGGATGTAGGAAAAGGAGTCTACTTTCATTTTTACTAACTAACTCAAAAGGATTTAGCTAGCTCAGCTTATTGACATTACTTTTTGAGTCTTCCTCAAGGTAAACGGAGCGGTTCGTAGATTCAATAGTAGAGAATCATTCTAACAAGAACCATACTTACATTACCAAATTAACTTATTAATGAAAAAAATTCAGACCCCGTTGCAAATGCTCTTTAGCTTCTCACCTTCAACGCCCAAGAAAAAGAATGCATATTTTCATCCCGTAGAAGCGCACAACCAAAGAAACAATTCATTCCATGATTGTCCACTCCAATCCAAATACCAAGAAGCATATCATAGGCATCCAAGCGGTGGGTTGTGTCAAATACAACTGCATCCCCAAAAGCCTCGTATGATCGAAATGATGAAGCATATGACCAGGCAATATGCTCCAACCTATTATTGGTATCAATCTTAAAGTTGTATCTGAAGTTGGGATCTTTGTCCTTCTTGTCCTTGCACATTTTAAGAAGGTCAATAGGATCATTATCTCTGTCCACATTTCTAAAAGATTGTAGCAGGTTTCTCACATCTATTTCAGTAAATGGTAAACAACCCAGCTTGACACCTTTCTCTAGCTCCATTAGCCGTAGCATTTGTCGAACTGACATCCCAGCTTTTGCAAACATGCAAATCCGGCTCTTGTCATCTGCAGACATGGCGCAGTAGGCAGGAAGTAGCTGCACCTCATTTGACTTCAGGAGTTCATGGTTGTGGATATTGCTAAAACCAGTAATGCGCCATTCAGGGACATCAAAATCTGCCCTTTTAACTATTCGCATATATGCTTGACACCCACAGCGTGATGATTTTCGGTTCCTCTGTAGCTTTCCATCATCTGATGGCTTTAGCTGCGGATAACCACCACGGTGGCATGTGAAATCCCTTCTTGTAATCCCCCTACCTACACCATCCTTTCCTCGAGTCCGGTGACGTCTGATTGAAAACCCACATTGCTTTGCAAAGCTACAATAAAATTCATAGGCAGCATCTTGTGAAACAAATCTCTGGCCAATAAATGGGACAAGGTTCACAGAAGTTTGTCGTGACAAAATAGTATCCTCAGGCATTTCCTCAATAGTACCAATATCATCTGGAGATAGCTCTGTTCCATTTTCAGAAGTTTCTTTCACTATACTTGTTAACTCAGACATTATTTCTGCAGAAGGTAATGATACTCCAGATGTAGCAACTGCAAATTCAAATCTTGGTTAAGAAAACAAAAAAAAAAAAAAAAAAAAAAAAAAAAAATCATGTCTTTAGTGAGAGGCTGAGAGCACCAAAAATATACTACTAAAATGAAACACCAATTAATCTTGTATTACTGCAATTATAAGGAATCCTAAGGAATCACAAAGAACACATGAAGCTGAAAATTTCAATTATTACGGTTGAAAAAAGATAATTTGAGTCACACAGTTCATCAAAACAAGAATTTTACTTGCCTGAGTTTGATGGGTTGCACTTAAAACAAGAATTTTACTTTACTTTTTCTGTTTCATTGTATGCCCTTTTCTAATATGAGTAACATGATGAATGAGGAAGAGAAACTTATGTTAAATATTCTGCACATGACAGTTCGATAAACTGCTGAAGAAATAACATATTTGTAACGTCTAACTAACTGCTTGAAAGTCAATGTGTTACTTTTTCAGCAGTTCATCAAACTGATATCTGCTTAAAAAGAAGTTAAACAAAGAGAACATTATTCTGATTGGCTTTTTCTGTACCCACCCTTATGTTAGTCAAAGTTCTTTTTTACATAAACAGATGATAAAGAAAGATATGAAGAATCGAAGACATGTTCAAGGAAACAAGAACAAAAAATTAAAATAAAATACCGCAAAATACAATTTAAAAAAACTTCCCCAAAAGCTATTCTTTTTCCTCAAAGATGGACGATCACCCTAAATGAAGATGAATACACAATAAATTTAATGGGAAACTGGAATTTTGAACATAAAAATAATCATTTTAAACATAATTTAAAACTACAAAATAATTCCTACTCAAACAATCTCTAACTTTTTGCATTGAAATTTTTTGGTCAAATACAAATTAATAAATATAACTTAATTAGTGATGTCATCAGATTCTAGTTTGTAGAATGATTAAGAGTATTTTTATTGGCCAACAATGGTACAACTATCAAAAAGAATAGTACACGGAAAATATTAAATATTAGGAGATACCCACTCTTTGGAACCATGACAATGTGTTTGCAGACCTAAGAATTTGTAAAACACGTGATCCTCCTGTGATTGAAAAACTTAAAGTAGCTCAGCAATACAAGGATCCCAAAAATCTCAATTTCGTAACATCTACTCAACTCAACAAGCTTCGGTGCCAACCTTTTTAAATTCGATTACATGGATCTGTCTTCTCTGTCAGCTCTTTGTAAAATCATATCCTTACTCCTTAGTTAATCTAAGACAACCATGCCCTTACTTACAGTCTTGACCCACATTATTTTTTTTCCATCATATTAGTGTTCCATCAACCAAACTTACTACTCACATGCTAGTTTTCACCCTCACTCCAACTTCATGTTTCTGATTTTTTGAATGTGCTGGCACTAGTTTGAAAAAACAATAAAATGTCACTACACAGACCTAATTTTGATATTATTTGTACATAGTGACTGCTCTCATGCTTGACCCGTGTTCACAAGCATGACCTCCCAAGCATTTTCCATTATGCCAAGAAATAAAATCTACATTACATGGACTCTTCAAAGGTAGGTGAACTACCCATGTCGGACATACAATACTTAAGACATGAGTACAAGATATGTTTCTGACACTTATGGAAGGACATGCACCTACATATCAAATGGTTCAATTTTATTATATTATTGCTTCAAAACGAGTGGAATGCCTATATTGGTCGCTATAATTCCTAAAGCCTTTATTTTACTGTAGAAATAAAATGAAAACATTAAGGACTTGACATGTCCGACACGTGGATACATAACTGCACCTGAGCCCATGTCTCAAGTGTTCATTTTACAAATTAATATATAATCTATTTTCATAACACTTGTGCATTTATCCTAACCAAAAATATAAAATTTATCAACATTGCTCTATCAGCTAAATAATTATTATGCCAGTAGCTTAGTTTCATCACATATCTTCTCATTCTCCCTACATAAAACATTGGCCAGTAATATCCCACCCCAGAGAATCCTTTGGGGGTGTGTTTGTCTAATGCCTTTGTTTGAAGTCCCATCATTTCCTACGGTGAAAAGAGATGACTAAAACTTCAATTTCACAACATCCTCAGTAATTTTTTATTTCTAGTCTATTAGAAGAAAGAAAACACACTACTTACCGGGAGAAAAAAAAAAACGAAGAAGGAAAACACAGTTACCTTTTTCTTTTTCTTTTTTTCCCTTCTATGCAAACATTTTTATTCCTATATCTTTTCAGTTAGCCAAACCTATTACAAAATTTTCTCACATTCTCAAGCAACAACATTTTTAAAAAGACAGAAAGACAGACCAACCAAAAGTAGTAGCACAGATTATCCAAATATAATGTGTAAATAAGATCACCATCTTTGTTCCCAACCCATATTTTCAATAATGATATTTTCATTTCAACTGCAACCCAAGCAAGTGTTACTCACGATGCAAAATAATAATAATAATAATAATAAACCTTGGGAACTTTCTATATAGTTTTTCTTGCATAGGAAAATGGCTATCAGAGCTATATGATGTGGATATACAAATTGATCAGCGTCAAAGACTACAAATAATTTATAATTGTTTTTACGGGATAAAAGGATAGAGTAGATATGAATTGATGGAATCTAACTGAAAACTAATTCGATCAAGTCAACTTACTTAAGAGCCAATTCTGGTATTCAGCTACAATCTCCCGATCAATGAAATCCTGGAAACTCCCAAAATTTCATATGGATCCCTCTAAGAAACAGTTTTAAGAAGCAAGAGAATCATTCAAATCGATCACAAAGTGATCAAATCACAGCTCAATATCCATCCATCGAATTCAATCCAGATATGAACGAAAAGCTGAGCCCTAATGAGAACAGAATGCGCATAAATTTGCATGGAAGGATCACAACGATGTGAAAATTAAATTTTCTAGGGAAATAAAATCAACAGATTGAGGAGAAAATAAAGATAAATGAGTCGAGAAAATTACGCACCTAATAGGGAAACAAAAAGTGGAGAGATAAGAGTTTACATTGTAAAGAAAATCAGCGAAAATTGGACAGAGGCGGGGAAGTCCAGGAAGAAGGAGCAACGCGCATCCATGGAGGACGGTGGTATCTTTTTTATAGCGGGGGAAGACTATCGTACGCCTTGTGGATACATGGGGTTATCGTGCGCACATCATCGGTTATGACAGCCGTAGGATCGTGGTGTCCATTGCGAGCGTTTTTGATCCAGCATTAGGGTCCGGAGTGCTCTGGAACAGTTTAGACGAACCCTAGTTCCTCGGGTTCAGTAGTCTCCTAAATGTATCCAGCTTTTATGAGTTTGGTTCTTAAACCTATTTATTTTGTTTGGTAAAAGAACAACAAGTCAAGTAGTACATCTTTCCTCCCAAATGAAGTATCATCCTTGGAAATTGTAATTTTTATGCTCAAATTAAATGTCGTTTTTGAAAACTGTGTGAGTTATAGTTTTTAAAAACGCACTTAATCTGGAAAGAAAGATTACTTACCTAAAAATACACAACTGAGCTTTTCACACTCATTTTGTCTTCAAATTACAAGTCAGGTAGGAGCTCATAATTATTTTATTACTTGATTTGTACTTATAATTTTTTATTTTTTATACTTTTAAATATATATACCAATTTTGATATTGGAGCTCGAACATGAGCTTGTTACATTTAACATGATTTGGTGTGAATTGAAACTTTACTTTAAGCTTAAATTGAGTTAGATCAATTATTCAATCTGATAAAGTGGATTCTGATTATGGTCGCTAACTAACTTAATAGGATAAATAATAGTTGTCAAAGTATTAACTTAACAGTATAATAATGATAACAAATGTTACTTAAACATGTTTTGTATTTTTATTTTATTATAATATATTGACAAAAACAAAAAAATACAAAGCATAAACAGCTGCCAAAGGACAGTTGATCTCAAACCTTTTTGGATATACTAGTCAACTCTAAAATATACAGTAAGTGTCACTAGAGAGAATGATGGGCTGCTTTCTATTAGCAAAAATCGTAAACTTCCATCATATAAAAAGCCCAAACCGATGCGGGGACGAAGTTGGGCTCATAGACAACTTACGGGCCCGCGCTGCAATTAATGGTGGTAAAAAACCAAATTGTTTTTAGGTGAAAAGCAAATTCTAAAATATAAAATGGCTAAAATCACAACGATAGCTGGTATAAATCATCAAATTAATAGAGTATTAGGGAAACAAACATATTATTGAGTAGCAGTATCTCATTTGCGCATGAAACCTACTACTATTATATTATTGACTCTAATGAACCACATGTAGCAGCACAAAACAGGTGCTAGTACAATTCACATGATTTATGGGGTTCGGGTCTGTGTAGGTGTCAATCTATCATATTCATGTATCCCTTGAGAGTATTCCCAACGCACATTTCATAATTGGCTTTACATTTTTTTTTGAAGTGTAAAGTCACGTCAATAATTGTGCTGACATGACTCTACACTTATTTTGAAAATTTTAAGTTATGCACAATTTTTAACATTTTATACTTTATTATTATATAATTTTTAAAATTTTATTTATTAATAAATAAATATTTTCTTTTTCAATTGTTTGTTTGTTTATTTTTTGCAATTATTTTCAACAACTATATCGATAATGACTATATAATTCTTTGCTTCGATTATATGTTTTGAAATTTTAAATAAATTAAAAAAATTTTAAAAACAATGATATTACATACATAAATAAAAATATATATTATATAGCTTCGTACAAATAAAATAACATAATATAATTCAGAAAAATATATATATATTAATACTTTTTCACGTATAAAAAAAAATATTACACATTACAATTAATCAGGCATATACTATAAAACTTAAATAAATACATAACATGTGCAATACAATAGAACAGCTATTTTACACACTACCACACACAATCACTCTTCCATTAAAAATTATTAATCAAACACAAGGCCCACTCTCAGAGAATAATGTCAGTCGCTACTACGGTATACATATTTGGAGTATGAAGTGTAAAAATTTTAGTGGGGCCGATAAGTGTATAATGTGCGCAACAAACCAATTCATTCGCTACAGAGGTGCATATTATCCAAATTGTGCGCGCACTGGGGATGCTCTAACAAGTCCCCCACATACGCCACTTTATATATGCCTAATGTCAGTGCACATAGAAATTATCTCAAATTAATCAAATAAAATCATTTCATGTACTTCCTCCCCGCCCAATATCTCAAATTAGCTTGACAAATATAAATTTTTTTTTTTTCAAAAATTTTAATTTTTAGAGAGATGAGTTTTAATATTTTTTTATAGACAATATTTATATATTCATCGGTGAGTAGATCATCCCTACTGATCTTTGATGTGGTATAATTACAAATGCACGTAGAGCCCGTTCGGAATTGTTATTAGAATGTTGAAAACACAGTAGAACTGTTATAAAAGTGATATCAGTAAAACATAGTTATGCATTTGGTGACATATTGTATAAAACACAATTTATACTTGAAGCAATTTTAAAATTTTTTGTTAATAATGTTGTATAAAGCACTTTTATTACTAATTTTACTTTTTTACCTCTACACTAATAAATATGTGTCAATTTTTTAATATTAAATATCATAAAATTCCACTGAGTTCAATAATTTATGAAGATCAACTTGTATTGTTTTTTTGGGGGGGTTTAAATATCACATATTTTGTTTATGATATACTATTTTTATTTAGTACTAAAATATAAATAAGTTAAACATAATTTAATGATTATTAATTTGTATTTGATTTGTGATCTTCGAGTAATACAGTTAAATAAGAAAACTCATTCATATGCTATCTAAAAATGAAATTTAATAATATAATGTTTTTGTAAGAATTATAGAAAAGTTAGGATATTCATTTTCTATTTGTTTGTAATATGGACAAAACTGTATTTATAAAAAATAGAAAGGGATTACATTGTCTAAAAAAATTTAGATACCTAAAATGATAAACCTCTACACGCAACACAATTTTAGAAGTTACAATTCTTAACTTCACTTAAACGCGTTTTTTTTGACATAACCTCCACCACTTATAAGCGCTTTATTTTTTTCACCAAACATATTTAACAGGAATTTTTTGAAATGAAAAATAAGAATAATAATTCTTTTAAAAATAAATTCAATCGTCCACTCACATTTCCTCATTTATCACTTTCCTATTTTGTAGTTATGGATTATGTGTGCATTTGTGACCTAACTATATCAACAGAAAGTAGAAATGACTTACCCATCAGTGAGTAAGACAAATATTGTCTTTTGTTTTATTATATTTTTTTACGAAAGGTATTTTTATTTTTTTTTAATTATATTGATACCAAATATGTCTAGATCCACAGAATGTGATGGTTTACATTTTATAAGTTCAAGATAATTAAATTGGTAATGTTAGCCAAATATAAAAATGTGATCATTTAATTTGAAACAGAGGGAGTATAACATAACAATCTTTTTTTAAATAAAAATTTCCTCAGAAAATAATATGTTATCGCAACTAGTTGTTGCGTGTAATGTATTATTTTGTTGCATTTTACATGATGGATGAAACTCGAGATACATCAAGAAGTTCCGTGCTTTTCTCTTAAAAATAAATAAATTTATGAATGAGTTTTCGTTACTTGCAATAATGTAACGATAGTCTAAAAATGAGAGACCCGATGTTCTTATTTAAACTTCTCGAAAATTAAAGCTGATCAGGGTTACTTCTCATAGTGAAATAATTAGGACAATTGATGGTGGATCCTGTTTTAAGCCCTACTTCACAATTAATGTGACTTCAATTATTTCATTTTGAGAAGTAACGGTAACAAGGAAGTAAGGCTGGGAATCATTTTTCATATGGAAATACTATCGAGTGGTGGGGGGCAGAGCCCGCTTTCTTGCTTGTATTATCATTACGGCACTAAATTTTCCCAGAGAATGTCTGACTTTTTCTATGTCCGATTTTTTTTTTTTTCCTTGCTGTTTATATGGTGGGAGGAAAAAATAACAAATGAAGATTAATCATCTACTCATAATTCAACTTTTACCTGACCAGCCACATACATATAGCAATGAATCATGGAGTACTTGTTTGCTCAATTGTACAGTGCTAAAACACTTCTCATTAATCAAAGTTTGTACAGACACAACTTCAAGCTTAAGAGAACTGATTTTTTTTTTTTTTTTTTTGAATAGATATTTCTTTTTGATAGGGCAGGGCCGGCCCTGGCCCAAGGCGACCAAGGCAGTCGCCTAGGGCCTCAGATTTTAAGGGGGCCTCAAAATTTCGAGGCCCATGCAAGATGGGCCACCAAAAATAAAAAATAAAAATAAAATGTGTAATCAGATGCAGCAAATCTTTTAAAGGGCCACAAAATTTACAGGCCATGAATGATGGACCGCAAAAAAAATTAATAAATAAAAAAATAAAAATAAAATTATAACTTAACAAATCACTTAAGGGGCCTCAAAAAAAATAATAATAATAATAAAAAAATCATTTGAACTGCCAATCTCCATTGTCATAACTCTCGTTCTCAAGAATCTCAACAGACTCTCAACTCTCAAGCTTACCCGATTACCCTCTCTCTCTCTCTCTGCTATGCAAGACTACAGCGGCAACAATCAAAAGTTTTTTTCCCTCAAAAATCAAAAGATCAAAACCCAAAAAATTGAAAACATCACATCATCATCGTCTTCACTTGTTCCTCTCTCTCTGTTTCAGAATCCAGACTTCTAGTTCGCAAATCGCAGTTCGGATTTGTAACTTGCATCGCATGATTCGCATCTGCATCAATCCATCATCATCGCTATGATCGCCTAAGCACACTCTTCAAAGCAGCCACTTCCAGAGGCCTCAGCTACCAAGTCTTCATCGCCTCTCTTGCCCTTTGCCTTGTCCTTCTTTTTCCACTGGTCTCTATCTCTCTCTCACCCATCTCATTACTTTTTCTAACACATACACACATATATATATACACACACTAAATATGTATTATTAATTATTTGAATATTTAATTGCAGGAAAACTTCGCTTCCTCCATTCAATTTCTCTCTCCTTTGGAAAATCTGCCTCCTTGCCATTCTTGGGTACTGATTTTTTAACCATTTTATATAGTCATTTTGTTTCATCAAAAACTTACAATTATTTAGATCCAATATATATATATGTACATGCCGGCTCAATACAATATTTAATTTTAATATGTGTATATGCTGATGTAATGAGGATGAGAGAGAGAGAGAGAAAAAAAAAAAAAAAAAAGAAGATAATATTAGGATAGAAATATTTTGTGCACACTATTAAATTTTGTATTTGTTGAGGTTTAATGATACAAGAAAATAAAATATTTAGGTAAGATATAATGTATAAAGAAAAAAAAAAATTTGGGGGCTCTCAAAAAAATAATAATAATAGAAATCTTTTAGGTCAACTGTCAAATTTCTCTATACGTTGAAGTTTAATAATTAAAATACTATAATTATTTTAGAAAAATTATAATATATAGAGAAATAAAAAATTATGAGGCCTTCTTATGTATAGAGGGTCTCACATTTAAAGTTCGCCTAGGACCTCTCGAGATTTTTTCAATCTCAGGACCGGCCATGTGAGAAGGGCTAAAATTAAGAAATTAGTAGTTACATTAACCATTGATATTTAATATCCTGTCACTAATTCATTTGTTTCGTGTATTTATTGAGACAATGGACATATGTATCAATTGACGGAGCTAGCTCTTATTATGGGAGACATTGTCACCATCACGTACTCTCCCCACAAGAGATGGAGGATCAATGGAATATGCATAATTTTGTGCTCCTCCTCTGAGCCCATTACAGTGCATGCCTAAAGTTCGATCAAATAGTTTGCTCTTAAAGATAAATACTGAAGATATAAAGCAACCAATTTGCACCAAATGAAGTGGGCATATATAGTTTGTAAAATGAAGTGGGTATATATATAGTTTGTTTGAATTCTGATCCAAAAAAAAAAAAAAAGTTAATTACAGTCGCACTTTTACCCATGCATGATCTTCCTAATACTCTGGTATATGTTCTCTTACCAGACGTTAGTTTCGTGCAAAGGTGGTTGTTTAATTAATTTAGTTCTTTTGCAGGTCTCAAATTTTCTTCTCTTTGCCACTTGCCCTTTACCATTAGTAGAAAATTAGATTACGAAAAGGTTTGATAAATTTATTTTTGTTCCATGTTTTTTTTTTTTTTTTAAGGTTAAGTAATTACACACACTTATGCTCCATGGAGTAGGCTTATACCACCTGAGTTAGTGCCCGTGATAAAAAAAAAAAAAAAATTAGTTAATTAATTTTACATGCATAAGCACAAAACAAAATATCTTGTGATCTTGAATAATTAAGATAGTATTATGGGAAAACTACACATAAGTAGAGTTAAGAATCCTAAATAACAAAATAATTTATTTTAAAAATTTATTTTTTAATTTGATTGAATCAAATAAAATAATTACAAATGCATCAAGAATTATTTTTAAGACCCAAAATATCCTCCAAGCCCTTATTGTAAAATACCAAAATAACCTTCTTATAATCAATAATCATATATTTCCAAAATACTAAAGAAAAAAAAAAAAAAAGAAGGAAACTATAACCTTTCTTAATACTAATAGTTGATATTAAGGTGCTAAATTTAGCAAGTGTTAATTACGACCAAAAGTTTAATATATACCAAAGCTGAAAAAAAAGGTGTTAATTACTCTAAATATAATTTAAAGGAGATGGGAGTCCAAGATAAGGTATTATCAAGAATGCCATTCACGTAATATGGTAAATACTAATTGTAAGATAAAAGAAAATTATTTAAGAATGAATTTATATTTGGAAAAAAAAACTGAAAATAGTTATGGCAAATTTGGATAAATTCTCTGATCTATTTAGTCAAATGACATCCATTGACAAAAGTTTGCATCTTTTTTATTAGACAAGAACCATTATGTTCTAAGTTAGAATATAAATTTAATTATATATATATATATATATATATATATATATAATGAGATTATGAGAGCAACCTTTTAGACGTCCTTTATTGAAAGACAAATCATTGGATTTTATCTCTTTCATAGAAGTAAAAGATGAGTTATCATTGTCCTTTATTGAAAGACAAATCATTGGATTTTATCTCTTTCATAGAAGTAAAAGATGAGTTATCATTGTTTTTTGAACAAAAATCTTAACATGGTAAAGGATTTGCATCGCATTCTTGAGCAGTTTGAATTAAATGATAATCAAACTAATTTAAATTATCTATTTAAATATTAGAAAATTATATATTGTAAAAAAGGATATTTTGGTATTTTGGAATAAGAACTTAGAGAGTATTTTAGACCTTAATAATAATTCTTGATGCATTTGTAACTATTTTTCTTAATTTAATCAAAGTAAAAAATTAACTTTTAAAATTGATCAATTTATTATTTAAAATCGCTAACCCTATCTAGGTGTACTATTATTGTAATTTTGGAGTTAGTAAAATAAACAAAGGTGCTCCATAACCTAATTATATATTAGGACAAACCTTTAATTTATGGACAAATTGTATCCAGTGTAGTGTATTGAATGTGAATTCGAATTCTCTTAATTTTTAATTCTTAAGATAAGTTAACAACTTAAATCTCACCCATGTCAACAATCAAAATTAATGCTAAAAAATTTAATTAAACCTCCACCAAAAAAACAAATAGTAATAATATTTATTTTTTTTTAGAGAAAAAAAGTGAATATTTATAAAAGAATAGTAGTAATTGAGACAATAATGATAAGAAATTGAAAATCCCCATTGCTGCATTGGCAACAGGGGAACAAGAAAATAAAATAAAAAAGGTAGCATCGAGCGAAGAGACCACCAATACAAAATTTAACAATACGGCTTTGCAAGCTTTCCAGCTAAACTTTTGGCCAGGTACAAAATATAATATCAGTACAATATATATATATATATATATATATATATGGAAACCTAAGGTCGAATGATGAATACAACTACTCATTGACACTACTTCCACATTGCCTTGTTTTCTTTAGTAGTAGTATTAAAAGTTAAAACCCCTGATTTCTATCGACATCCGTGCGGGTGGTGGTCGAGATATGGACGAGTTCCGGCCAAGTTTCCGGTCAAGCGACAGGAGGCTGGAGATTGTGAGTGGGAGGAGCATTAGCGGAAACAAGGTGTACATGATGAACAGGCATCGGTCGCCGGATCCGCCTGGCATGAGTCGGCCGAGTCAGAGTTCATCCTCGCCGTCCAAGCCCTGGGGCTTCAACGATCCAGAGATGAAGAGAAGGAGGCGAATAGCCAAATACAAAGTTTATACTGTCGAAGGCAGAGTAAAGGCTTCTTTGAGAAATGGGTTTCGTTGGATCAAGAACAAGTGCTCCCAGATCGTCCATGGTTTCTAGGTCGGACCAAGTCACAGCCAGCGATAGAGTAAGGAAAGGACCAGAGCGATCAAGAAGAACACAGATTTTTTTTTTCTGAATTTGGGAATTTTGCAAACCGGGTGGTTATGCCTCTTTTGTTTCAAATTAATTACTGGTTATTATTAATATTTTTTTGTTTAATTATTAATTTTACTATTTATTTAATTCAGGAGACATGTAATAGTGATACTAATGACTTTTGTTAATTCAAGAAGTACTCCAAACTTCTTCCATGTTTCAACTTTAGAGATACTCCTTCCGTCCCCCTTATTAATAGTCTATTTATTTATTTATTTATTTTTATTTTTTTTTTTTTACATATTTTAAATTAGTTGTCCCCCTTATTAATAGTCTATTTATTTATTTATTTATTTTCATTTTTTTTTTTTTACATATTTTAAATTAGTTGTCTTTTTTAAAAATTTAAAGTATCTTTTCTTTATATTTTTATTATTATCTTTTATTTTTTAAAAATATTTCAAATTTTGTAATTATATATATTTAAATTAAAAATAATAATTTGATAATTTTAAAAAAAAACAATGCATTAATTGCATATCTTTTTAAAAAATTATAAAATTAAAAATGAGCAACTAATAAGGGACAAAAATAATATTATACCAATTATAGACTAAATTAATAAATTTATTTTTTCAAATTTCAATAATTATTGCGGATAAATAGTACTTAGAAGAAATGATAGAAAAATTATAAGGCTGTGAATAATATAGGTTTTTAATATGAAAAGAGTCAATGGTGCACGCTAATATTAAATGTGAGACAATTTAATAAAAAATGAAATTAATAGTAGATCCGTACATGATTAAGCACAACTCATGCTGAATGCAGAAGGCTAGATCTAATCGAATAGTTGATTAGGTTTGGGCCTGCCCTAGGTACAGAATGTTGCAGGGTCATGAAGACGTGACTGGTATCCCATCTCTAGTCCATATTATTTGAGGGCACTTTTTTGTTTTTATATGTGTTACTGTTTCCCGAATCCAACAATTTTCTTTCCAAATGCTGATTACGTAGTAATTCACAACAAATTAAATTTGTCTAAAATTAGATAAAATTTGTAACAACTGAAAAATTAATATCCAATTTTTTACTATATTTTTAAATGGCCAAGAATCTAACTTTTCTTTTTTATTTTTTAGAAAAAAATTTTAAAAAAAACTTACTGTGAATTATGCTTATTTTTCAGCTCAGAATCAAAACTTTTAGCTGTATTTTTATGTATAATTCAAGCATGCTGCCTTTCGAATCCTAATTCAGAATGTATTAATTATAAATTATTAAATTATTGCTGAGTAAATTCTTTGGCAACTAACATATCTCAATCAGTCACTTTTTGCCTCCCTCACAACTAAAATCGTGGCTCACTTTTAAGAAAAATATATTTCACACATTATTCTCGTATTATTATGGTATTTTTATTTTTATTTTTTTTTTCTATTGGCCAACCACTGCAGAAAAAATTCAAGATTTTGTTCATTCTTTATCTAAAATTTTGAAGACTAATTGTCATACTAGAACTGCATATTTGTTTTTCAAAAATTTCACATGAGTAACTTCCTCTAGTTTTTTCTTCTCTTCTTATTTTTCTTATTATTTAGAGTAGTGATTTTCACACCAAACACTTGCACTGAATCGCCTAACCAAATAATTTTTAATTGGTTATTTATACTAAATATAATTAAATGAAAGGCTTCACTTCCTTATTTATTTCATAATTGACCAATTTAAAAAAATATGCTGGCACTGAATTGCCTAAACAAATAATTTTAATTGGCTATTTATAGTAAGTACAACTAAGTGGAATACTTCATTTCGTTATTTATTACATAATTGATCAATTATAAAAAATAAAAAATAAAGAATAAAATTTAACAATTCTGCAATTATTCAATACAAAAATTAGTTTTCTATTATTTATTCTCTGACTTACGTCATGTCATCAAAAAGACATTTGCATCTGTTTCTCTCCCATGCCAATTAAGCACAACCATCCCGTACTCATGGTATAAGTAGATATATGAAGAGAAATACCAAATTCGTTTAGAATAGCAGTAAGTACATGAAAATATTACATTGAAACAAAAGAAAATTTCACCACTATCCAAAAGCGAATTAATATGGCTTCCACTCCCCCAATTTCCACCCAAAAATTGAAAATCAATAAATAAAAATAGAAAAAAAAAAATTTAGAGAAACAAGCTATAGGCCCAATTGAACTAAATCTATAGGCCCAACAATTTTTATCTTCTGCCAGATGGAAAAATAATAGCGTAGCATGAAATGGAAACATGTGCACGTAATTATATGGTGATCATTGCGTACCCTTTCGCTGAAGCCTCATTTGTTGGTAAAACTGAGCAATGAATTCTTCGGCCTTGACATCGATCATCTCATCCCCTCCCCTATCATCCCTGATCTGATCATCATTATCATCATCAAGTTCTTCAAGATTAGACGACGAAGCATATCGGCTTCCCCCGCCGCCCTTGTCCAGCTCTTGAAGGTTGTTGGCGGAAGCATATTGGCTCATGCTGCCCACGGAGGAGCGCGAGGAGGAGGAGGAGGCGCCATGTGGAGAAGGTGGGGGTGGTTGCACATCCTCAAAATGTTCAACCGAAGGTCTCCCCGGCAGGGATTGAAACGAAGTCGGTGAAGATGGTTGTTTGTTCTGTAGATGCAGAGGGCGCATTGATCCTACAAGTTTGTTGAGCATGCCCTTTGAAGCCACCTCCATTTGAACTTTGTTTGATTTGGGGCTTGATCGGCCACGCATAATCAACAACGCCGCCTTCAGAAGGCTGAATGCCCTCCTCTTCTTCTTCTTTTTCTTCTCATCCTTCAGATCAGTAGCTTTATTGTCATTCGTGGTGGTGGTGGGGACATTCTTCGTGGTGGTGGTGGTGGTGGTGATTGATTTATTTTCCATCAGATCGGTGAGATCGATCAAAAGATAAATTAATTGTATCTCTTTTGATTTGTTTGTGTGAGTTTGGATCCCTATCTCTACCCTGCAAATGCAGGGTGAGATATGGAGAGCAACTTAATTCTGGAAGAAACTAATGAAATGTACTCTTTAACATTTATATTTATATTTATATTTATATTTAGAGAGAGGAAGAAGTCTCTGTTTTACTCCATTTATATATTTAGAGGTTAGTTGGGCAATGGACGTTTTGTACACAAAATATTCTGAGGTATAAATTCTGCTCACAATGACAAAAATACCTATGCCAGTTCAGTTGCCAACTCTACTCGTTGACTATGCTTCCACAAAACAAAATGAATTTGTTAATCAGTTCAACTCCAAAACTCACCAATAATCGATGCCCACCTGACTGATCAGTGTTTGTTAGAAATCATGTAACATTGATTTAGATGTCTAGGATTGATTGATGAAGTTTAATATTGTTTGTCATGTAACTTGGGAGTACTTTGTCCCATAATACTCAAGCCTGTGTTACTACTAGTAATATATTTTTTCATTAAACAGACTCACTGGTAATAAAATTTACAAAAAGAAAAGGAATAGCTATTAGATTCGTCTGGTTGTAAGGTTATGTTTTACTCTTGATTGAACGATTTTTTATAATTCTACAAAAACAAGTTTTTACATTATTTATTTAAAAAAACATACTTCTGCTTTGAATTCTTATTACAATTGTTTTTAGTACTTCAGTAGCCCGTAGGTGGCAGGATTGTAATAAGATGCAAAGTTGGCGATTGTTTGTAAAGGAGCGTATCATGACGTGCAGAGCGGTGGTCTAGGCGGAGGAATCGGTTGGGACGGAAGTTGTGGCTGCTAGTTTTAGTTTAGTTTGTGGGAAGAAGGAATGATCTGACGGTTGTAATTGTTTTTGATGCCGCAATTCTTGCAATCGTTAAATTGCTAAAACTGTTTCTATTACCAACACGAATTGCCACATATATATATATATATATATATATATATATATATATTTGCCATATATATACACATAACAAGAAGAATACATAATGCCCAGAAAAATGCATCCATCCATCAAGCGTGACCATATAAGCGGGTATGTGGGCTATAATTCCGCGTTTCTTTGCTGAAAAGGCAAGGATCCCATGTTACGCTTCTGTATCACAATTGCATCATATACCATACAACGTGTTGATAGATAGGTACAAACCACTCTTAAATCATCTACCACATGTTTAGGAGTGGGTCCCATCTCAGAAAATGAAACGGAAGACGACCATTCCTTTTGTTTACCCATTATTGTGGGCGATCCGGACTTGCGTTCACACATGATATGGGCTTTGATTAGCCCTAATCATTTGATAAGTTTGACCAGCACCGTGTCTTCCATGATGTTCATAATTAGTAATTGCATCCATAATAAGTAACGTCGGTGAATAAAATGAGCAAAAGTTAAATTTTTATTTTTTTATTTTTTTCTGAATTATACTTCTCTCTTGCATTGGACATAAAAGACTAGTACGATATGAATACAACCTAAACCAGCGAACTTAATTTAAAACTTTCCAAATTTAATTGAGATTTAGTTTGGATTGATGTCATGTAACCTGGAACCAAAGGGATCTTTATTACCTATGCAGTCAATCAAAATGTAGTAATATCTCTTTTACTTTTAAATTAAAAGATAATTTTTTTTAATATTTTCAAAAGCATATGAGTGTTTTTCTTGTTAAAAGGAAAACACAAAAATAAAAAAATTTATTCATTCACGTTCATGAAATCACACAACACCAATCTAACTAAGCCCAAATGCAGTCCAGAGGCTACCATGATTTTTTAAAAAACAAAAGTTAACCACAATTCAAAAGTTTAAGAACAAAAGAAGACCTATATATTGGTTTTATTTTTATCTGTTTTTTTTTTAAACCTTGGCAAGAAATAGAGAGGACTTAAACCTTCAATAGTCCACTTTAAAATTAAAGTAAAAAAATATCGTTAGACTACAACCCTTGATAATTTAAAGATGTAGTTAAAGTTTAACTTAAATTAAGACTTCATGTTTTTGGGTTGAATATGTGTGTAAATCTTTTAACACATCCAAGCTGTTCAAGTGCCATTATGCATACTAGGATAAGTGTTTGGTAATTTGAATATATGAGAAAACAATGAGCTGGCTCACTTAAGATGTTATTGCTACAAGTATCTTAAATTTGCACTCTCCAAAACTAACAGGAGCAGTGCAGGGTTGCAAAATTTGAATTTTTGGAACTTTCTATAGGACATATCTGGCATGCAACATAAACAAGTTGTAATGTGGAGGGCACTATGGTACGAAACAGGTGGCACCCAACTTTGTTTTCACACACGTTACGCTGCTGAGAATTAGGTAAAGTGGGTCCCTAGAGATAGTGGGACCTGGTGCCACTGTTTTTAATATATCTACTCCATTGGTTACGGTAATAGTGAGTAGTCCTTCCAAACTGCGCCTGTGAACTGTATTACTCAGAGAAACACGTTGCGTAACAGCCTAACATGCAGATCCTGCGATGTAACAAGCACACTGTGTAGCTAAAAATTAAGAAAAAATAAATTGCTGTGTAATATACGTACTCACATATATAGAAACCTATATATAAATGTGATAAATATACACATACTTTATTTTATATAAATCCAAAATAATTAAGGTAATCAATAATGAGACACGGGCTCATTCCTTAAATAAGAATTAATGTTGGGTTAAACGAACTAGGTGGGTAGGTAGTTAGGTAGGTTCATAGAAACAAGTGGCACATGTTGAGCAATAATGGTGTAACCAGCTGAAGCTAGCCCATACCCGCTGGTTGGCTCGGGTTAGACACAGCTGCTTGCACAGTAATCATAAATACAAACGTCTGTGTGCTGTGAGCTAGCTAGGGCTTGTGTCTAAGTTGGATAAAAAGGTTGTCACGTGTTGACACGTAGTGTGTGTATCACATTCACATTCACATTCATGATGAAAGAAAAAGAAACAGCGAAAGTAACGTCCCAACAAAAAACTCACCAAATGTGAATATATATATATATATATATATATATATATGAATACTCATTTCAACTGGGTTTGAGACCAATAATGATAAAGTATACCAGCTTTTCATGACGACTTTTGTCTATAATATACACACATCCCTCTAGTCTTTTTATATTTATATATATATTTAATTAACCATCTTCCTTATTTACAACACAAATTCAATTACCGACTAATAATAACATATGTGTCTCCCACCTTCAATCTATTATAGATATATATGTATTTGAAATAAAACATTAATAAATAATATTATATTTAAAATCAAATATGTTTATTTTAAAGTCATTCTATATAGCTACCTATTTGAATTTTTTTTTTTTGAATGGTTACCTATTTGAAAAATTATTTAGTTAACTTTTAACTTTCTTTAAAAGTTATTCACTAATACTAAATAGTTAGAAAATTAAAACATTTCAAAATTATATTTTAACTTCAAAAACTTTATTTAACATTAAAAGACTTTGAATTTAGAGAATAATATTTAACATTTTCAAAAGATACATGCACTAAACTTTTCAGTTATGACGAAAGAAATTAATAATAGTTATTCCTTTCAATTTTTTGTTTCATTTTAAAAAATAAATAAATAAAATTTGGTTGGTCTCCGCATAGTTTAATAATCCTCACCAGACAAGGGTACTATGGGAAATAAAAGGGGCGCGCGCGTAGTTTAATAATCCTCCGCGTACAGGTACAGCCGTGTCCTCCATGTTCCTTCGCCCACAACTCTCTCTCTCTCTCTCTCCTCACACAAAAAGCGGACACAAACCGCGTAACAAATTCTTTACATGTATATATATATATACTCTATTTCTCAGTCCGTCAATATCCATCCAAACTATCTCCAACTGATATTCTTTGAAAAGACAACAAAACTCTATATACACTTACCTTTCTCAAATTCTTTAACTCGCTGCTAGCAAAGTAGAAAATGCAGAAGAAAAGATCAGACGGTGGTCATCACAGATCAACAGCATGGAACCTACTGCGTCTAGCTCTGTTATGGGCAAGGAAAGGCGGGGTGTTCAAGAGTAAATTCCTTATGGAGCTCCGTCTTCTACCCCGTTACCTGAAAACCACCCTTCTTCGCCACTCCGGTGAACGTGGCACCAACACCAACGCCATCCACTACGGAGAGCGGGAGTTCTCCTTCGATGACACCCCCATTATCCACTCCAAGTTGCGTCGTCCAGCTTCCTTGCGATTTCACATTCCATGCATAACCAATCCACAAGTTGATTTTGATTATGATTTCAACGACGACAATGAGGATGATGACAGTGCTTATTATTACAATGATGGAGGAGCAAGGAAGAGTTCTCTGAATAATGAGGGTGGAGATGAAATTCAAGACGATGATCATCACTATGGTTGTGCTGAAGATCATCAGATGGTTCCACCGTACGACGAAGAAGGGATTGATCTCAAAGCAGAGGAGTTCATAGCTAAGTTCTACCAGCAAATGAAGCTGCAAAGACAGATATCATATCTACAATATCACGACATGCTTAATAGAGGTGCAAGTTGATCCCAGATGCTCCCCAAATGTTACTATTCATTTTCGATCATTCTCATTCTTTTTCTTTTTCTTTTTTTCCTCATTGTTTGTTGTAATAGAGGCATTCCGGCATTTCTGTAAATACCCGAGGCTTCCGTTGACTGTTTACTACAGTATATTTTTCTTATAATAAGAACAAAAGTTTTATTGCTTCAAAAAAATCAATGTGAAGAATATGTTGCGGATTACGACAGTATGAATACATCTGGGCAACTTAATATCATTTTCCAAATGTATCAAGAATTTACAGCACCATAACAGAATCAATTCAAGTACTCATCAAGGTATCATATTTGGCACCCTCAATATTCTTGTGTACAGCACATGCTGCAAAATCAATATTTCTGGCATGCACTTTTACCTTTCAATATATATATATATATATATATATATATATATAAAATGATCATCTTGGACAAAAGGTTATATCCAAAAAAAAAAAAAAAGGTGGGCAGAAACCCACTTCCAACGTTTTACCAGAAAAAGGAACAATGCTTTTGTCTCTGGATAAAGGGGATGATGACAACTTACATTTCCATCAAAGCCCACACATGAAATAAAATACGGAGTCCAAGAATCACAATTTTAAAGTTCACCATGGAGCAAAGCCTCATGCTGTTCACTTCTATATTTTATCTCATCAAAGATCCTATTTGGAATCCTGATATGCAGCTCCATCATAAAGCATCTTTGTTTTCCTACAACCAAAGGTTAGACATACAGCATTCCATTAGAAAATCAAGATGATATGGCTGACGAAAGCATATTTTTTGCACTTGACCAAATCCAAAGCAAGGGCTATCAAAGCATGAATATGTGTTGTAATGGGGCAGTTTTAGCACCAAGTGCTCCTACAAAAGATAAACAGGATCAAACAGACCCACTGGACACGCCCTTGACCAATTCAGGCTGAAAGATTTGGTTCAAAATCTACCACAACTCAATTACTGAATCCCCACATACCAAGAGGCGAAGCGCAAGTGAAGCACACACACATTATGCCAAGAGTGTTAATGTGTGCATTCCTGTGTGTATTTATGTGAATAGCAACAATATACAAAATCAGAACCAAGATCTAATCCAGATCCAACTCTGGCTTTTCCCTACAAGAAGAATCTGGCTCAGGTTTGAAACTGCTGCCCAAACCAGACCATGTAAGTCCACCTATTCCAGTTCCAACTTTTTCTTTTCTTTTTTAAACAGATCTGGATAGGTTTGAAACTGCTGCCCCCGACCTCGCACTGAAAAGTACAAGCCCATCTCAACAGGAGTGGGGACTGCACAAAAGAACAGAGCCACAAGGCCACTACTCTGACAAATTTCACCCATTCTAAGGAGCTCCTCAAGGTTAAACCACAAATATTGAACTACCTTGTATGAAAATTTTGGGAGTATCGAGACCAACAAGTTGGTCATATACTTCCGTTCTGCTGCTGCTTACTAAGATATGCTTCTAACTGCCCTGTTGCTGCCAAGATAAGACCTACAATGCAATATGTAAATATTAAAGTACAGATATCATGAAGAGAGAATGAAATCAATTAAATCCTTACTTACAGTGTTATCGAAGGCCCAAGGCGCACTAAGGCAGCCTAGGCACAAGGTGAGGCGCGCGCCTAAATGAAGAGAGGCGCACAAATTGAAATTTTAAATTACTATTAAAGCATATTCAGATTCCATATTGCAGGCACAAATGTTGTCAGAGGTGCAACTGGCCACACAACAGGCGCAACACTTGCGCCTATATGAGCCTGGAGCCTAGGCGCACGCCTTTAACAACACTGCTTGCTTAGCATGCAGACCTTGCATGAAGGAGGAAAAAAGTTCACAATACAATCAGTGATGGTTTTCAAGGAATAGATACCTCAAGTAGTTGGGAAAAGGCTATGTTTGTTGTTTTATTAGTTTTCAAGGAATAGATACAGAACTGATGGAAATTCACGACGTATTATCCTAACAACTGTATGATTAGCTACACATCTTTTCCGCCAAACTTCTCTTAAATCAAAGACCATCAAGGCTCAAGCTTGGAAAATGTGGCGCTGTATTATTGTATGATTTTTTTTCAAAATATTTCCTGAAGGCATTTTTTTTATTTTTTTATTTTAAAAAAACCTAAATACCTAATCTCATGTCCATCTATAGAAAATTACTATTTAAAGAAAGAACACATAAATATTGTAGTACCTCCCATCGTAATATACCTTTTACAGAAAATAGATGGAACTGGGTGATAATAGTTAATTAATTAGATAAACTAATTACAAAGTAACCAATGGGTCGGTGGCCTAGCGGTATCAGGCCCTCACTTCCCAAAGGGAGGTCAAGGGTTCAAGCCTTAATGGAGGCATGTGTGTTTGAGTACCAACTATGAAAAAAAAAAAAAAAAAAAAAAAAAAAAAAACTAATTACAAAGTACCTAAAAACAAAGCTGAAGGCCTCCCAGGCCGTGACTTAAATTCTGGATGAAACTGCACTCCCACATAGAATGGATGGCATGGAAGTTCTAAAATCTGCAAAAATGTACATTGAAATTCATTAATGCTTTTTTTCCCCGGTAAAATAAAATTCAATAATGTTTATATCCAAAAATGAAATGTTCCTCCTTGGCGAATAAACTAGCAACAGGCAGGGAGAAGCCCGGAAAACATGAACACGCGTCAAAAAATAAGTGTTGTTTACAGAACAATCTTTTCAAGGTTATGTGTAACCCAGGTCCAGAAAACCAACCTCCATACGTTTTCCACTTTCATCCTTCCCAACAAATTTTAACCCAGCTTCTTCTAAAATGCCAATCACCTCTGGGTTCACCTGCATCATACATGGCATAATAAGAGTATATCCGAGAATGTATGTCCGTCAAATAATTCTATTTTATTAATCAATTGTCATCACTAACCTCATATCTATGACGGTGTCGTTCTTCCACATACTCTGGATTATGGTACCTACCAATTAACAAATTATAGAATCAGGCATGCACAACAGAAAGCTAAAACTAAAATATTCTTAAATGAAAAAATCAAAGAGATGGTCCATGGAGATCAGTTCAATCTTAAAGCCTGATATGACTCATTAGTTAATAAAAAGCCAAAAAAAAAAAAAAAAAAAAATGGAGCCAAAGGCATGTAGAGTGCAGTAATTTCAGTTTCCATTAATGTATTTCCACCGAGTTTGAATTCAATGATCCTCCTACTAAAGCTAAACCTGAACCAAACATTAGCTCATAAAATTGTCATTAAGGATGATCCAGCAGCAGCAACAGTAGATTCACATAGCCGGACGCTTCATACCATTTACCATCAAAACATCCCTAGACCTTCATGTTTTTCCTATACCTCCATCACAAATAAGTAACTAAAAGGTCAAATTCTCAAGGGCTATAATTATTGCGGCACCAATGAACTTAGCCATGTAGTGATCAAAATTGATATAAGATAATCCACCCGGGGGACCACATACTTGGCAATTGGCAAAAGTACCCACTGAACAGATAAAAAAAAGTGAATGCGTAGTTTAAAATGAAAGTGATTTTCTATAAGAAACGAATGTGTTAGATTTCCATGCATTTTTTATGTCGAAATGGCGTAATAGATTTTGAGATCTATATGGAATAATAGATCTATCTCTTACAGCTTTGCAGTGATACAATCTGAAGTCTGGAACAGTGTTCTTCGACAACCAAGTCTCATCGTGTTTCCCATGTGTGTTCTCGAACCCTGCATGTATATATATGAATGATGATATATACTGATTGGGTGTATTGGAATTTCTATTACAAAATATAGCTCTATAGAATTTCATAATGAAAAATGCAAGTACCTCTGGCATGAAAATTACAACGGGATTTGGTGTCTGCTCATCAAACTCTGAACTGTTTGCCCTTTCCACACCCAAAACCTAAAGCATGTATTTGAAATGGGACCTATATATTATCTGACAGAGAATACAAGAAGATACATGAAAAGAAAGTCACTTACAGTTCTAGCGAACTCAATCACAGAAATCTGCATGCCCAGGCAAATCCCGAGATAAGGAACTTTATTCTCTCTTGCATATTTTGCAGCCAATATCATTCCTCTCACACCACGGTCTCCAAATCCACCAGGAACCAAAACGCATGCTGCATTCTGAATATGTGGGCCTCATTAAAAGCAAATCGAATGTTGAATTTTGGTAATAACACCAGATTTGTGGTGAAACAGTGAAAGAAATTTTGTCCTGATCCCTCACTTACAAGGTACATATGCTGAATAAGAGTAAGAAGAGCTTTGAACAAAGACTTATAACAATTGACCACTGTTGAAGGATTCATATATTTAAGTTACACCCTCTCTAACAGCTTAAGCTTTTGGCGTAGATGTTGTTACCATGGTATCAAAGCCAAAGGTCTCAAGTTCAAACCTTACCTTCACCTTGATTAAAAAATTGAAAAACATGCGTTGGACAAACAGAAGGCCATACATGAGGGGGCGTGTTGAAGGATTTATATATTTAAATTACACACTCTCTAACAGCTTAAGCTTTTGGTGTATATGGTTGTTAACAACCACCAAAAAGCAAAAAGCAAAAGGCAACTAACTAAATAGATAGATCAAAAGAGAGAGAGATTCCTAGCACTGAAATCTTATGCTGTCAAAAGCAACATAAGTAGTGATAAGTAACTGATGAACCTACTCAAATCAACTCCAACTCAAGTTACTCAACAGAAGTTGTACCCACTGTTTGGAATCGGCAACAGCAACACTCCTTGTTAATAGACTGTATATTTATAAAGCTGCGCGACACAAGAACCCCCATTTAACGTAAAATTTAACTCAGAAAACAACTTTTGCAATGTTTCAAAACCAGACCTTTAAACTGAGACACAAGACTTGGTGCTGTTTGATAACTCAATTCAGCACTTAATTCTAAATGAATTAAGTGCTTAACCAATTAAGTATATTTGATAATGCAATTTGAATATCACTGAAAACAGTAAGCGCCACTTAAAATGGGGTAAAATTTTAAGTGACAGGGACATCACTTATCACTCAATGCTGAATGCTGAAAATTCAAAAAGATATCAAATATATATATATATATATATATATATATATACACAAATTACCACTAAAAAACTTTAGCACTTAAAATTCAGCTCTTAAAATTTTCAACTTAATTCTCAGTTTTATCAAACAGCACCTTAGCAATTCAACAGTCTAGCCCAACTTTTCAGTGACACAATAAAATAATTATGAATAAATTTTGTAGCACTGAAAATCACACGAGGTCAAAGAAAAATAAAGTTGTGTAAAATAATTTGCAAAAGTATTCAAATGAACTCCAACTCAACAATGATTTAACCCACTGTCTGTAATTAGCAAAACTGAAACTTCCCATTCCGTAACCATATATTTATAAAGCTATTTGTGCACAATAGTAGAACCTTATACTTAAACCATAAGATAAAAAGATAAAGACGGACTCGGATTTTCTTATACTAAAAGAATAACCTAACCCCATATCTTGCATTACAACGAAAATTTTGAAAAAATCATATAAGGCAATTGTCCTCCTCTGAATTCCTTGTTCCGTTTTGGTCTCTTAAGGGCGCCTCGGTTTCAACCCCAACCCAATCTGGAACTTCTACCATCGTATGCATAAGACCTCCATAAGTCATGAGAATTCACGTGGGCATTTTTAACAGTCAGTCTGGTCAAGTAAAACTTGGTTTCATGCATGTTATGAAATCTGTCATAAAGCTTATTAACAAACAAAGAAAGATATGCTGTCTGCAGGGAGCCAGAAGGCAAAGGATAATGGGGAACAAACAAAAGGAAAATCCGAAGTCAAGCTTACCCTTAACGTTTCCCATGCAGCAGCGTGAGTTTCTGGTGTCTGCACGAGGAACACAATTTTTTAAATACGACAATCATCACCGAAACAAATAATAAATAGATCCAAGAATGCAACCAGTAAGGGATCAATACCAATTTTGCGCTATCATCTTCAAGGTCCGAAGCAGCAATCCAATCAACTGATGGCTTCAATGAGCATGCAATGCAGGCATGCAGAAGAGCCTACATGTAAAATGAAGAATAATAATGACAGTAACTGGCAGTACAATAGTTATATTTTCAGTAACCAGACCATTGGTAATGGGTTTGGAACCAAAAATCCATTCTATTTTTCGAAGGTTCAGTAGGCAAATATTTTTCAGAATAAAAAGTTAGAAATACAATTGTTGAGATTGATTTTTAAATGCTATTTCCATGTCATGATGCACCATTGTTTCATGTTTGGATGATCCACAATACAATTAATAAGGTAAGCAGAAATGAGCATGTCCGTATTAAACCAGTCAAAACTAAAAATTATAAATCATTCACTTAATATCTTACATAACTTTGTCTGTCAAATCTGTAATATCCTACACAAATTATTAGGCCTATGTTTCAAAAAGCAATTACATAAGCATGGTTCATAGCATATTGTAATCCTTAGTAGATTTATTTATGAAACGATAATGATTTAGGAATTTAGTTATAATTTATAAATTAGTATTTTTCTTGCAAACTCTACATAAGATATGTACTCTTCACTTGTTTAAACTGAGAATAAGTTTAGGAATTTAGTTATAATTTATAAATTAGTATTTTTCTTGCAAACTCTACATAAGATATGTACTCTTCACTTGTTTAAACTGAGAATAAGTTTAAGTAAAAGTATTTTCTCACCTTCAGAACAGACAAATAAGAATCTGTAAGGCCAACATACTTCCCAACCATTGCAATCCTCACCTGCATAAAGCAGATTTTCTTACTTCTCTAAGCTAAAGATATATTGCAAAGAAAAGCATGAAATTCAAATGATACTAACAGAACAGGTGAGGTTGTCAAAAGTTTCCGCTCTCTTGGTCCACTCTTGCAATTCAGGAGGTGTAGCAACGCTGAAACAGAACTCCAATAATCAATCACACAATATAATCAATTTTCCTGCAATCCACATATTGTTCAAGATTAATGGTGTTTTGTTCCATAAGATTCAACCAGTTTAACTGGTAGCAATTCTGATATGCTTAGGAATTACATATAAAATCTGTCTAAATCAAACTCATATGGTTATGGACAAATCATTATCAATGTTTGCCTTGGTCCTATTGAACTCTAGGAAGTTCAAAAAAGGGTAAGAGAGTAATAAAAAAATATATATAAGCCTAATGTACTGAAGATGTTAAGACAATAGCTCACCCGAGTAAATCTAACTGTTGTAGAATGGCATTATGAGCATTTTGATTCTGGAAAAAAGTGAATGTCAGAAACTTTAGTATGAAATAAGCTAAAGAGCAGCTAGTAAAGCAGATCGGCCTATGAGGAATCAGAAACTATTATCTTACACCTACCCGAAGTAAAAGAGGAACGTGCCAAATGTTAGGAACATCGTGGATATTAAGGATGTTGCCAGCCTGTGGGAGACCAAAGAAAGATAAGACAAAACCCCAACTGAGGGAACAAAATCCATTAAAAAGATCAGATAGCAAACTTCACAGATAACAACATACTGGAACATGGCAAAACTGTGAGAGTTTCTGCTTTGTTGTTTCTAATAAAGGCTGCAATACAAAAGAGATTGTCAGCAAGATAGTTACATATTAAAAGAGTGATGAAAGTAAATGGAAAAAACAATCATCAACGAACTCTTAAGAGTAATTTCTGATCTAGTGAAACAATAATACAATTAATATATCTACTGTCTAGACCTTTGCAATTTTCAAACAACAAAAAACAAATATAAATTGAATTCATGCAAAGCATACAATCAAGATCAATGACCTAGTTCATCTTAAACCTTTTCCAACATGATGACTTATGTGATACGGAGTTCATTACTGCGTAAGAGCTCAGTCCATTCCCAAACTATGATAGATATGCTAGTCTAAATTAACTAAAGTGCAAGTATGATGAAGTGTAAAAGCAACCAGTGAGTCAACCAACAGGGATATTTAGGCCAATTCTGGTGCATTTATTCAACCTCTTACATACACATAGGTAACAAAAAGATGAAACAACATACCTGCGAAGAGCGACATGCTAAGAGGTGAGGAGTCAAGCCTAATGCTCTCAGTTCCCGCACACTATGTTGAGTAGGTTTTGTTTTCTGCACATCATCACATAAACAGGGAGATAGAAAGTGGGGAGGAAGAAACTAGGTTCAGGGAATACAGACAACTTTGATCTTTACAAAATAATAAAAAAAATAATAAAGCTTGCAAAAAGGAATTGCAGGATCAAATTAACCACAACAGGTATGGAGTATTTACCTGCTCTCCCACAGCACCTAGTACAGGGATAAGGCTCACATGAATAAGGCAGAAGTTATTTTGTCCTGGGAAAAGGGTTGATATATTAACACGAGGAAATATTATTAAAAAAAATTAAATAAATAAAAAATAAAAAAGAAGAAGAAGAAAAAGTACAAATACATATAAAGAAACATTTTGTCATTTTATTTAGGATATCCTTTAACTCTACTCGTTATTTTACTGATTAACCTATGCATAGTAGCTCCATGCTCATAAAGCACTGCCATTAAATATTTGAAATGCAACACCATATGAACACATGAAGAAGATTATCAAACGGATGAGGGAAAGAAGATCCCCTGAATAGAAAACCTAAACAATTTTAATCATTGTTTATGAAAATATAGCGACCAGCCGACAAGTGTAACCTTACCAACTAAGAAGGATAATTGTCGCAACGCTTCAATGAATGGCATCGATTCAATATCACCTAAGAAAAAAAAAATATTCAAGTTATCTATGGCAGATAGTGTATATCTGACATAAAGATGGAGAGAGAATTTTCATGCATCAGATAGCTCTTTGTTCTTACAAGCTCTTACCTACTGTCCCTCCCAATTCTATCACACAAACATCTGCAGGGCCCTCTTTCCCATCCACAGGAATGACAGAAACAGATTCAATCCAATTCTTAATCGCATCTGTGATGTGGGGGACAACCTAGAATCAACTCAAACATGCAGCAATGTTAGCAGCTCAGTTCGTGCATTATGAGATAAAGTTTACAAAATAATCATATAAAGTATCCTCACCTGAACAGTCTTTCCCAGATAATCACCTCTCCTCTCCTTGTTAATGACAGACTGATAGAGACAAGTACGAATAAATTATCTTGAAATAACTTCCAGAACTCAGAAAGTGAGAGAATGCATCAAAACCAAACAACTTTATGCACCTGATAAATCTTTCCTGTGGTAATGTTGTTGTCTCTAGTAAGTGTCACGTCCAAGAATCGCTCATAATTGCCAAGATCTAAATCAACCTTTTAAGAAGAAATCAAATGACAAGATATTTTTGAATCTCGAAAAAGAAAATGGTAGTGTTCAATAAATATTTTCATTAGAATAGTTTGGATGCTGCAATGACATACTAACACAAAGTCACAAACCAAATCCCAAAAGAGGGAAAGAAAAGTAAAAAGGACTACCAGTTTGTCTTCGTAATTTACTATTTTTCATATTGATGTACCATGTGTGATAATTTTGTTCAGTCATGTCTAATATTAAAGCCCAAATGCAACCACTCCAATAACAAAGTATTCAAAAATCAGCATCATTTAAGGTCACCGCTGCAGTTATTAACTTCAAAAGGCCGTATGGATGAATGAAATTAAGAAGGAATAGTAACAAGATTAACCAATTTCAACACTTACATACGATAGCAACTTCTCAAACAATCACTTCTGCCACAATTGACAGTTGTATTTTCCTCAGTTATTCAGATAATATACGAACAGTTGTTAACTAAATTAATAAAATAGAACAACCAGTCAAGGACAGTCTTGTATTGGCTACAGGAACTTTAATTTATCAAGTGGTTGTGCTATAAGTGAAGAATTTGGTAAGATCTCAAATACATATCCACCAGAAAAATGAAGATTATAAGATCTTATAGGATGAAGATTATCAAAATTAACCATCCCATTCTCATTTTCATTCTTAGGTGTATGGGTTTTCTTTTCTTTTACTTTTGAGCAAATGCAAATGGTAAGAGTAACAAGAGGGAACCTCTCCTCCGTCATCAAGAACAAAAACCTCCCCGTGCTCAAATGGCGACATAGTACCAGCATCTGTGTTCAGGTAAGGATCTGCATTTACAGAAAACAATTACTGCACATGAATAAATGAGGCAAAAATGAAAATATACCATATTTTTTAGTAAGGAAACTGTAAAAAGTCCTTAACAATGAAATTGAAGATAAATAAAGAACACTACATAGAAAGAAAACGAAAAACATGGTTAGACACGTATGTGTATATGACCGCCAAAGGATGTTGTTTCCTCGCCTTCCAACAGAAAAGGCCGAGGGTCCCCGTAGGGCATGGGTGTATGAGTGTGTTTATTGCCAATGAAAATAAAATAAAATGCATGTGTATATAGAGAGAGAGGAGGCTATGAAAAGGCAAAACCAGCACCATTCTCTTACTTCAGTAACTTGCACAATTCTATGTTGCGCAATAATGACTACACATCATAAAATCTCACAAGATCAAAAGAAAACTGATAAAATGAAACAAAAACCAAAATAAGGAACCAAAGATTCTACCCATGTTGCTTTCCCTCCCTAAAATGAACATTAAACTCGATAAATAAAAATAAATAAATAAATAAAAACATGTGAATATATATATATTTTTGGTAAGTATTGAACATTAACGGAGTATATGCAAGATCACTCATATCCATCAATGACAGCATTACGTTAAAGATTAAAATATCTCAAATAAACATCTGTACGAGTAAAGCAACGAACCTATTTTGATGGAAGTGACACGAAGGCCACAGGCTTTGAGGACGACGCCGATACTGCTGGCAGTGACTCCCTTGCCGAGCCCACTCACTACTCCTCCTGTAACCAACACGTACTTCATGCTTCCTTCTCTCTCTCTAAAAACTGCTGCGGCCTATGTGTTTGTGTTAATGTCCAAGCGGGAAAAAGAATGCCCCCTTTAAGGAACTCAAAAGAACGCTCCAACTCAATTTATCCAAGTAGTTGGTTAAGTCGGTTTCGACTTTTCAACCCTAATTGCCTACACATCACGCCCGGTGACCTAGTATTTTCAATTTCATCACACGTGTGGTTAGAAATTTAAACTTGAGCACAGGCAAATGTGATAATAATAATAATAAGGTTAATTACAACGACATTCCATAACGTTTGATATATTGATAGTTATATACAACTTAGTTTTTCATTGGACAAAGACAACTTGTGATAATTTTAATCTCTTAAAACGTTAAAAAGACAAAATTACCCTTCAACATTTAATTCATTTTTATGGTAAAATATCCTAACTCATAAAAAGTCAAATTTATTCTTATATATATACACTATTGCCCATATATATATATATAAGAACGAAAAAAGAGAGCATCGGCATCCCCACCACTACCAACAACCATCACCCGTAATCACCACCACTACAACCATCACCCGCCATCGCAAAGTATGGATATAGTGGTGGTGGTGGTGTTAGTGCTTGTTGGAACAAGTTGTGGTGGGTGTGGTGGCTGTTGGTTTGGGTAGGGTATTTTGGTCATAGTATGAGTAGGGTGTTTTGGTCAATAAAAAAAAATTGTATTGGATAAATTGGTAATTAAATATGTCTAAGAGTAATAATGTTAATTCACCGTGTTAAGACTATTAGAATGTCTTTATTAACTTTATCAAATTTGGAAATTGTCATCCTTAAAAAATGATCCAACTTATATATAGTTATCATTGTATCAAACCTCTATCTTTGTAATTAATCCTAATAATAATATATGTATATATCCTACACTTTTTACTTTGTTCTTATCATTGTATGCTAGGTAGTACAGTATCAAAACTATTTAGAATTATAAAAAAATAAAATTCTAATTAGATATATCCACAAGTCAAAAGGGTATTGATGCAACCCATTTGAGTTTGAAACAATATGAATAATTCCATTGCTTTATCCTTTCATTTAACTTTAAACAATAGCCAGATTGTCATTAAACTTTATCCTTAATTCTAACGAGCATCATACACCTTCCTTCCCACATCAAAGTTAGATACGGTATATTTTTGTCATATTTTCCGTATAAGTATAAGATGCCTTACTGTATGATGTTGTCAATATTGTTAAGTATTTATTTTTAAGAATATTTCTAGCGACTCTTTTATGTAAAATATACATTACCACATATGATTTGTAATTTTTTTTATAAAACAACAGAACCGCTAGAACTAAAAATAAATAATTTAAATTTTTTGTGTAAATATATTATGACACATTATATTTACACAAAAAATATATATATACACAACGCTTGAAGATGCTTTAAGTTTTTTTTATTAGACAAGTTTCACCCATATCAATCCTATTACATGTACAGAATTTAAATCCTAAATTTACACAATAAAAGAATTAGTACACTGAACATGGTTCGTTCCTACCAACCAAATGTGTACCAAATTTATTCCTCATATATGCCATCAATGATTTGCGTGATATATTTTTTTTTGCTTTTCCTGCATCTTTAGCATATCCATGTGCGACTCCTCTAAATGAATCTAGTTCTTTAATTGGTCCCGTGATTCGTTATGCTTGGTGCATAATTGCTCTCAAAATTAGTGGAGGTTCCACTTAGGATTATCAATAAGCTTGGATTTAGTAAAACTAACCTTTAGTAAAGAAGAGGTGGAACAAATATTTTCTATCGTGAGATCACTTTTTTTTTAATATATATTTCATTTATGACGGAAATCGGTTATTTAACCCAAAAAGAAAAGACACACGTACATGTTTCTCGTTTGGCCCAATATCATTTTTTGACTTTATATTCATCTGTAACATATAATTGAGTCATTAGTCCAAGGCTTACCAAACCAAAAATATATATAATTGATTACCAAAATATATATAATTTCTTAATGAAGAGTGAATTAAAAAATAAAAAAACATTGTACACCAGCTTTTAAGCAATCAAATAATTATTAAAAAAAAAATAGAGTAGTTTAGAAGGATATATAAATAAATAAACTCTATGTTTAGTTCAGTTTTTGAAAAAAAATATTTAAGAATTCAAAAACAAAATTGAGATAACTATTAAAAATAGTTATCTGAAATTATTTTTTTAAAACTTAGTTTCTAAAAAACTGTAAAATAAAAAGGGCAAAAAAATTATATTTCAAAAAACTAAACTAAGCAAATTTTTTAAATTTTTTTCGTATTCTAGTTAACCTGCCCTTGTTTTTAAGGGAAAAAAAAAATGGCACTAACAGCCTATTGTTTGATATAAAGGGATCTTGTTTCTCTCTTCCATATTTCTATCCCAATCTGTATCTCTATTTATGCATCAACGACAATAGTGCATTCAAATAGGATCAACTTAGGCCGATAGAGCTCAAAAACAAGAGATATCCCTTTCACACCTTGAGAAAACCAGGGAAAAAGGAAAAGCATGAACTGTGATCATGATTTAGTCGGTATGCCACTGGAAAGTCATAGGAGAAGAGCTCTCGCCACCATCCCAGATAAAAAGAGGCCCTCAGTTAGAGAGAGAGACATGAAGAACATCCACGGTAACTATAGCAGGCACAGATTGATAAATGGTTTTTGGTGAATTCGTGAAACAATACAGCATCATGGACAGAGTAAAAGAAAGGGGTGACCGTGATTCAGGCGAGGAGGGAACTGGTTATCAAAGGAATTATAATCACAGAGTTGTTGTAGCCGCGTAGCTGGGAGAAAAATAAAATAGAGATGATTCCAAACTTTTTTAAAAGTGATTTCAGTAATTCTACATGTCAAGCATTTGTAGCTTGCAAACCAACAACCAGATACCTTCAATACTATGAAAACTTAATTGCACGCTAAAATTAAACCCAAAAAAAAGTTACCCGAAGAAAACATATGGCCGCAATAATTTATACCTCGTCTCATCAAACAGATAGTACAAAAACACCATGACAGCATTTCAGCGAAAGCTCACTCCCTCCCCAGCTACAACCTCCCCTATTCGGTATGCTATGTTTGCCCCACGTCCGTCCCCAAGTATTCTAAGAGCCGTCTCCTGGCTAACAACAAGAACCATCCCAATACCCATATTAAAGGTCCGCCTCATTTCAGAATCCTCAATTCTTCCCATCTGAAAAAACAATAATCATGACAAGTTAAAAAAACAAACAGGCAATTTTAGTTTGTCTTCATTTAACCACATAAAATGATGTCCACATTCCCCTCTTATGACAGGATTCGGGCATTAATAGTCTAATAAGCTTCTAAAAACACGTCGATTAGTTGGGTACTATATCTCCTTGAAAAACTCTTCAAGGAATCCCCCTAATCCAAAATAAGGTTACCACTGAGAAAGATTCTTACCTCTTGTATCCATTTAAACACAGGAGGTATTACCCAAGAGTCTTTATAAATGACAGCTCCAAGGCCTTCTGGAAACACCCTAGGGATATTATCTGTAAAACCACCACCTGTGATATGGGATATCCCTTTCACACCTCCCTTGCTAATTAGGTCCAGAACCTTTTCACCAAATCAAATGTGATGAGATTCTTCCACGTTTAGCAACAAACAAATGAATAACATACAGCATAATAATGTGGTCAAATAGGTGAAAAAAAGAGACCTGCTTAACATATATAACAGTTGGCGCCATCAGAGCTTCACCTAACGTAACAGTTTCACCAGGAAGTTGGTCCTTCAGGGAAAGGCCACTTTGAGCTAGAACCCTAGTTATCAATCAAGGTACGTGCTATAGTATATTAGTACGAGAGGCATCTGAAGAAACCAACCATTGAATATTATTTTGAACATAAGGTTTTATTAATAATGACTTTAACAGAGATAAAAATAAAAATAAAAGCTAAGATTTTCTCAGAGAAACAGCAAACCTCCTAACAAGAGAGAAACCATTGGAATGAACTCCACTTGATGGCAGACCAACTAGGACATCCCCAACCCTAATGTTTTTCCCATCAATAACTGAATCCTTTTTTACAATGCCAACCGCAAAACCACTAAGATCATATTCGCCATCTGCATAGAAATCAGGCATCTCTGCAGTCTAAAAGACAAATAAAATCCACTAAGCAAAACTAAGGGAGTTATAGTTTATTCGAAAGTTACCTGATTTTATTAAATTTTCCTCTAGAACGAAAGATGGAGGGAGGAAAAATAAAGGAGCACATATCCACAGTTTCAAGAAAAATGGTGTGCAGTAACTTGCCCAATTACCAACAAACTACTACGGCGTAAAATAGAACAAATGCAAAACAAAATGCCCCCCTGCCCCCACCAAAAAAAAAAAAACAAATACACACAAAATAAATAAAAAAAAGAACACAGTGCATAAACTTCTTCAATGTCAAATATCCAAAGGGATTATATGAATTGGATGTTTACATATATTTTGTGTGACCAATAGTTAGGTGGTTCCACCACCTCATATTGTATGACTCTTCTTATGATATAATATTTCATCTTTCCTTTTCTTCATAGCCAACATTGCACAGCACATCAATTTGACTTTACTCATCCCCATACATATGTGAAAGCACTATAAAGCTACTAAAATATACCTCTCCACCTAAAAGAGCGCAGTCGGATTCTTGGCAGCCATCAACAATTCCTTTTATAACCTGATTGAGAGAGAGAGAGAAGAGAGAGAGAAAAAAAAAAAAAAAAAAAAGCAATCATACATGAATCACTGTACAATGCATGGAACCAAGGCAAAACAGTAGCAAATTATTGCACCTTTTCAGCAAGGTCAACATCAAGGTGGCTTGTAGCAAAGTAATCAAGGAAAAATAAGGGCTTTGCTCCAGATGTAACAATGTCATTGACACTCATTGCGACCTGGACTAAAAGCGCATTAGAAGGACCAATATTAGTTGCAAAATGCAGATCAGTATACGCTTTAAATCTCACCAAATCAATACCAATAGTATCATGAATTCCAGTTTCAAAGGCAAGCTTAAGTTTAGTTCCCACACCATCTGTACCAGCCACAAGATAGGAATCCCCTGTTCAAGAGGAGGTAGTGGTAAGACTAAATAGAACAAATCCTATAAGAAAACAACCTAAATAAAATTTACATTCTCTAATTAACAAGGAAACCAAATCTTTAAAATCATTTATGGGAATACGTAAACACATATAAAAGAGAGAGAAGAAACAACAAATGATGACAAAGATAAGCAACAATGGTCATCCCTTTTCAGCTCGTATGACAGACAGCTAGCACATGAAGGAGGGTCAACACGGTCAATCTACATTGCCCATGCCAAAATTGACCAGAACGAATTTCTCATCATAAACTGGTGTATTAAATGAGAGTTGCACACCAGAGGATGTAAAATTATAATTGTGTGTTGGAGAATTTTGGATAGGATGCCAAATGCCCGAGCATGTAAAAAGGCCCAAGGGAAAAAGGGGCCGGTCATAGAAGGATATGAAGCTATGATATAAATACCATGAGATCCTATTAGCAACAATTTTTGTAACTTTGAACAGACCAACCAAAGTGATAGGCAAGCTTGCCAAATTATTAGTTTCTTATCTTGTGACCAACAGACTGCAAAAGAAGGCGACCCCATCCATATGGGATAAAGGCAAGGATGATGATAACGATGAGATTGCAAATGAAGGTCGTCATTGTAAATAGTAGAACATACACAAGGCCCCTCATTAAGGATCATAATGACATTGATGAAAAACAGATTGATTACAATAGCTCCATAACCTAAATATTAGATCTAGTATCAGTCATGTAACAAATTCAAAAACGTATATACAAAGAGATGAGATAGAAATTCAATACAAGTTAACAAAAACCAGTATGACTTTGTAGCCATGTCGGCATAGTAGCATCTTAGCACCTGCAAGACAAAGTCAGCCGTTTCAATCAATAATGGGCCTTCTTCACCAACAAGGGATGCTCTTTTAATTTATGCTTATGCTTACATGAGTGAGTTACAGTATAATGAAGCCATATTTTATAAGAATCAAACATGACAATTGAAGAACCAAAGTAGGTGAAATTCACAAAACCTAGGTATTTTTAAAGATTTCAAGTAGGATGCGCCACTCCAGAACAATTTTGTTATATACTTTCTCCAAAAGAGTTTATGGCGTTTCAAAATGAATTAAATCCATGTTCAGAAATTTGATAACCTCCAATTAACATAAACAAACAAAAAAAATGACAAAGTAGGTGAAATTCACAAAACCTTGGTATTTTTTAAAGATTTCAAGGAGGACGCACCACTCCAGAACAATTTTGTTATATACTTTCTCCAAAAGAGTTTATGGCATTTCCAAATTAATTATATTAATGTTCAGAATTTTGATAACCTCCAATTAACATTAAAAAATAAATAAATAAATAATAATAATAAAGGACAACATCAACGGCAGACAAGAAGAGAGTAACAAAAAACTGTACCAAGTGGGAAAAGCCCTCCAAAACCTCCAATACCAGGTGCCATCTTAGCAATTCTCCTCACAAGCTCTGATCCAGCATCTATATCAACACCAGCATCCTTATACGTAAGACTTTCACCCTGATTGCTTCTTGACATTGAGACTATCAGGTCACGCTTCAAAAAATTTCTAGCTCCTGTTTCTCTAAAAGAAACTGACAATGGTGGAAGTCTCTTTGGAAAGCAATCAATCTTGGGTCTCCAGTTGTATGCTTGAGAGACGAATAAATTCTGACAAGAGGACCTAATTGAAGCAGCAACACATCCTGATAATTCTGATTTTCCTCCAAAGGCAGTAGTCATTGTGTGAAGGAGAACTTATAAAAAATAAAAATGAAAAAAAAAACAGTAAGGTGTTGAGTATTGGTTTATGAAACCTTGTGAAGACTAAAGAGTTATAATTACAATAATCTATTCACAGTCAAGTGCTAATTTATGTTACTGCATATATAATACATATTATAGAATTCATTTTTAGGTGAATAAACTACACAACAACAAAAAACACATTCTTGCTAGCATTATTGTTATTCCTGTGGCAGAAGGGTTTTAATTAAAATTATGGAGGGGAAATAAAATGGTTACAAAAAATTAATATCAATGGCAATTTATCAAACATTTGGAGGCCATTGGAAGAAAAAAAAAATTACAGCAGCACACTAAACAAACGATGATGACAAGAAGCACAATGGTAGTATTACATTAAGATTGACTAACTGATAGCTGATGAGTGTCAATCACCACCTAGAGGGGAGAGTGAGCTTTAGTTGACACAGAGAATATGAAGAAGCAGCAAAAGTAGCTGCTGTGCTGCGGTTCTCCAACTCTATAATCTTTGGTACTTCTAAGATACAGAATTTATTGTCTGAATAAGTGGATGGCAACAAAACGGGTTTTTTGCGGCGGGGCGGGTGGGTTCACCTGTCCGGTTAGCGTTTTATAGTTTATAATTAATCCCCAATTCCATCCCCGCACAAATATAGTTCACAGCCTCGACTAAGCATCGTGAACAAAAGAGCTGGTTTTTCAAATATAAATATGTGTAGTTAGAAACCCTAGATGAGATATAGATGGAACGACAGAGAGTGACAAGCCTAGGGTGGAGAATGCTGCACAGGGACAAGACTAGAGAGTGACCTTACCTTCGTTGAAGGCTGTTGCCGAGAAAGATTGAACTGTCGTCAGATGACTGGAAGGGGAGACTGTTTGTGTTGACAGCGGTGAGAGAAGTCTGAAACACTGATGAATAAAGCGATGTATATTTATATAGGAATATTAAGAAATGCTAAAAAAATAATAATAATAACTTAATAAGGGTATTTTTAGCATTTTATTTTAACTTGAAAACTTGAAACAAAATAAAGTGTTTTGTGGTAAAATATTTTGCATAATAATTGAAAGTATGTTTGGTAACGTTCATTTGTTTTAAGATTTTTAAAAGCAAAAATATGAAAACATGTTTGATAAAATAGTGTTGCAAGTTAGAAAAATATAATGATTAGTTTTAAAATGTCATTTTAGAGTTTTCAAATATATATATATACATATATTATTCATCACTACAGTACCAAGGCGACAGTGTGAAAACATACAAAAACACCAAATTGATGTTTTGATTTTTCGTCACTATTTACAAAACATTTTGGTAATGTGCTACAAAACCATTTTTTCCACTATTCTTCACTCATACCGTACCCCCGACCAGGGCCAGCCCTGAGATTCCAAATATTTTGAGAGGCTCTACGCGAATTTTCAAATGTGAGGCCCTTGAGTTTCACACGCGCAAAAAAGAATTATAAGAGTGTGAAATTTTAACACGATGTTTTCAAATTCTATAGCTAATATAATTGTGCCCCTGTGCATTGTGCATAAGACACCTAACTAATAACTATAAATTTATCACCACCAACAAATAATTGTGCGCCTATACAGTGTGCATAAGACAACTAACTAATAAGTTATAATCTATCACCACCAATAAATAATTGCAGTGTGCTTAAGACAACTAACTAATCACTATAAATTTTTATCACCACCAATAAATAATTGTGCGCATGCGCAGTGTGCATAAGACAGCTAACTAATAACAATAAATTTATCAATTAAAGAGTGCGAAATTTTCACAGGCACAAAATAAAAAATGAAGAAAACAGTTTACTAGAGCTTCTTTTACATTCATTGTTTATATGATGATTACAGAGGAAAAAATATGTGGAGATGAGGTGACTATATATTATATACATATATGTAGGAGGCTGAACTTGTAGTACTGAAGAAGTAGTGGGACTTTTAGGTTATATGTGGCATCCACTATCATATATAGTTTTGTCTTTCACTCTTTATATTAACTACACTACACTTTGTGTGTGTTTTTTTTGGGAGCCAATTACCCACAGCAATTGATTGATCAGTGCTACAGAAGACCTGTGCCAATTAATAGAAAAAACCATTAACTTTTGTTTTGTTAAAGCCTGCTCTTGATTTCCATGTGTTTGTACATTCTGATGGCAAGTGCTTAGAAAGTATTATTAACTGAAATTCTAGCTGAGCCAACTTCAAATAACATCAATAATGGTGGTATGTAACTTCATATAAAAATAAAATAAAAAACACTTAATTTGGCACTTTTAAGTATGAGCATAATTTAGAGATCGAAAAAGTTCATTATTACCTCAACGCACTAGTAGAAGGGATCCTTAATTTTCGTGGGATTGAATGTGAAAATGCAAAAAATTATGAGGAAAAGGGGTATGGTTGCTGCTGTTGTGAGATTGGAGTTGTGAGATTGGAGAGAAGGAAAAAAAAAAAAAAAAGTACCTGCCATAGATTATGGACTCGATCGCCATGAAAGACGCATGTAGAAAGGCACACATTTATTAAAATACTAAGAGAACCATAATATATTCATTCAGCTTTTGATAGCCATCACACACACAGTGACACACACACAAAACCCTAGCTACTTTTCACTATTGGAACAAAGGTAAAGGCCCAAATCAAACAAACCAAAGTTAGAACAAATCAAATGATGAGATGAACGAAAGAAAGAAACATATATAAAAGATCGATTCATGCAAAAGGAGATAGGAGAGAGAGAGACGATGAACATACCTTGTCACCTGAGGCGATAGCGGAGGCTGCGCCCTGCGGAGTGTCGAAGCAGATTGTGTCGTCCGAAACTTGCCCTAACTTATTTTTATTTTTAATTTTTTGCATCCCCTATGGGCCTCAAATTTTGAGGCCCTCTAAAATCTGAGGCCCAAGGCGACCGCCTTGGTCGCCTTGGGCCAGGGCCGGCCGCCGGGGAGGGTGGGTTCACCTGTCCGGTTAGTGTTTTATCGTTTATAATTAATCCCCAATTCCACCCCGCACAAATATAGTTCACAGCCTCGACTAAGCATCGTGAACAAAAGAGCTGGTTTTTCAATTATAAATACATGTGTAGTTAGAAACCCTAGATGAGATATAGATAGAACGATAGAGAGAACATAGCTGGTTTTCGTTGAAAGCTGCTGCCGAAAAAGATTGAAACTGTCGTCGGACGGCTGGAAAGGGAGACTGTTTGTGTTGACGGCGAGAAGTCTGAAACACTGATGAATAAAGCCATGCATAATTTAATTGGTTACTTTTTTTTTTTCTTTTTTTTTTATGCCACTTGTTTATATACTATACATAAATAATCAATAAGAAACATTCAGTGTAACAAATCGATATAAATATCATTATTCATAATTTATATTATTATTATTAAGGGTATTAAAGCCCCCACCCCTAATAATCAATCAGAAACATTCAGTGTAACAAATATATACATAATACTACGTAATAATAATAATAATAATTAAGGCCCAACCCCCGCGCAAATTTCGCCACCTCTTTCCCACCCAACTTTTTTTTCCTTACTTTTTTTTTTTTTTTTTTTTTTTTTAAGGCTATGTGAAAAAAAAAAAAAAAAAAAAAAAAGGGATTTTTTAACATGCATTTATATAATATAAAAATTTATACAAAAAAAAAAATTAATTATGCATACCAAAACTTGTAAAATGATGGATTATTAAATTCAAATATATAATTGTTTATATTTATTTTTATTATTTATATTTAGAACAAGGCTTCGTAATATTTCCTTAAGTAGAACTAATTATTAGTTTAAGATAAATGAATTAAAAAAAAAAAAAATCAGAGTTGAAGAGGCAATATTACTGTTTGATAAAACAGACGATTAAAAAAATATAAAAAATTCTTTTAAGAATCATCATTTATTTTAAGCTACCCAATTTATCATTGATACTCTGTATATATAATTATATAATTTGCCTTGCGAACTTACCTCAAAATAGAAGTTGTTTTGGAAATAACTTACCTCTGAATCGATGTTTTTTTTTAAAGACCTTTCCACGATTAAGTTACTACGTAAAATAGGAATTGCAAATAAATAAGCACTTCTTTCACTTGAAAATAATTTTTTTTTTTTGATAAATAACTTGAAAATAAAATTTTCACCAGGAAAAATTTTGATGATTGAAAAACATGCTGAGCACAGAACTAAGAATATTATATTCATAGTTACAATTTATATGGATTTATATACTTTTAAGTTTGATCGAATTATATATATGTATGGTGTAAGTGCAAAAAACACCCCTGAAGTATAATTTTCATAGCACTTTTACCCTCTATTTAAAAAGATGTGCAAACAACACCCATATTCTTTTCAATTTAAACGAAAACAATCCTCAATCTATATAATACTCATTTTACCCTTTTACTCTTCCAAAAATATTCCTACCAAACCTTATTTCTTCTTCTTCTTTGTGTGTGTGTGTTTTCTCTCCAAGTGATTTTTAGACTACAATAATGTATTTGATGGAATGATTAGAAGAAGTTTATGTAGCAGCAAAATGATTCTTTTTAAATGGACTATGGTTTGACTTGCATGGATTCCTTCAAATATCTAAGAAATTAATTTGTTCATATCCAGTTGACTATGAAAATGCAAAGATTTACAGTCTGAAAAATGCATAGGGATTGTTACTAATCCATCGAGAACGGAGAGCTTTTTGTGTGGGAAGAACCTGCTAACAACCCGTTTTGTTTTATACTTTGTATTTGGCATATATAACTAACCCATTTTGCTTTCGATTGGTTTATATATATATAAACCAAACCAATTCTGCAGAAAATTGATGGTAAGGATGAAGAATGCAACATGGGGTCGATTTCTGGCGAATACCACAACACGATTCTGACGTTGACTAGCAGCAGCGATGGCAAGGCGGTGACGCGATTCCGACGTTGACAAGGGGTAATGGTATGCATTTGGTGTGATCCATTAAGTAAAATTGATTGGGCAATGATCAATTATTTATGGGTCGATTTCAAACCCTAGGTGTGTGGAATGAAGGAATTCATAATGATTTGTGGCTTCGTGGAAGAAAGGGTGGGCGGTGGTGGAGGTGGCGATGGTGGGTGGTGGTAGAGGTTGCCGGCAGTCTTCTCCAGTCTTCCCTTCCCTCTATGCGGTGGCAACCACGAAAAAGAAGGGAAAAAACCCTTTTTAGTCATTTCATAAAATATATTATATATATATATATATATATATTATAAAATGTGTTGCTAAGGGTATTTTAGTCCAATTTTTAAAAATAGGACCAGTTTCCACAAATGTCATAGTTTAGGAGTTTTTTTTGCATGGGAGGGGTGCAATATGCACTGTAAGTATACTATAGGGATATTTTTTTGCACTTGACCCACACACACACACATATATACACACACACACACACACAAACATCATTTTCACAGAATAAAAGATTAAAAATCACAACACCATTCAAATACACCTCCAATCCCTTCCCTCTTCATCTTATCCTCTGATTGTCGGACAACCAAAGTGTTTAATGTTGAGAATAAATTTGTTCAATTAAAAATATATATATTACAATAAGGATATTTATGTAATAAACCATCAAATAGTCACTTATTATCAAGTAAGTTTCAAAATTGATGACTATTTCTCTTTTCTCAACTTTAAAGTCACTTTACAACAATTTTGTTCACGTTTGGTCACCAAATTATAATTTTTCCTTTTTTATTATTATTTTAAAGCAAGAAATTTTATTATTGTTTTTAGCATTTTATTTTAACTTGAAAACTTGAAACAAAATAAAGTGTTTTGTTGTAAAATATTTTACATAATAATTGAAAATATATTTGATAACGTTCATTTGTTGTAAGATTTTTAAAAGTAAAAACATAAAAACATGTTTGATAAGCAAATGTTAAAAGTTAGAAAAATATAATGATTAGTTTTAAAATTTCATTTTAGACTTTTCAAAAATATATATGCATATATTATTCATTGCTATACCAAGGCTACAATGTGAAAACATACAAAAATGCCGAATTTATGTTTCGATTTTCTGTCACTATTTACAAAATATTTTGATAATGAACTACAAAACCTTTTATTTTTTATTTTTTATTTACTTTTCTTCACTGATAACAAAAATAAAAGCACAAAAAACAAACGTACCATACAGGCCCATATAAAATGATTACATAAATGGTGACAAAATTGAGACATAAGAATCTAGCATCAAGATTTGTGTGAAGAAAATTCAACACCTTGCGAAAATCGACACTCATTATGAGCATAATACCTCTACAAGGAATGTGATAAAAATTTCAAGGCTGAAATCGTCAGAAAAAAAAAAAAAAAAAAAAAAAATTTATTTTTTTGTTTGAAAAGAAAGTCTCGAGTGGTTAACAAGAAAAAGGGGGGAAATAGAAAAATAAAACCAAGATAATTCAGTTTTAAATTTTCCACCACTTACTAATGAAAAAACCTCCACTCATCTGATCGTTTATTTCTTTTCAATGTTTTCACCCATTTATAGGGAACGGAACGATGGATACAACAAAATAACAGAAATCAAATGAGCCAAGAGTTCTTCAAAATCATATGTCAGATGGAGTGTTGGAATAACAACTAACAAGAACAAATACACTGAACCAAACCTCCACATAAGAGTTCATGAATCAAGGAGCTGAGAGACAACTGATCGGAGCGCGGGGTGTTTGTAAGGCGAACGAAAAGATGGTTGTCCGTATTACCAACTAATAAATCAAAAGGAATATTGGAAAATTTTCTATATAGAAAGAGAATAATGATATATATTATCAAGTCAAATGCACTCATTTTCTTGTCTTTTTAATAATTGGTTTGTATAATGTATTGTACCTGTAGCCTAATCGTAATGTAGATTTTGGATTTAATAAAAAAAAACCTTAATTTGTAATATTTTTTATTAGCATGAGTGATGTTGAATGTTTAGGAAAGTGACTGGTGAACCAACCAATACCCAGCTCTTATATATGATGGGTAATATTGGATTGAGTAGAGAAATCCATGGAATATCAACACCTGCTGTATGAAGCATGGATATTGAAACAAGCATATATATGTTTTGAGTGTTACATACGGTGTTGATTGTTGACACCCTGATTGTGTGGATCAGAGTGGGTGGGTAGAAGAAAATGAGCAATTGACCAAACATGATGTTCAAGAAATATTAGGAGAGGGAGATTGGAATCAGATGTCATTAATTTCAACCTAATACTTTTTAATAAGCAGTACGTATAAAATGTGGTGATAGCTAGGCAATCAATTTCCGGCAAAAGTGGCGTAACCGTAACGTTGGAATCTGAAAGTGGTGGTCCATGGTGACTACCTCAGAGAGGGTCAGGGTGGTCCGACCACATTTCCAGTGATAGGCATGTTAACGGTGCACCAATTACGCAGTTAAGGCTTCTGATGTACCTCCTCCAAGTGGGTGTACTCTCTATCAATTTAATATGGAGACTCTTTTTATTACATGGGCGTACATGTTTTCCAACTCTCTCTCTCTCTCTCTCTCTCTCTCTCTCTCTCTCTGCTTTCGTACGTATTACCTTTTTACGGAGTATTTGTTTTCCTAGGACGGTACTTCAATATTATACTTAACTTCTATATATTGTAAATCTTTATTCTCTTGTATTTTTAGCGCCAAGATAATTAAACTAATCCACATTATATGATCACTACTTATTAAAAAAAAACGTGTTCACATAATTACAAGCCTTTCTTCACCATCAAGTGTGTTCTGATGATTACCTATGTAATAAAGCATTAAAGTGGCAGCAGAGTAATACGGAGTATATTACCTTTCAAAGACAAACAAATATATATATATATATAAGCATCTATGTTTTCAGTGCGCTTCGAACACTCGATTTTTTTTAGAAAGGTAGATTTGTACCTATACAGCACATACACTTTAATGAAGGAGCCGTATCCGTGTTGAACCGACACTCGTCGGACACGTGTCCGACACTTCATATACGTGTTCGTAAATAAAAATAAATTTTTATTATTTTCCAACATTTTTTGGACACTTTTCCAACATTTTTTGGACACTTAGGGTTGTCACTTTTAAACAATTCTAACATTATAACCAGGGACGGATGCACATTCAAGGGTGTGGGGGCAATTGGCCCCATTGATTTTTTTTTTTTTTAAAGTATTTTACCCTTATAATTTAGTCA